GAGTGTGAAATTTCACATAACCATTGCTAGAAGCGTTTGCTGCTTTTTGTCATGTTTTAGCATAACAATAATAGAGCTCTGCAGTGTACATGCATAGTACAAATATAGTGTAGATGGAGAAAATTGAGTTTGAACTTTGAATTTATTGCACTACAAGTTCTAGAGATTTTTTCACCAATTAAAGAAAGAACATTACTTCAAATGATAGAATGCAGGAGTTTGGGGAAATACATTGAAAACTTTTAGAATTTACAAAAGTGTGTTTGCATACTATGCATTGGAAACAAATTGTTATCCATTACTAGAAAATTATTCATTTCTAGGACATGAGTATAATTTTGGTATTCAAATGAAAATTTAGTGAAAATGTACCAACTTTAATTGCTCCATTTGTTGGTTTAGCTCTGCCAATGATTTGTTTGCTATCAAACTATATGCATACTCAAAATACAGAGAAAAGATAAAGGACAAAATATCTTTCTACAGATCAAGATTGTCCAAACACTCCATATGTGTTGAGGTACTGTGAAATATGATATGAAAAATATTTCCATGATGATATTATCAAGATAAGGTTAGGTTACCCTACCTTCCCAAAAGGTGTTAACTGTGTTTACTTTTATTATTACAGGCCCTACTATTAAATTGATGAGCTCAAAGATCATGTCCATATATGCATCCTTACTGCTAATACCCTCAGCAATTTAGATAGATGTTGCCATCTTGCTGATATTGATATTGAAACATATCAACACTGTAGTTGGATCAACATTTCTCTCCGAAATGGGAAATGATTTATAGCAACTTTTATTGATATGTTGTGTTTCTCTTTATGATATTTGTATATGTATCATGTCTGTTTCCTTCACTTTGTGTAGTCTTACATGTTTATTTGTTTCTGCGGTGTTCCTTTAAGAAGTATTTCCTCTGGTGTAAAAGAGGCCAAAGTCAAACAAGTTATCTCTTGACCTTTTGGTGTGTGTGTTTGTGTGTGTGAATGACCCCATACACTGCATACCAGTGCCAAGGCAATTAGCATACCTGATGAAGCTTCAAGGAGAGGGAGTGTCTATAGAGTTTATGAACTGATCAAACAAAGACAAACAAATAGTTGGTCATTAGATAGATAGGAAGATTTGATTTATTTATCTGAATTACATCCATGCAAAGGCTTGAAGTTTACTTATTTCATGTGTTGTTACCGTACTTCAAAATAAAGCAAGTGGAATGCTTGTCTAGTAAAATTGTTGAAACTTCATATTATAAAATGAATAATGATATTACACAACTACTTTTTAATTTGAAACACAGTGTTACCATCACAATGATATTACTTCAATGATTGCCTTTGATTAGACCAAGGAGGTAGCATATAGTGACTGGAGATGGAAGATTCAATAAAAAGAGGCCTAAATATCTGGGGCTTTATATCTGTATGATACAAAAACTAATGACTAGTATTGTCATGATAGAAATAAAGGAAGAGGTTTCTCCAGTTTTCCTTCAAGACTTTAGATAAAGGTTTTCCACTGGTAAGGATACAGGAATTTGTCAGAGTCTGATGTCAAGAATAGGTAGCCAATATCAGCTGATAATTAAGGGTGTGTCCAGCTTGCTTGATGCACATGCTCATTACTCTATCTTCATTTTTTATGTAGTCTGATACCAAGCATCATATTAAAAAAATAATTTATTAAACGTTTCAATGAAATCTGCTAATTTTGTCTATGTGGAAGTTGACATTTGTAACGTTTGTTTAAAAAAACAACCCAAACCCACTTTTAATTTATTGCCAGAATGAATCATGGAAGGATATTTCGGTATGACACTCTGTGGAGAAGCCGACAATCAGAGAGTCTGAGAGAAAGACTGTGCGCAGTGATAGTGTTTTCTGTTACATTTGACCCCAAGTTCAAGTAATGTGAAGACCATATGATCCGATGAGTAAATTCAAACCACATACTGAAAGACATGGGCTTGCCTACTGGCATTTCGCCACCTCCCTGCTCCAATAAAGGTGCAAGCTTGGCACGGATACACTGTTAGAAACTTAGAATCAATCTGTGAAGTTTCTTAATCTCCCCCCCCTCACTCTCTATCTCCCCCATTTTCTCCATCTGTCTCCCTCACCCCCATCTCCCACTAAACACCCACTCTTTATCTTTATCTCTCAGGCCGGGGGCATTGCTAGACCTTTTTGAATTGCTACTTTTCGACCAAATTTGCCAACAAGTTACAGCTTAATATATGTTTTTAAATTATGCAATGATTTTAATAGTGATTTGTAAACAAGGACAGAATATTTTTCTGAAATTTGCAGGCAAGTGAGTTTTTTTGGGGGAGGGGGAGGGGGTGTCAAGCCCCCGCACCACTCTTGTAACACCTCTATTCATTCTATGTCTTTTTAGTTATGCACCTGATTTGTAGTGCCTCCTTCTTGTGTTTTATGAGTGATGTTGTATTTTTCTTTTGTTTTGTTGATGTTTTCCTAGAACCATCTTGACTTTTTGAAACACAATTCCTAGCATTAATGTAGCTGTATGTGGAATATAACTGTAAATTTAGAAGCCATTATTTCCATGCATTCAAGTTGTAGATTTAATCTGCTCTCAGATCAGCACTACTAAATATCATAGCCAAGATCAAAGCCTTGTACTATTTTGTATATTGCTTTCCAAATCAATGCCCCAATTACTTTTGTGTTGGCTGTGACTAGCTGCCATTGATTTTTTATGTTTATTCAGGTGCCATGATGCGAAAAGGATTTTCACACATCTACAAATGATTATTGTGTGTGTCTGATGGAATTACAGATGAATAATGATATTCTATTGATCATCGTACACTGGTTCCTTTGTATAGTGATTCTTTATTTATGTAATCTGTGAGTATAATAGTTGACATACAGAGTAATACAATATTGGACTTGTATGAGTTGTATGCAGATCGAAGCATGATCGTCATGAGTGTCTTTCAATCATACTGAATGCAGTAGGCAACCTGTTTCAACTAAAGGAAAATGAACGGAAAACAGATCTGTTGAGTGAAGAAAAGATCTGAATTCTAAAAAGGGTATACAATGAAAAGAAAACCCCAATGGATTTGTAATATGTCTGGGTATTTATAAGTAGAAGCTCTCAATCTGACTTTTTACCATAAATTCCAGGAGTGTAATTAAATAGGGATGAATTTCAATGTAAAGAATAGAATAGGAAATATATATGAACGTTATAGTTTTTTCTCTATATATATAGAAAAAGTATGTCATATTTTGCTCTATAGATTGTTTAGTCCTGACCAAACCATAAAAAAACCCAAACTATCTTGTACTTCATCAGATGTGATTCCTTTTTCGGCCTATATTTTAGAGGATTCACCCCCCCCCCCCCCCCCACCAAAAAAAAATCACCTTAATTTCAATAATGGCAAAGCTTCAATCGGGTAAGGTACACTATCCCTTTAAGGGTTCAGCATCCCTGATCACTGTTTTGCTGGAGATGGAAGAAGATGTTGATGAATCATAAATAAGCTGCTCCATATTCTAATCAAGAGCAAGATATTGATTTTCTAGGAGCGATGCACAGGCAAATAGCCTTCAACTTTCAAGTACATGTAGCCTAGCATGCCAGGCAGAACAAACTCCTCCACTTGCAAAATCTAAATTATTTAAACAGATTATTTTATGGATACTGGAATATTTTAAACTACCCCCTTTTCATCAAAGCTCTAGCTTGCTCTGCTGTGCCCATGAGGATAGTCTTCATGTATTTCCTTCAGACTCAGTTGAGCTTATATTTATTGAGAGAGGGCAAGGGGGGGGGGGCATTTATTTTCAGGCTGGAGGCAAAGCAAGACTATGTGAGATTTGACGTTGGGCTATGTGTGTGCATATTATATTCCCACATGTATCAATACAAAGACACATACTGAAATATTCCATTCACAATTAGCTCCAATCAAGCATCCTTGAACTTTAAATTTGGAAAATGTCTATCTTTCATGGGAGGGGGGGGGGGGGGTGGTGTAAAGACAAGATATGTCAGGTTTTTTAAAATTTGTATTGGTGTTATACCTGCAAATTGTTTTATTGAATGTCTGGTAAATTCAATTTTTACTTTAGCAGTTTCCAGTGCAATTTTAGAAATAATTTCAATTAAATTTCACAGATAGGACATACGTGACATATTCATAACTTCTGCAAGTCGTACATAATTTGATGTTGGTTGCAAATGGAACATAGTACCTTTATATTCTAGAGTAGAGTCTGTGTCTCAAGACTAGTTCATATTTGTCTGGCTTTCAGAACCCTTGTCCTTTTTCTTTGTGATGTTCATTTAGATCCTAAATATATATATCATGCCATGTATGAACTGTTACATAATCTTTATCTGTAGTTATCAATTGACAAGACCATGTTACTTCTTGTGTTATCTGCTCGTTCAAAGATATGGTGTGGAAACTTATTTCAACTGATCTTTTGACCTTTGCAACTCCAAATTTACAGACATGGTTTACATTGTTAAGCAAATTTGATTGCAGGTATTATAGGATCAGTCATACAATATTCTGGTCGATCAATTATTGAGAAGAATAACCCCCCCCCCCCCCAAACCCCCCCAAAACACGAGATCTTTGGAGCTTCTAAATTACTTTTAAAAATCATCATAAAAAGAAGTATAAGCTAAGATTTATTTTATTGCTAAATGTATTACTGCTACATAATGATGCACTCTATTTTTCTCACTTCAGAGGGAAACAAATTTTTTTGTAGGGTGCCAGAAAATACATTTTATATAAAAATAAAATGTATCCAAATTGTGTACAACTATAATACTTCCACATACCACTTTTGACTTCATTTTTATTAGACTAATCAAATATATCCACAAAATTAGAGGTATATGTTTCAAAATATCAAATTGTAGGGGTATCTAACTATATAAGATCAAAGGAAAGGCTGTTTTTCAAGTCTAACTCTAACCAACTCCCTGCTCTAACCAAACAAAGTTCAACCCTATGTTTGATCAACTGTAAGCCCCGCCCACCCTCCCAGACTCTATCATTGAGTGCCTGTATGTATGTGTTCTTACCTAGCAACTGGTTGTATGGAATCACTCCTGAACTTTGTGACAAAGCAGAGTGCTCATCTTTTCAGATAACTAATCATTGCCCTGGGTGGTTCTCTTGATCAAAGGATAGGATTTAGGAAATTCACAAACACATCAAATACTACAGGTATGTAAGCCAGTTTGCATTTTGTGAAGCATAAGCATTTTATATTTCATGTAATGCATTAAGTGTGTCTTCCCTTGTAACTGGTGTTGGTAAGTTAATCAAAGTTGAATTCTTTAGCAAATTTTTATTGTAATATGTAAGGATTCCCAAGAAAGGTAAGACTTTGAGTTTAATTTTCATTTATTACAGTAAGTAATTAATTACTGCAATTTCCTGGTTTCAGAATGAGCTTCAATGGTTCATGCCTTTTTACTGGTTATAACAGATTTGTTTTGGGTACCATGTTTTCAAAATTTAATAACAAACTTTTGCTACTGTGATTTTGTTTTAAAGAGGATCTTTCTGAAAGGACTCCAAGAAGAGGAAAAATTATCTCATTCTATTAATAGTATTATGTATACCTTTAAGTCCTTTATGCCAAACCCTCATGAAATCATCTTTAGTGGATATGGTGATGTTTCTCGACCATTTCATTGATGGAGATAGATCTTTATTTAGAAAGGTAGAGAGGTATATGTTTGTACTTTGATGTGGATATATCATCTGGTAATATAGTAGTAAAATGACTGAGCTCTTTCTGGATGGACAATCTGCATCTGTTGCTTCTGTCTGACTTTATTTCTTGATTTAGAATGCACTTTACTCTCTAAAGGGCACCTTGAAAGGTCTAGTTTCTGAATATAGCTTAATCACTTCCTTCCCTCCCAGATAGCTAGTCATTCTAAAGCCATCTGTGTCTCTGTTTACCGAATAGCTCATCTTCTTTAGCTTTTTAAAGTAGTGAGTAAGACATTGATTATTTAGTGTGCTTTTTTAGCTTAAAGAACTGATCATGGAAGGATATGCATACATTTCCTGTATTGCAGCTGCAGAAGTAAATATATACTGCACAAATTGGTTTTCTATCATATCATATCATGTGACCTATTTCTTGTTTAACATTTCATTTGCCAAGAATCAAAAGGGCGTTAACCTTTTTTTACATGATAACGAGTCAACATCCTGCTTGTTCTCAACAGAAAATCCGTTTAGAGCCAGAAGGGTATATTACCTTTAAATGGAATGTGCCATGAGTAATGTCCTTTTGGTTCTTAAAGGTAAAGACCAGTTATGGTCATGCGATTGCATTGTGAAAGAAACGTTGTGGAATCGATCAGAAAAGGTTGATCATCTAGCATATAAGTATTGGTATGTACTGCAAGGTTCTGGAATCATCAAAATGATAAGAAATATGGCCCAGTCTTCGTAAAGTTACAAGCGCTGTACACAGAAAGATGAATATGGGACTATCGTGCACGACACATGCGTTTATCTCTCACAGACCATGTAGATAAACTAGTTTACCAAATATATCAATTAGTAGACGGTTTCCCGGCAGATTTTATATCATCATGTATTAGTCAAAACATATTCTTTCCCATGATTGGTAATAAGAGCTTCCATTTCATTTTTTGAAATTGGGGTGTTTCCAATACTGGTCTTTACCTTTAATTACCTGATGATTCTGGAAAATAAGAGAAGAAGTTACATATAATTAATTGGGAGTGAAATAGCAAATTATCACCTGATGTTATTTGTAGTTCTTATATCATGCTCAGAGCCAAAGGGGCATAACCAGATATCACTTCACATAGACAATAGATTTAATGCCCTTATGGCTCTCAGTATATAGATGATGCAATGGAGTTAATACCATCCTGTGCAAGCTACCATGTTATGTATATAGTTCCTGTCACAGGTCTCACATGACATTGATTATTGTTTGGTCTTGTAGCTGTAGAGGAAAGAATCCATGACCTTTGAATCCTGTTTGTAGTTGAAAGCGAATAAATACCTTTCATTGAAAAAACACCTTAAAAAATATTGTCTGCAGGGCTGTGCAGAGAGCCAGAAGAATCTTCTAACTTATACTATTATGCAAAAAGTTAATGCCCCTCTGGCTTTAAGCAGACTTATGTATTTGGTGAACAGCTGCCTTAATGTTTTTCCAAATGTATATTGAGATAGTCATCATGTTTTTATAATTGCCTTTATATATTGGACTCAGATTATTTAGGCTTGCACAATGTGGCTTGCACAATGTAGCGTACAGCAAATAATAGATGTGCAGAAACATGCTAAGGAAATGTGATGGAGATGCACTGATCATCTATAGGCTCAGTGCATAATTTTGAAAAATGGTTGAGAATTTGTAATTTCACACTTCATGAGCACATTGTATAGTAGCAACAACTGCATTAACCTGTGTGCTGCAAACAGTGATGAAGGAGGTTTAAAGTGGATAGGTGTTCATATAAACAGTCATGGTGAATAGGGGGGAAATGATTTTACTGTCGTGTAGATGAACTATGTTACAAAAAGGGCAATATGCATGTTCCTCCAGACCTGGGAATTGAATCAGGTGCCCTTTTTCAAGAGTGCAACAAACTTTTTGTTCGAAATTCAGAATTCAGAAACGACCCCCAGAAAAAATAGAACGTTTTCAGGTTTGGATTAAAAGCAAGATATTTTGGTGGTATTGTGTGACCCTCTCGTTTTTCATTCACAGTTTCGCAAACCTCTAGAAAGAGAACAGAATCAATAAATTCTATAAGGGTGTGTTGACTTGTTCAGCTATCATGGTCATCTTTGGCATAGCATACCATGTTATGTGGGTGTGAAGATACATGTACATGTCTATGGGAGCTAGTTAATCATTGCCAGGGTCTCCATCAGTATCAGTATCATCTCTGAGTATAGAAACCAGACGTCTCATGTACATATTGAGTTTGGTAAAGAAATATTTAAATTATACATTGGCACGGTGTCTGGTAATGTGATTTCATTTTCATTTTCATTTTATTTCGTTCGTCATATACATGATTATAACATTGATATTTACAGATAACTAAAGAACAAACAAATAACATAACAAAAGATAAACATAAAATACAAATATATATACGAATGAGGAACCAGCAAGAAAGAACAATTAAGTCTTGTGTGGTGCTGGTCCCTTGCGACATAATAAATAATTTCAAGTGGTATATTAGTATGAAATAGTGGGAACAAAATTGAGACCTTGGGTATAGTTTCTGACGACCTACACAACATGCTACTCATTCAACAACAGCAACAACAAAAGAGAAAGAAAAATAGTGTATGAATATAGAAAATCCACAGGGCAGAGAAACAGTGTTCTAGAAATGTTTATCCTGCTTATTTCAGGTTAGACATCTACAGAAGCAGACATGGAAAGAAAAGGAGCATAATTTAGTATTATGGAAAAGTGGAAAACAAGACAGAGCATACACTTATAGAATTCCTTATTGATGTATCAATTTTATGGTAGCGAATAGGGAATATAAATCATATGACGATAGATTCTGAGTAGTGAATCAATATCAGTTACCCTGAATAGCGAATGCATTTTGTAAGAAGAATTTTGTAACCAAGCCTTTTTTTATAGGCCATCCATGTTCATTGTTATAGAATTGGTCAGGTAATCTTCGATCTATTGGCATGTAGGGGGTCGTACTTTCAATATGGCCACTGAGGTGAGAATATTTGATTTCATATATGCCGCAAAATCATCCCACCAATTAAAGATCCATTGAATTGATTTCAGTGTTAGTACCCTAGATGGACTCCATGACGATAACCTTGGCTGTGTACATGTTGATACGTAACCATGGAGTTTCTATGCATCGATAGCATCAGGCCATATGTGTTGGCCACTGCCAATTCAAACATAATCTATTCATTGGTGATTATACTCATCTTGAATGTGTTCATTGATATGTAGTTATTAATCAAAGGGGATAGAGTGTAGCATTGGATGTTTAATTCATTTGAGTGCTATGGTTTTGCTTTGGATGGAGGTAGTGTGTTTTGTGCAGAATTAATCAAAGGGGTATAGAGGTAAGCTTTTTATATTATTATTAAAAATATCAAGGAATTTGTGTGTTTTGTGTAATGCCTTGAGCAGAAACATCTGATATATACATGATAAATATTATTTGTTGTATATCCTGTAATGCATGCAGGTTCAGTAACCTGGTTATGACACATGAGTCAGATGTGGTTTTGACATTGATTATATGATAGAAAAGAGTATGGAACCTAAGAAATATTGAAAGGACAATAATAGCTTACTGGGGGTTCCATATATTGTAAAGAAAGCATAATGCACTCATATGCTTGCAGTGAAGAGCAAGGATTCAATAAGACTTTTCAGCTATTAGTAGATTTTTTGTCGGGTGGGGGGGGGGGGTGGGTTCTTTGTACTTAACCAGTACTATAAATTTGTGATCGTCCATTTAGGCTCCCTGTTATGTGAGAGGATAGTAGGCTGTATTTTACACTGTTTAGTGTACTCCTGATGTACACTTGAGATAAATGATTAACTAAGGCACAGACATCTCTTCATTCAAGCAAGATATATTGGACATTCCATCCATTACTCGGTAATCAGTGCATATGCTTTGATGTGGTTTTATTTTTTAATGACTTTTATCATTATGTGGTCTAATTAATATCCTCTTTTATTGAGAGATGTATTCTTTCAGTATATCATTGCCTATTGAAATGAACCTTTCAGATTAATAACAATAGAGAAAGTTGACATAGTTGCTTAGGGAACCCCAGCTAGGGATATTGACATAAATAATTAGGCCAATGAGGAGGGCCTATTAGTCCAATATTGGTGTGGGTAGGAGGGTTAATTTTAAAACCCTTTGGAGGCTGATTTATTTTAATTTAAACTGGTATTTCCAGTGTGTTGGTAGCTCAATGTTTTTTTTTGTGTGTGTCTGTGTGGGAGGGGGTGGGTGGGGTGCTCAGATGTCAATGAGTTTAATAATGGACTTCATAACAGTGTTTGAATCCATTTTGCACCTAAATAGTTAAAGGATTGATATATTTCATACCCAGCTCATACCCATCCAGCTCAGCCGACCGACTGACTGACTTTCTTTTTTTAGTCACTCCTTTATTTAGTTTTGAGATATAACAGAATGCATAAAACTGAATTTAGACAAATTAATATTTTCAGTCTTGAATAATTATCGCCTTTACAACCCTGGGCAATTGCACCTAACCAAATGCCATCTTCCTTACTAAAGTTGTTTATGATCGTCTTGTAGGATGGTGAAAGAAAAACACATTTAATCATTAAAAATACATTCAATATATATATATATATATATATATATATATATTTCTATATACAGTCTTCATTTACTTTGAAGTTTCTGGAATACAGCTAATGTCAAATTACTTTTTCTCTCTTACAGATAACAAGTAATCTGTGACCTCTACAAGCATTGATCTTTGTGGTCTATCTCTAAAAGGAATCTTTGCTGTATAACAATGGCTGGAGGAGGAGCAGGTATTCTCTGGGCGATCATTTGGTGCGTCATTCTCATCTTCTTCGGCTGGCCGATCGGTTTCTTCGTGGCCTGGCTCTGGGTATGCATCATGCCGTTTGCAGTCTGTATAAGCTTCTGTAAAGACATCATGGAACTCTTACAAAAACTGGTTATGTTGCCGCAGACCTGTGCAGAGGGCATGGTTGGCCAGAAGCCAGTGTGCGGCTAAACTTTCAGAGATGCAACTTCATTGCGCAAAGAAACTTACAATTTTCCACATTTTCCAGGCTCTCAGTGACGCTAGCTGCTGCCATTTGATGTCCCAATATGCTTTCGGAAGATTGCTTCCAGTGATTTTATATAATTTGTAATTACACAATCATATTTATTATAATTATGTTCCATATTAGCCCTCCTGCATCTAATCTAATGTATGTTAATTATGCATTCAATATATTTGTTTAATTTCATTTATTATCTGTATAAAATTATATACACTTAAAATATTGTATCAAACCATATTATGTTCATGAAAATGTATGATGAAAAAAAGAAAAAAAAAGATGCAGAAACCAATAAATAAAATAAAATCAAATCAAATCAACTAAAACTATTTTTAACAACATTATAAGTGTAGTTGCTTCTAATTACTGGTATAGAAAAAGCTTCCTAATGCATGCAGTTTGTAAATACAGGTTCAAAGTTTTCTATACATTCTATTTCTATATACAAGGATCGACCATGCATATACTTTTGCAGGTATTGCAGGTATACGTTTATGCAGGCCTAGTTACGACTATATGCATGAACAGATGCATATTCATTACCATGCGTATGTATTGCTCGAAAGAAAGCTTAATTATTCCAGTATGCAAAAGATAATATTCCTGGTATGAAGCAGCACTGTATGCTTGTGTAATGAAAGAATCAAATGGCATAGATTTCAAGGTGTACATAAACCAATGAATGAATCAAATTAATAGAGTATTTTTATGATTGATAGATTGACTTCTAGTCGATATTACATAATTGGGCATGAAATCAGGGTATATTTTATTTTAACTACCGTATTCATTGCAAATCACACCAAATTTATATGTTAGGTATCATTTTTATGATTACTTCTTTCATTTCAAATCATATAAAATTTTGAAGGTAAACAGGCCAGGCATTATGCACCTGTTAATTACTTAAGCAATTAAGGAGATATTGGCAGTAAGTAAAAATGTTATCTTCTTTAGAGTTGTTATACATTTATATATACCTCATTTTTGTTTTATGATGTTTTCTACATAATGCTATGCATGCATTTCATCTCAGTAAATTTACCTAGGCTCTACATAGTAAAACTTCAGTTTCATTATATGAAATATATCGCTTGTTTGAGTATTAATATACTTTAATGACTACCTAGTGTACCGGTACTGTTTAAAACAAGAACGAAATATGGACCTTATAAGCTTATCATTCTTTTATGTGACTGATATTGCCCCAAAGGACTGGATATGTAGATGTTCCTCATGTACATAGCAAACATTTAAACCCAAGGATGAATGCCTGATAACATACAATATGCTGCTGCAGTTATCTTGTGTCTATCCTTTCTACATAATTCCCAGTCAAAGGAAAGGAATAGAATATTGACATTTTTTAATCTCTGGCTTTTTAATGTGTATTTAAGAAGAAAAAAAATATATATATTCAGTTTACTGTTATTGTTTTCTTTCAAAACATGCCATTTTGTAGACAATACACGGCATGTTGATTCTGTCAAAAGACAAAACATGCCATTTTGTAGACAATGAATATTCAGTTATTTTGTTGTTTACCGTAAAATGATGTTCTCTATCAAACATGCCATGTAGTAGCTGGTAGGCACAAGACCTCAACAGCATATTATTATGTACCCAAGTGCGGCTTCAAACATGTACGTCCAACACTGCTGTGCCAATATATCTTTGTATGAGATAAGTAATAATGTTTGTTTTTCATTAATTGATTTAATTTTGAATAAACAGAATGATTGATTTGTATAGTTATGCAAGTGTATTGTGATTTTTTGTTATAATTGTGACTGAGTCAAGAAATTTTAATGAATACACAATTAATCACTTTTAACAATTGATTTTAAAAGAGTTTGGATGTAACTATACATGTATTAGATGGTGATCTGACATTTACATTGGCGACCATTGCTCCAGGCTTTATTTTGTAGAAAGTAAAGAATTAGGTTTAGGGTTTCAATTAGTTTTTAATTTAGGTTTCGCATTAGGGTAAAGGTATAGTATTGGGTCCAGGGTTGAAGTTGAGAATTAAGTTAGTGTTGGAAATTACAGTGAAGCAATTCGTCGCTGTTTTCACGAAGTGACGGTAGTGAAAAAAAATTGCATTCACTTTGCGTTACGATTTTCCTCACTACCGTCACTTCGTGAAAACAAGGACGAATTGCCGCAGGAGCATATTAGATTGCAGGATTCCTATCCTTTTAGTATACAGACAAAAACCTCTGTGAATTGTAGTAAAGTGTATAGGGCATAGAGACTAATCAGACCTTGTATTGAAGCTGATCATGGTGGATGTGGGCGTGGTCTAATCGGGGAGATGGTCTAGAATGTAGACTACAACTTTTTTGAAACTTTTTAAGATTTTGAACCCATCTTGAGCTGTTGAACCAATGGCTGTCCAGCTTCACGTTACTCTTGATATTAGTCTATGGTACAGACCCTTCATAATGATCAGTTTGCAAACTAAAACAATACACCTCAACAGCAATCTGATACAAATTGTTGCCTGATACATGTTCATCATCACATCAGAAGGTCATGGGAAATATGCCAGAACAGAATTTTTTTTCAGAATTTGATACCAAAATCGTCTGTTTTTTTTCTTCTCCCTCCACTACTACCCTGCCGGTGAAAATATGTATACAACAAGAGCAGAGAGCAGAAGCTGAGCCTACAGTATTGAAGTATCAAATTTAAAAAAAGGTCAGATAAACTTTTGATAAAGAACGAGAGAGAGAGAGAGAGAGAGAGAGAGAGAGAGAGAGAAGGAAGTGGAGGAGAGAAAGAAAGACAGACAGACAGACAGATATTGAGAGAGAGAGAGAGTGAGAGAGATAGAGAGAGAGAGAAGGAAGAGAAAGAAAGTCACGAGACAGACAGACAGATATTGAGAGAGAAAGAGGGGGAGAGGGGGAGATATGGGATAGCTCTGGGGAATGTGTGTTAAGATTGCTTCTGATGGTTTCTTTCTAGAGAAATTCCTAAAGTTCAAGAGCTCTAGCTGAAAACAAAACTTTAAACTTTAACACTATCACAAGTAGATGTATCACAATTAGAAATAAAAAAGTGAGCTCCTGATCACTTTGTTTGTATAAATATAGCAATGAAACTGGAGCTTTAAAAAGTTGGGCAAAATGAATTGGGTGTATTCACCTTTCATGTCTTGTGCCTCAAATAAAATAAAGCATAGCAAAGTAAAATAAGAAGTTATAGCTGATAGTTAATTTCATAACTCTCTTTTTATTAACATAATCTAAGAAACTGGAATGATTCATAGGGGTTTACTTTACTTTGATACCAGAGAGTGCAGAGATTATAAATTGATAAAGTGTCATAAATGTCATAATATGTCATGATCTATTAAATTCATGTTATCATCATGTGAGAAAACCTCCCATGATAGTGAAGTTTATAGGATGTTACATGTTGCAAAAATTAAATTTCCTTCTGTCCTCCAATTATAATTGAATTTCCACAATTCTAACAATTTTGTTCCCATGACAACTTAATAGTCTACCACAATATCCTGTGTCCTAAGGGAGAAAATCGTAAGTAAAATAAACAGAAATTGTCAAGGAAGTGGACAAGAGTCATCTCATATTCTATGAATTTTAAAGTAACCATACAACACTTGGGGATCAGTATATAGGGAAGGATTGAACGTGATCAGGCCAGGCGCCCTGAGAAGGATGCAGGTATTTTTCTTGTTTTAATTGTTGTTACAACAACTGCATGTTTGGTACTAGTTTGTGAAGTTTATTTTTTTTTTCTTCAATTGCAGGAGTTTTAGGGAGGGAGGGAGGATGAAAATCTAATAAGCAACTTCTTTGGATTATGTTTGTAATGATTAGGTAATGATTTGAAGTGAATCATACCTCCTTTTTTGTCAGTATCAATTGTCTCTCAGCTGTCTCCGTCTTTTCAGTGCTTATTTTCTCTTTCTGGCTCCCATCTAAATAATGACAAATTTCCAATCATCTCATCATATATGAGTGTGAAGTGTGTGAGCCAATAGTAGTAACCCCTTTCAAGGACATTTGTTCTATTATGAGAAGGAACAAGTGGAGGAAACTACAGTCTAGGCGAGAAGTTTTAGTTTGGAGTGATGAAACAACAGTACAATGTGCCCACGCTTTTTATCTTGTTCACATACATCACAAAATGTGGTGTTTGTGATAAAACGGGACACTTTGACCCCTGTTGACCTAACAGCCTCAAGGTGTCAACATTGGTTGTTTCAGATATATCTGTGTCAGAAACAGTTATATCTCATCAAAACATATTACATGTTTTCTGGATTCAGAAAACTCAATACCTCATATGCACCTGTTTTTTTCTTCAAAAATGCAAAATTTATCTGGGACGTTTGATAATTAATTTTCTGTCAAGTAGCCTTCAACAAAACATATTAGGTGCTTATTAAAAGCTTCTCTTTATATACCTGTCATACTATGCTTTATAGGTGATTATCTCTGTGGAAAATATAATAGTAAAAACTTGAATTTTGAAACTTCTTAAAAGTTACCCTTCCTATAGAATATGGTATGAGTTGCACTCCATGGCCCCACCCCCTCCATCAGAACTCAAATCATCAAAGGATATCACTACATTAACTTCTTGTCCCAATTCCCAGACCTCTAAAGCCAAACTATATAGCAAGCCAACTACTTCCCTTTAATCTCTAAACCGATCTGACAGATCAGCTGTATATTAGAACCGCTCCGAACAGACGAGCTGAGCATTCGAGAGAGGCAGCATCTGGCCGAACAAGTGCGTCTAGGGTTAATTGCTTTATTGTCCTGTGCCATCACCAGTCAAACATATCCACTCACTTTCAGCATCCCAGACTAGACACACAAGCTCTGAATTCTATCACAGTTGGAATATTGTTTCTTTGAGTTTATTGGGAAAGCAGGAAAGAATTTATTTGGATTATTTCAGTCAAGAGCTTTGTATACGGTAAGTCTCTTTTACGCTTCGTTGGAGTGTGTGATGTTTGCTTCCAGCGCTGCTAGCTAGACATGACATGAATGGATTCCTTGATCGGCTTCCATGTGGTGCAGCTATCATAGCATGCGCCACACCCATTTTTTCACTCAGACCAGTTGCTGCTGCTGGTGTGTTCATAACTATACCAAGAACATATATACTACGTGCTTAGAAATAGCTAAACCTTATCTTCTTTGAAGTGATTGATATTTGTGATATTTTTAAGGAGTATAGTTTGGATCAATATTTATGCAGGAGAGGCATCTCATTCTTGAAGTAAGGTTTAATTTGTATGCAGAAAGATATATATAGAGAGAGAGCCATATGATATCTACTCTGTAAGATTTCTGTTTCAGTATTTCTATCCTCAAAATACAAAATATAAAATGTGTATTGATATCTTAGAGAATATTTCACTTATACATTTTTCTTCTGTATGAGAGAGATATTTGTTTAGCTGATAATTTTTTTTTAAAAGATACATGCAGCATGAGATGGATGGAGGTTTCAACTATATACCGGTATATGCTTCTTGTGCACTTTTTAAGATTTTGCATATTTCTAGCTGTATTTTTCATTTTGAGATATGTCTCAGACATTATTATATTTTTAGTAATAATTATTAACATCATATATTCAGGAATTATGTATCAACTTGAAGCAAAATTAAGATAAAACATAACATTCTAGCTCCAGTCATTTATGAATGAGAGAAATCACATATACAGATACTGATTCTGCTTCCATAATGAGATGAATTGGAAACAAAAGCATAAGCTATATGTTTATAGAATGGTATATATATGCTGCTCTACTGCATGCATCACTTGTATTGATGGTACTTGAGTATGTGAGTCATCTCCTGACCTTAAAACTGGAGACTATAATATGACAGGGTCTGGTGGTGAGAGCAATTTAGTCAAGTAGTTTTGGTTTCAGCTGAGGATTTTTGTATTATGAATTAGAAGACAGACAAAACATATTTATATGTACTTCTGTGCATTATAGGAAAATTGAATATATATTATGTTAATGTGATGGAGATGAGAGAAATACATGTGTGTGTGTGTGTGTGTGTGTGTGTGTGAATGTAATGTGTATGCGGAGAGAAAATAGAGCGAGAGAGAGAGAGGGAGATAGAGAGAGAGAGAGGGAGAGAGAGAGAGAGAGAGGGAGGGGAAGGGTAGGAGTAGAAGATATGATATTTATTTTGTTCAAAATGCCTATACTGCAATCTGATGTCATTTCCCTGGGAATATGAATTGGGGAGGTGGGGTGGTGCTGTTAACGATACTCTATAATGTAGGCCTATAACAGTCTTTTTTCTTTTTCACATTTATTATTTCTATGCATCCCAGATAACATTCCAGAGTAACGACAGGCTGAATCGTGCTATTGTCTGCCTCCTTTTCCTTCATTGACATCAACCCCATCTCGTTACCATGGCAAACTGCGGCTGGTTGTGGAGCATCATCTGGATCATCCTCCTGCTCGTGATCGGATGGCCCATCGGTCTCCTCTGTGGCATCCTCTATGCCATCTTCTGTGCGTTCCCACCCTGCTGTCCTGGTTGTAACGATCTGGTGAACTTTATACACCGGGGCTTGGACCTCCCCCGTACCTGTGCCACCAACATGGTGGCCCAGCGATCAGGGTGCTGAGAAGGGGTGTAGCTAAGGGCGTGGTTGGGTGTAGTTGGTTAGCGATCCAGGCACGATTGGATAATTATAAGCAGAGGATGAGCTGGAACTGGGGTTCTCTTGTCACCCCTCTTTGGATTTTTCTCACCAAGGAGAGAGGCTGCCTATATTTTGGACACACATTTATCATGTCAACATTTTTTGATCGAGGCTATTTGTAATCTTCCAACCTCTGATAAAAGTTAATAAATAAAAACTTACATACATATTCATATACCGTACAAGTACTTCAGGATATGTGCCAGACTTAAGTTGTGCATCACACTACTAATTGCAACTTTATATACTGTGGTTAGAATGCCTGTCTAGGTATCTTCCCTTCAACATAATTTTTCATTTGTATTTATTTCGCTGTTTACAACAAAAGATGAGTTGTGATGCAGAAGGTTCTGATTTTTGTTCCCATGTACAAAAAAACAATCAAACATTAACACTGTTATGATATAACCAGCTGAGGATGGGGGTGTATATATTGAATGTGTTTGGTAGAAATTAGTATGATAGTAGATAGATAATTTAGCTGCCTATATTATATATCTTGTAAGTATATACTGCAGGTATATTAGATATGTTTTTCAATGAGGCTGTCAATTGTACCATTACTGAAATGTCTAAAGTCAAAAGTCTTCAACTCAATATATTTTAGTTTATATAAGTCATTACCATATAATCATTTTATAAGATAAAGATGATTTTCCTTGCTACTTGCTATGGTATAGTAACTTATTTGTTTTCTAACAGACTGTATACCTTCTTCCATCAAACTTATAAATCTTTTTTATCATGAATGTTTCTGTGTAATATATTTATGCACTGTCTTGTTACAAACATTACTCAAACATCTTTTTTTATAAATAGTTGTCAGACTTATACATAAACAGTTTTAGTCAGTGTCCACATTTAGGTATGGTCTGAAAGTGCTGAAAGTACCTTGATTCACAAATTGAGAGCTAAAATGTAGCCATTTAAAATGTGTGGTGTTATAAGATCAAAGTAATTATAGATAGAAAACAAATATAATGTTGGTGCTCTCTACAGATTAATTAAGGCTTCCACATTGAAAATGACTGCAACTCTGCAAGTATTAAATCAATGGAGTATTCTTTCTCAGTTGTTTTGGGGGCAACTAGATCTGTCCTAATTATTCCCTTTGAATTCTGAAAATAGGTTTCATTATCATTGCCACTTATCCATTGTGTCTTGTTCATCTGAAGAACCTAGAAAGGTTAAGCTATCACCTGTCTGGATGATGGATGTAAATAAGAGGATGGGATTGAGCTATCATCTTACATGCATGGGTGATACATGGGTTCAGGGGGAGTTAATACATCCAGACAGACAGCCAGCCATGCCATTCCAATAATTGCTTCTTCCTCCCTGCTCTTGATCCTCAGGGATGTTACAGGTCATTTTCGCAAACAAAGTCTGTGAATGAGTATCAAGGGGTGGAGAGGAGTGATGAAAGAAAATGAGGTTAATTCAAATAGTTCTATGATTCTATCATCTCTCGTTTAAGTACATTTTAGGGTCGTTTTTCTGTGTTTTGAGAGAAAACGAAGCCAATTGCAGTAAACCAGTATAATTTTGCAAACAGATGCAAAAGGCATACCTATGTTAATTTAAGTGAAATATAGGGAGACTGTTCAGGCCTTAAACCAACTCTTGCCTGTCAGTTCCCTTGTATTGCACTTTAAATGGAACCAAACTTCACATCTGGTATTCTAATCAGACACTTGTACATTTCTCCTCTCATAATTTCTTTGTCGAACAAGCAAGCAATCATAAGCTTCATTCATTCCTCACCCGGTATACTAATGAAAACACACTGATTTGCACAATCAGACAACCATTCATAAATCAATCCTCATGCTTGCATCTTCCTCCATCTCTTCCCGTGAGGTTCTTGAAGCAAACTTCCTGCATGGCTGACCTATACGGGGGTGTACACTATACATCCTATTGACACTGCATACATTTATTTCCTCCACCACATATAAGGCTGAACATAGAAAAGATATGAGGCTGTCTGGGAGTGGTTGATATTGATATGTAGCAGAGGATGTCCGCTACTCGTCATGCACTTCATTATTACAAGTCATTGAATCTGCTTAGATGTTTTTGTGCATATAAGGTGTCAAATTATAGTATTTCAATGAATTTGATTATTCTTCCAGCTGTAAACAATTACTACGCAATTTTTTAACGCATTTTTGTGCTTAAACATACTATATGAATGTCCATACACTGTTATGTTAAATCATGTAAAAGTAGTTTAACTTGAGTCAGTGTTTTCGAACAATTTATTGTAAACATTAGAAGATCATTTTCACATTGAAATATATATATACAAAGTTATTCTGCTACACTGGTATAGATGTTAATGGAATGAAATTATTTAAAAAAACTTATGATATGAAATTGAAAATGTATACTTGTATTGGGTAATTATAAAGTAACTTGGAATATGAATCAGGGATCATATATGTTTGTAACTAAAATGTTCAAAAATGTTCGATGAATAAAGAAATTAGATGAAGGGCCAATTAAATGCATTGTGCCATCAGTACTGCCTTAAGTTTTAAGACAACTCTTAAGACTTCCAACTTTTGATTTGATCAGAGCATTTATTATTCTTGTAGAAACTATATCACATTGAAATTCTGAAGTGCACACTGTATCATATTTTTTGTTAAGACATTTACTTTATTTATCTACTTGCACTTGGAATATTGATTGTTAAAATAAAAATATTACTGACCACAAAGGTCATAATGAGATCTAACTGTTGAAAATGATTTCATTACAGCAAAATAAACTTAATCTGCGGGTTTACAATATTTTGTATCTTTTCACTTCTGCTTGGTGCCTCACACTTTTCTTTCTCTACCTGATCTTTCATTCAAGAAACCCATTTTGGGAGTTAGAATTATTGAAATATGTTAATTCATCTCTTTATACAATTGCTGTAGATTTAAATTTTGCACAGAAGTGAGTTACTCAAAAGGGAGACTGCCAGATGTGTGTGTAGTCAGCCACATTAAATATGGCAGTCACGACATCCTGACAAGGAAACTTTTGAAGTGTGAAACATATTGTTTGGATGAAAATGAAATGGTTGTGAAAATAGAATTGGGAAGATATTAGCGTTATGAAGACTTTTGAGTTTAAGAAATACAACATTAGTTTCAATTTATGAATGAACCTAAGCATAGCTATTATGATTGTAATTGGCTATTGTTAATGTTGACTTCTATACTTACAGGTAACTGATAATTTGAAGCCGAGTTCATTTGTACATCATTGAGCATTTTTAAAGATACAGACGAGAGTGGCCATATTTAATGAAATGGTTTCATTATAATTTAGTTCAATTAAATGAAGCCGAGGAAATGATAGACTATCTATAATATGGGATTGCTCTACACTGGATTTGGGTTTAGATCAAGCATTTGTCAACAAAATGTGGTCATTTCCACATTGCGTGGAATGTTTGTGGAGATAAGACTAATTTGATTGGCTATTTTGGCAACTGTAGTTTCAGAATCAAATTGTTTTCACTAGTTTGAAAGTACAAAATTAATGGTTTCCACTCATAGTGTTGCAATTTCTCTTGACATACTTTGTTTTGTAAAACTATGGGAACTTTGAGCTTCATTTTCAAAGTGAGGATAGAGATATTTGCTTCATGCATACATGTATAAAAGAAAATGAAATTCAGAAGTATGGTATTGTTAGTAAATGTAAAAAAATGACAAAATCATTTTATCAGCTTGTCCAAACAACCACAAGAAGAAACAAAATCATGAAAGCAAGATATGTCCATGACATGGTTATCTATATTACATTGTTGTAACTTTCTGTCTATTTGCCATTTATATGAATTAGTTACATACACAGTTTATGTCCTTTAGATGGACCAGTAGTTATATATTGTAACATTTCTGTATCTATTTCATTTGTAATGTCAATAAATGAATGACTCAATAATATTATGGTCTTGGTAATTGGAGAACTTTTTTTACAAGGCTATTTTCATTTCAAAAAGTTAAATGGTCAAGAAGGTTCACTCTAATTTTTTTTCAGGAGATGAATTCCACCAAATAATTAAATGTGTGTATATTACACTTGTATCCATATTGCCTTACAAATTCTGCATGATGTGGTTAAATTTGGTTTGCATGTAGTGCATGTCCATCGCAATTCTTCTTGCTATCTTTTGTGTAGCTCAGATCTATAAAATATGGCTGTATGACCAGATCAATGTCAACTGGGAGATCTCTCTGCTGCCAGTAATAATATTGAAGAGTCTAAAGAAAAATATAACCAGTAATAATGATAATGATGATCGTCATCATCATTAACCTCATAACAAAAGTCATGTCATTGATAGTTACAAACCAGAAGACATGTACTGCTCTAAGATGTATACCCATATATGGTTATCTTCACCCCTCATTATCTCTCTGTTCAGCATGCTATGTCTGTCTGCTTGTTAATGCTATATAGTCTTGTAGTCACAGACTCCATTATTTGATTGATTGTCTTGCCACACACAGCTAGTAGATTGCATGGCTGTGTGTCAAATATTGTATGTAACCAACACTCTCCCTGATGTAACCTATTTATATGTCATTATGAGGATAATGTGATCTGAAACAAAGCTTTATTTTTAAATCTTATGTGAACTATTATAATATCTAAAGGCTGAGCGGAAATACATTTTTCTGTTACATATCTTCCTATTTTTATCATTATAAGCATAGATGTCCATCATTACCTTTTTTTTTTAAAGGAACACAAAAAAAAGGAAAAGAAAGGTGTTTAATTGCCATTCGCGGAACAGCAGTTCAGCATGTATTAATAAATACATATAAATATTTTGCAGCTGTAAAATTGATGTCCATATACTGTGCATGATTTATGTTTGATTTGATGTTTAGTTTGCATGCTAAAGTGATCAGTAAAGCATTCCATTGGCATGATATACTATCCATTAGCATTCTTGTAAAGGGTCTGTGGCATGAGAGAAATTAAGATAGAGAAAGATTGGATAAAGAGACAGAGAGCCGGAGTGGGATAGAAAGTGGAGAGGGGAGAAAGGGAAGAAATGAGAAAGAGTGAGAGAGAGAGAGAGAGAGAGAGAGAGAGAGAGAGAGAGGGGGAGGGGGGAAGGGGAAGGAGACAGAGATTAAGAGGAAAGCAAGATGGGAGGGAAAGAGAGGGAAAGAGGGAACGGGAGGAAGGAGACTAGATGAGGTAAGAAGGGCGAAGAAATGTGAGGGGGCACAAGGGGACACAGAGAAAAGGGTGACAGGGACAAAGAATATAAAAGGAGAAGAAGAGAACAGAGGATCATAACGTATTGAAGCTTTGTGTAAAGCCTCGTTCAGATATGACACGGTAAACCGCATTGTTTTCATATAATGATGTATCTGTTGTATGCTTCGATCACTTTTCTGTATCTTATAACAGAGCTCGGTAAATACATGCAAGATCTTTGATGCACAGTTGCCATAAATGTACACATTTAAAAATAAACTTGCTGATGTTATCTCTTGAAGGAAAAAAATACTTTGAAAGCTGCAAGAATACTGACCAATGTTTTAGTAAGGGAAAGATAAAGGCTTATTTTCAATTGGAATCAAATGAGCTCCATTAGCACCAATATAAAAAAACATCTTTTCCATTATAGCTATCATGACCTAAGAGACAAGAAATTTTAAGCAATTCCATATCTTAGTCACATCATACTTTAACAACAAAATGAAGAGGTATAGATATTGCTTGTACACAGTTTATGTCTCACATGTATTTGTAATACATGCCAGACCGAATCATATTTTCCCCATTATACATTCTACATATTTCAAGTCAATAAACTAGCAGTAAAACCTAATCTTTAAATTGTAGTCTCAGATAATAATAGCAACATCTCTAATGCACAGATATCCATTAAAAAAATGAGCATAAACATGATGCCATTTATCAAACATGCAGGCACGTATAAGAAGTAGAGTTTAACCTCATCAGATTTCACCAGCATCAACACACAAAAGAAAACACTGAAGAAACTAAAATTAATGTTACTAGGAGGCATGTAATGTACATGTACAAGAAAGGCCTTTATTTTATTATTTACAAAGCCACAAATGCTGTTTTGCATTTGATCTATGTGCATTTCTACATATTTACATGCATTTTATCAGATATTTCAACAAAATAATGGGTTAGGTTTTTCATAGGTATACACCGGTAAATACATTACAATTCAGACTAGAGTGTTATATGGTACATGATTTGAAAAGTTATGGGATTAGGCATGAGCAAGAAAATACTGTACTGTTCCATCAAACACCATAGAAAAAACCTTGTCCATACATTGATTTACAAAGGAACAGCTATTACCTTCTAAAATTAATTAATTAAAGTACTGGTTATAGTTAAAATGCAGTAAAATGTAGTAAAACATTAGATATTACAAATACGTAATGTAAACATACATTTTAAGAACAACACCTGCAATTCGGATTCTACATTCCAATCCAACAAACGGTATAAAACTATATACATCAATATTTTGTTCATTGTAAGTTAGAAAGGAAGTTAAAACATTTGACAATCATTTGTGAAACCAATATAGCCCAAACATCACTTACAATTTTAAGTTTCATGTTTATAATAATAGAATAAAAATATTTACATGAATTTCTATAGTCAAAAGTGAGCACATCTACATTTGTAAGTATAGATAATTAACTATGAATGTACATATGATTATTCATACATTTATTCCATTCACACAGTAGAAGAGAGAGAGAGAGAGAGAGAGAGAGAGCGAGAGAAGGGAGGGTGAACTAAGGATAATCCCCCAATGATAGCAATTCAAATCTTACCAATCAGTAGTGCATATTTGTAAACCTCTAGCAGCCTTTTCACACACGGTTAAAATTCATCATATCTAGAGCTTTTAAGTAAATTTTCTGTGTGAACGTCATTTATACAATGTTCGGATACGAAGTCACGATTCATACGCCGTTCAAAGCAGGCTACAGATACGAAGTCTGTATCTAGAGAGCAAGACATTTTGTGTGTGAACGGATATATGTGTTTAAACTGGTCTGTAAACGCTCAGTAGGGCCATTGCGCATTTACGAGCAGTGAATCTCGAAGGACCGCTGTTGTATCTAAAGCTGATTAGTTTGAAACTCTTTAAACTAATCAGCTTTCAAGAATTTTACCCATGTGTGAAAAGGCTGTCAATCACACTCCTGACAAGTCAACTTCATTATCGACAGCAGGAGCATTTTAAAACAATATTTCTCTCGATTCTAAAGTACTGTACATACTATATACATTTAAACCTGAAATTTATGAGACCTGTAACATTCATGAAAGGACAATAAGTGCCAATTTCCAGTTCCAGGTGGCGAAATGTATGAAATGTATAGAAAAAAAGGCCAGGGTTGTGATTCAATGACGTTGTACTTTGTAGGATGAAACTTTTATATACATGTACCTGGAAAGTTTCTAGTTAGTGCATACCTTAGAAATAGCTTAACAAATTTAAAATGCTTTGAATGAAAATAAAAGGAACAGTTTAAAAAAAAAAAAATCACTCCATACATCAGAGACAGAGATCAATTTTAAAGCAAGGTTTGGGCAGTTGGAGGAAATTTACATCATTAACTGCATCTTAAAATTTGAATAATTATATCAAATATTTGGCATAAATGGTGTTGTAATTAAACATGGTTTAAAAACTGGTTCAACAGAAATTGGTATCGACAATCAGGCACAAAAGGCGAGACAGATATTGTATAAAAACTAAAGATGATAAAATAAAGCCAGAATGGTTTAAAAATCCCATCACTGAGTTGCTGTTAAAAGAACGGTACTTGTTAAAATACTGAGAAAAAAACCCCCAAAACATTGAAATATGTAAATGACAATCTTAGTTGTTCTACTTTTCTACATTCCTGACATACTTCCTTGAGACATCTTGCAAGGCTCAACAATAAGATCTTGGAGTAATTTGTTCGCACTGTTCCCTTTTAGAAGATATGATGCCATTCAATATAAATGCATCAATATAATGTACCTAATCCTAAATGTGTATTTCACTAGCGAAACCAGCAATTAATTTTAGTTCATTCTTTATTATCGTAAATATCTTTAAAAGACCCACTGCACTACTATATAGCAAACAATGCCTTTGCGGTACCCGTTGGTCCCCCATGATCCCCTTTTTCTTATGTTAATTGAGAGCTAATTTGATGAAATAATCACCTGTCAGTGACCATGCTGGGAGGTCTAATCCCTCCTGGCCAAACTAGTGCAGATTAGTTTTAAGAGGAAGGAATAAATACAATTTTTTTTTAGCAGCCTGCGATCCCTCTGTTGGCCATGTAGCTATCGTTCCTCTTCTGAGCGCGATTCATCCTGTTCCCCGCCCTCCTGATATCGCGTCCCTTCAGCTGAGGCTTCTTGATCAATGCCTTGGCCTTGGACAGGTTAGAGGGACTGTTCTGTTGGGTCTCGCCAAAAGGCTTTAGCTTTCCTGCATGTTCAAAAGGAGGTGAACAATGAATAGACAGTTTTTTAGAATGTTAGGGTAGAATACATGAACAGATCAATGTCATCAAATTGGATATTTTTGTAAAAAGCAGTAGCAAATAGGAATATTCAAACAATAAAATATATACCGGTAGCCTTTTTTTTGTTTTCCAGAGCATTTCCATTGAAATGTGTGTTTATGGTTTTCGTGAAATGCTTACCTGTTTCATAAAACTTGATACCAATAACAAATGCTCATTTTCTATGACAACCCTGCTCTCAGCCTATCAAATTGCACTATTTCAGTAGCTTATTGTAACTTGTTATTGATAACAACTTTTATATGAAATGGGGCTCTGATTTCCTAAAACGTTTAAAAACATTTATGTTTATGTTCATATAAATGAGGCTCCTGAACAACAAAACAAATCAAATTCATCATTATCATGATGAAAAAACGCTCTTAAAGTTTTACAAGCTCTAGACTTGACGAAAGTTGTTCAAGTTAGGTGACAGCATATAGGGTCATCAAAAGATATGTGGCAACAACTTTATATATATCACTGATGTGCATGCAACTGATGCAAGTAATGGGCAAGAGCAATATCGGTGCTAATATTGTTTTGTCTAGTACAATAGACAGCATCAGGGACCATCTTTTAAAGAGTTGATATTAATCGCAACTTATTTGCGATTAATATCAATTGCAAATATATACATAAGAGTTAGGAGACTGTAAACTTGCAATTGATTCAGCTCAATCGCAACTCTTTATAAGACCGGGCCCTGGGGTGATCTCTGATACAGGGTTTCATCAAATAACCTTGCAGTCACACAAAAACTAAAGGATTGCTTACCTGTGTGGGGTTTATACGCCAGGGGCTTGGATAACGATGCTTTAATGTCAAAAATATTGTTAGGTTTGGTTGCTGATGCTGCTGTCTTTCCAAATGGAGTCACTGCACCTGAAACAGTAGAATATTGATCATTATATTTCATTATAGAGTTTCATCTGTTTTGTTATATATTTTCTATATCTATTCCTAGATCATACCATAACAGGGAAATAATATGACACCGCACAGACATCAGGTGATAAGGATACATGATTTACAAGCTTTATTTTAATCATATACTACAATACTGAAGTAAAACTAACCTGCACAAAGGAATGATCACTACATATTTGTTATTCATCAATTGTAAATATAAAGATTATGGTAGAGAGAGAAGAGGAGAGGAGAGAAGAGATAGATAGAGAGAGAGAAAGAAAGAGAGCAAAGGAAGGAGGGAGAGAAAACAAAACAAAGGGAAAACAAAGAGAGTGATTTTTTTTCTTTCTTTCATCCTTACCACCAACTGATTTCCTGGAGGGTGTCCTTGCAGCTCCGAAGGACTTCCTGTCATTGACTGGAGTCGCTCCTCCAATTGATTTCCTCACCCCAGATCCTGGAGTCAGCGCTGAGATCGACTTGCGGACTCCAGGAGTGGCCTTGCGCTTGTCGATGGCCGGAGCGGGAACGCTACTGGGCAGGATGACCTTCTTGGGTGTCTTGAGCTTGGACACCTTGAAGGAGACAGTCTTTGGGTTGACTGACTTGGGGTTGATGGGCATGGTTGCCTTGGTGGGCTTGGGAGAAGCAAAGTTGAAGGTCTGGGACTTGGTTGTACCTGGCTTGGGGGAGGCAAAGTTGAAGCTCTTTGCTGCTTTAAGGACAGGCTTTGTTTTGGCTGGAATCTGTAGAGGGAACAAAATGACAGAAACATATTCGTTAACGACTTGGCAATATCTAGATTGTTCAGGAAAAAATGAAAAATTTGATACAGTGCAAATGACATTCAGATTAAAAGACTGTACCATATGCCCATGGATACACATATTGCTACGAAGCTAATGACAAAAATAAATAATTTAACACACAGCAATTTCAAGTCGTATCTTACAGGTATGTAAGGGGTCATAAGTTCACTCTCCCTTCTTTTCTTTTCCTCTTTCCCCCTTTCTCTATCCATCATTTGACTGGGGATGGGGGAGGGTAAGTGTCACCCCAACCTCTCCATAGCTACATAACTGAATGGCGGCAGCGTATTCGATCGTACTCGAGTAGTTGTCAACAGTTTGAGTACTTGAGTATTTAAGTACTCGTCGCAGCCTTACTGCATGCTATTACTATCTGATAAAATTGATGTAGAACGTGTTCTCTTACCCTGGGCTTCTTGGAGGCAGAGATCGCTTCAGCCCTCCTCTGTTTCCTCTCCAGATAGGAATCAATGGATTCCATCTTGTCCAGGGCTCCATGGTGAGTCTTGGACCAGTTCTTGCCCGGAGTCTTCTTCTTTGTTGCCTGAACTCTGGTGGGGATACAACTCTTGGATTCTGTAGGTAAAAGAGAATGGAGGGAATGATTGGTAGACTTATTTACTTCAAGTCATGTGCGACAATTTCTGTGTTCTTCAGTGATCAACTAGTTACTATATTTGTATGTACAGCAAATTTATGTTTGTTAAATATAGACACATACTACCCTAGTTGTGCATTACATATATCACATCAGGGTGATCATACTCATTTATGCGGTGGTCACATCCCGCCGTACTTGCAAGTGCGTGCTGTCTACGTGCAAAAACGTGGGCAAAATGTGGGTATCCGTACGTGATGAGTACCGCCTCCGTACGGATTTGCGAGCACGCAGACACACTGTAGCACTTTTAGTGCACGAGGAACTTTCGCTGCGTTCGGGCTGCGTTCGGGCTACCGATTCACCACAGTGCGTGTGACGCGCGTTGCCGGTACTCCCTCCCTGCCTTTGCCAATCCCTCCCTACGTTTCAGAAAAACGTGGCGGCCGTGGCCTCACCATAAACCGTACGGACTAAAAACACGCACGGTGGGATGTGACCAACGCTTTACTATTTCTCCTCTCTCCTCATCTGTTTTCCTATGTTCTTTCTTTTGTTTTTGGTTGTAATGATACAGCAGTGCTAATTATATAATCAAGATAGCTTAATCAAATTTGGAAATATTACACTGTTATAAACTTTGGTTATTTAGGCACTACATTAAAAAAAAAATCATTATCATTAGCATTTATGTCTGTCCTAACCTACCCCCATTACAAAATGCTTTTTTAGTGTGAACACTTTCTAATAAGGAAGTACAAGTTACCGTGGTAACAGTAATTTTATGTGAACACTTACTAGCAACTTGGATCTGGACCTTCCTGTCAATCTCTGCCATGATTTCATCTTTCAGGGTACTGCCGCTCTTTGCTGCCTCCACAGCGACTTCCTTCGCCGGCGACTTGTCGAACGTCCCCCTTCGTACCTTCTTGGCCTTTCCCCCAGCTGACCCGCTTGCTGACCTCTTTCCCGTTGACCCTCTGGGCTTTGGTTCTGTCGTTGTCTTGATCGCAGTGGGTGTGGTCTTGGGTGTGGCCGTGAGGGGGGTTTTGTTTGCCCCCCTGGATGATCTTTTGTTGGAAGATGGGGCGTCATTGGGGGTCTGTGTGGATGGAGTTGGCTGAGCAGGGGCTGCTGGTTGAGGTGTATGGGTGGTGCGTCTGATTGCTCTCTTGGTTTTTCTACTATGAAATTATTTGATAAGAAAAGGAATCACATAATTATGTGAGTTTAAGAGTTTAGTCTGAATAAAGGAATAAGAAACAGAGAACAGGGTGTTGAACACTGACAAATGTCAATATATTCTCCAGATATAGTTGACTTCTGTTAACATATCATACCTGCCAACCTGAGACAAGAGAAATTAGGAGTAAATTTTTCTGGATGGACTACGAGGTCGCGAACCACCGAAGGATTGGGGTAGTAGCCCGTAGATTGGGGGGGGGGGGTACACAGGGGGTGACTGCGGAACTAACGATCACGTTCGGGCTGCGCTGTGTACATCTTCTATGAGCGCGAGCGCGGATGTCGGCGTGATCTGGTTATCAGTGCTGTGTTATGCTTTAGTCTTATACATACATACATATTGGTATTTATTGAGCGCCTTTACATGAACATGCTCAAGGTGCTTTACATTTCAAAATACAAACATAATAGTTATATACTCTCCAAGTGCATTACACTCTAAAAAAAAAAAAAAAAAAAAAAAAAAATTAAAAATCGGAGTTTTGAGGCATGCATTCGGAATTCGGAGTTGGTATGTAAAAAGCGGAGGAACTCCGCCTAAATCGGGGTGGTTGGCAGGTATGACATATTGGTAACATTTTTTTTACAAGGACTATTTTACTCTAGGGGAAAAAATAAAACAAATCTGTGTATTGTATTCTCCTTTAATCAATTACCTGAATATGATCTTGATACATGTATCTGAAAATGGAAATATCCTTGTTTTCTTATACGGGTGCTTTTTTACAAAGGAAATAAGGTATATACATTGAACTTTGTTCATTTACCTGGAGCCTGAGTTTGGTGGTGTGGGTAGCGTTGGTTCATTGACAGCAGATGTTCTTTGTAAGCTACGAGATCGCCTGCCTGGGACTGCTGGGATTTTTGCTGGAGAGGAAATTACTGCTGCTACTGGAGCAACCTGTAAAATATTTTTTTTTTTAAAGTGGAACATTGTACATCATAGTAGTCACAATGTAGTTAAATTCTTATATATATTTAATGAACTCCATTTTCAAAATGTTGACAAATTCAAAATCGAACAGGTCATTAAAAAGGTAGCTCAGGTCATTGAAGACCGTACAATCCTTTGATTTATTAACATCATTGATTATTGAATGGAATTTACATTACAAAAGACAAATCTTTCCTTTACTTATAAGCAACCCTAAACTGTGTTGAGAAAACATAAATTTATTAAACAGGGGGTTTTGCTGATTTTGGCTGATTCACTAACAAACTGAAATCAAGAGAAAACACTGCTACATGATGTAGGCAGGTCTTTTCGATCAAGTGTGAGGGAGGTATACACAAATTTGAAATAAGACGAAATCTGGCTGGTGGGATATTCTAAAGCATTGCACCTACCTCTTGTTCCGTCTTCTTCTCCTCCACAGGTTCCTCCTTAGTCTGTCTTCCACGCCTGCCCCGTCCTCTCCCTTTAGATTTGGCTTTGGATTTCTTGGCTACTGGGGACACCTCATCCTCTGTAACACTCGACGTCTGTGTAAAGTTCAAGGAAACGATTATATTGAGAACATTCAAGTTAAATGTTTACAACTAAAGTTCTATATCACATTAATAAAACATACCACCGTCAAGAAAATCCAAAAGAAAGTGATAACACAGAAAATGTCACTTCTAAACTTATGATTTGGAGAAGCAAAGAATTGAACAAATGTCATTCTCTATCATTTTCGCAACTTTCTGCCAATTGGGTGCTAATTTTGGTAGTATCTTGGCCCCTATTCAATATTTTATGGTGCACGTTTCACACAGCATATCACAGCTTAAGGGAGGTTCAATATCTCGGGGGCCCTGTCTTTCCCCTCAGTGTATTGCATCTTCAGGCTATTCCCACAACCCCCCTGTTCAGACTGTGCAAATATAACTTATCCGTAATTACCTGGCTTTCTGATTCTGGAGTTGGGAAAGTTGTGACAACAGCATTGTCACCACCAGCAACCACATCTGTCTTTGTTTCCTTCACTGGTGATTCCTTGATAGTTTGTTTTACATTTTTCTGTTTGCGTCCTCTCCCCCGTCTAGCTTTAGGTTTTTCCTCGGATGCTTCAACCTCAGACTGGAATTATAAAACGAAGAAAAAGGATGAAGATGAAATATTAGAGTACACTGTCACTAGGAAAGATTATTACAACCAAATGATTAAGACAGAGAAACAGCATATTAACCATCCATTGTCAATTTCTTCATAACAAAAAGTGCAACCACATGTTGACTAGAGATACATACCCAAATTCAAACTTGGAAGGAGTTAGGAGTATAAATATCATGTACAGTATTGAAGTTCAGAGTTCCTCGCATCTGATCTGGGTTATAGGGTGAGGGAGCTCTAAGTTTCTGAGATGCTCTTTGATGCAATCTGGGCCATATTTTGAAGCATTTTCAAACCATTGTGTCATTTATTTTTTCATAAGTTGTCATTAAAAAATTATAACCTGTCATTGATTTTCAAGCCTGCCATAGTGACGTCACTCATTCCAAAATTGAAAAATGCACTGTCATGTGTTTTTCACGATGTGGACCAGCCTGCAATAGTTTCCTCTACAGGAACCCCAATAACATTGGCTATGATAATTGCTAATAATCAAAAGCTGTACAGTACTAGTTTCACTGCTTGATAAGTTGGATGTATATTCATCTGTATGCATTAAGTACTTTACCTGATCTTCTGTGGAGGAGGCCGAGGTGGTAGTTGCTTCTTCTTCCGATGATGCTGCTGGCACAATGTTGTTTCCTTCCATGTTTGAGCCCACTACTACTGCTGCTAAGGCCTTGATCAAACCATCAGTCTGGATAAAGAAAAAAGGTAAAATGTAAGGAATGTAATGGAAGTAACTCCGAGAAGCTCCAACACCGGCGCCGCAGGCTGGAGCTTCCCGGAGTTAGTAATGGAAGATGATATTTGGTTAAATTATACTAATGTTTTCATGCGAGTCGTGCATGAGAGTGTTTTCAGACCATCGAAATGCACGACACTCGTAACTTGTAGCTCTGTAACTGTAAACAATGCAATGTGACACAATAAAGACAGAAAGACAAACTAGAAGTAGAAGTCGAACTCAGAGTCAAACTCAAACTTAAGTCAAAGACAAAGTCTAACAAGTTAGACGTTAATCAACATCCTCAGAATTCCAGAAATTTGGGCATTGAATTAATGAGCGTCTGAACGTTTTCTTTTTCTTCTTGCTTTTCACTCAATAACTCACATCATCACAATACTCGATCAATGCCATATTATGCAAACCTTTACTTAACTGCTATAGATCTAACAGTTAGATCTACGTATGGCGGTGTGACCAAAGTTCGCGCGTGACCAAAGTTCGCTTTCTCAAAAAATCGGTAAGATTTCGAAAATCTGATATCACCAATGGAAAGAGGGTCATAAAATTACCCAGAAACAAAATTTTCTTTAGAATTGGGTGCGAAATTGTGAAAATATTGACAAAAGATCGGCAAATTTTGCAGTTATTTGCGTCCGTTCCGAAAAATTATCAACTTACCGATAAGGGTCTGGAAATTTTCATTTTGAGATCAGAAATCCTCAAAATTGTAAGTAAAGAGTGGTACTAACTGATTGTACGATATCTTGTCTTGCAAATTATGATATTACCTTATTTTTGATGGATCGCATTTTTTGATAAATCAACTGTAAACCACCGTGCGCGAAGTTAGGTATCATTGTTTTTATGACTTTTTTAGATGCAGCGCGCACGCACGATCGGACATCGAATTTTTAGATCGCGATATCTCCGAAATCCTTCGACGGTAAATTTTTCTAGTTGAACCAATCTGTAGTAAAAAACTTTGCCGTCCATTTGGTAATAATTGAAATAAATAAAGTTGTGTAGAATGTGAGAAATCATAGATCGAAAATCACATTTTGTAATATGTTCTAAAATGTGCGCGAACTTTGGTCACCCCTTCATACAGTACAGGCTAGCTGCACTTTTTCTTGAAACAGTATAACAGTGATAACATACGTAAATACAATCATGTGGGACCGACCCACTTTAAAAAACGTGTTAAGTGATAAACATACCTTCATGTTAGCTTTGATACCATGTTGTTTGGCCAATTTTTGTAACTCTGACCGCTTCATCCTTGCTAACTCTTCCATTTCATATGAATTTGACATTTTTATGATAAAAATTCGCGCTGATCCTTGAAAAACATACAGTTTGGGCGGTGATCTTCGCGTGCGAACGTAAACACAGCTGGTGTTCAAAAGCGAACGCTCGAAACCGGGAAAGCCAGTGATTGGTCAAATAGACAGATGAGCCTTATTGTGATTGGTCAAAGTGTGGTCTATTCGCAAGATTTACCAGGATGAAAAAGGAGTTGCCCTGCGGTACTCAAAAAGCGAAAGCGATCCGTAAAGTAAGAAGAAAAATAATTTACAAATTAAAGAGATTATTAATTCAGTTCTTCTTTCTTTATGCAACAACACTTTCAAAAACTAGTAGATCATAAACATTTCCAGCGTATACATGTTTTTTTAGACATAAATAAGCAAGTAATTAATGTGTTATCCGTTATCTATACCCTTTTCTATTTCTCTATTCCGACTTAAACCATTCCCCCCACCCCCTTTCGCCCTTTTTCTCTCTCTCTTTCTCTGTCTCTTCTTTGATATACCCTATTTTCACGAAGCAAATAGTTGCACCAATATTATTGTGAAAGACTAAAATATTTGATTTTACTATAGATATATACAACTTTGATCTGAATTTCTTTTTAGCCCGATATATCTCTGTTATATATAGTAGAGGAGCAGTTAACAATTCTAAATAGGTATCCCGATTCAGATCTGATCAAATCAACATATTACAGAGAAACTTGAAGGAAGCTAACATGGTTTTTCCTTTTACAGGGTATAATAAGGAGGAATATGAATATCTGTTGAAGGAAAATCCAACCTTGAAAGCAAACTATAGAGGAAAGCAGAAAAAATCAGAGAAGTATAAGACTAGTGAATGTATGAATGAAATTGGACAAGGAATTGAAAAAGTTATGGATCTTTATAAGTGATTATCACCAAGATAGGCTCTTCAAATTGCTTAAATCTGTAATGACTCTGTAATGTAGTGGTGGAAAACTTTCCAGTTTTCTCCAACACACAAAATTACCTAAATTTCAAATTTAAACAATTTATGACTCAGGAAGGTCTTTTCTTTTTTTAGCGCTTAGAGACTTCGGTGGTAAGCGCTTTATAAGTAACGTTTTTATTATTATTATTATTATTCTCCTCAGGGCATATATTTTGAGTATAGCATGCCCCAAGGGAGAAGGCATTTTTCTCCTGAGGCACTTCGGAGAAAAAGAAAAAATTGTATTTGTACATGACAAAGTTATTCACTGCTCAGCATCATCTACCAAACTGCAAATTTGAGATTTTCATAGATTTAGTGATCTCATATTCTAAACATTTATAACTTTCTTATTTATTATTTATTAAACTTTCGCCATTCTGTTTATCTTTTCATACACATGAATTTATCACATGGGTTGGATGGCCCTTTAATGAGCAATTAAGGGATGAAAGATGAGACCAAAAAAATATATATAGCCTATATCAACCAAAGAAAAAGAAGACCATTTCCTTCTTTTCTCCCAAACTTTAGTTTTGCTGCATCTTCCATTAAAGTGTATGTGTGTGTGTCCCTCTCTTCTCTATAAAATAATATTACAAAAAATACTATCCATACATTCTTAATTATCTATCATCATACATGTTCATCATATATGTCAAATCACCCTTCGTATCCCTCTCTCTCTGTTCTAATTCCACAAAGTGACAGTATAACCAGCTATAGTTCTATAGATTGAACTCACACATCAGGAATAAGTGACTACACACACCTAATTTAGAAATATGCAATTTTAATAATAATCATAAGACTTTATGTATACAGTGTATTTACAACAACATACCAGTCTTGACTGTCATAAAAGTATATAGAATGTTATATAATCTATTACATAATGGTTGGGAAAAAACAGGAAAATGAGTAGAATTATACCTTGCTTTATGGATCAAAGCTGTTTTCAAATAATCTGATCTGATAACTCACTTTATTCTATGATTCACATGCATCAGTGTTCTCCCTTATCCCAATTGATTCTTTAAGAACACAACTAAAATAAAATATATATGAACAACAGTGAGACAGAAAAGTTATCTCACATTTATTTTACCTTTCTTAATTGGAATAATCATAGATGTTCTGTGATATAAAAATGTATAACTACTACATATATGAAGGAGAATTGTTTGCCTTCTCATAACAGCTATGGATATATTCAACTCTTATTTCTGGATGTTCCCTTCAACATTCAGTATGCACACTTTGAAATGAATAAAATGCCAACACACCTAATAGTAGCGATGGTAAATAAGAAGAGTGGCAGGAAATCTATTCAAAGTGGATTAGTGGGACTGTACCCGTTGCATCCAGGATCCTACCAAAAGTAACAACAATGCTATCATTTTTCAAAGACTTAAAGACACTAGTCTAGGATACAGATGCTTTTGTTCTCTTCTTTTCAAGTTCCCCACATATCCTCCTCTTTCTTATAGAAAAGATACTAAATCGATTCTGAGATGGAAACAGAATACATGTAGACATTTCACATGATGAAAATGAAGAGTCTGGCTGAAAGTGACTGAAACCTGATACCTCACAGATGATGGAAACAAAAGATTGATTGTACAATAAGATGACCTAATGATAGAAAATTTTCTTAAATGTAAAGCTCCTGTTACATTTCAAGAAAATTCAGAGCATTCTTAAAGATAAAGACCAGTTATGGTCATGCGATTGCATTGTGAAAGAAACGTTGTGGAATCGATCAGAAAAGGTTGATCATCTAGCATATTGGTGTGTACTATACTGCAAGGTTCTGGAATCATCAAAATGATAAGAAGTTTGGCCCAGTCTTGGTAAAGTTACAAGCACTGTACACAGAAAGATGTATATGGGACTACGTGACACATGCACGACTTGTGCGCGATATCTATCAGGTCCAAATAGATATAATATTTTACCAAATATATCAATTAGAAGGCAGTTTCTTGGTAAAATCTGTATCATCATTACCGGGACATATTAGTCAAAACATATTCTTTCACATGATAATTTTTTGAGAGGGGGGCGTTTCCAAAACGGGTCTTTACCTTTAATGCATTTGCTCAGATTTGTAGCATTCTAGGGTAAATGCAGTCCTGTTGCAATTTACAAAATGACCAGATTTACAAAGGCTGAAAGTTGGTTCATGGCTCATGCCTTGGTTTATTATACTGCTTCACTCCTGAATAAAAACTGAATTTCATATTTTATATATATATAAAATACTAGCTAGTTGGAACTTATTAGATTAGAATATAAAGTATTCAAGGCATTTCCATGCTCCTTACTAATCACTTATGCTCAATTGTAAGACTATACATGATACCATTGTTATTTTGTTCAATAAAACATATAATTACCCATGATACAGTTGAAGCATATAAAATAAGTCTTCAAATAATACAATGTTCATATTGTTAGGAACTGGCAAGACTGACATCTACTGACAGTGAGCAATGATTTGTTTCTCTATCTCCTCCAAATTTCCAATAACTTGGTTGAGTTGATTCTCATCCATTTCAAACCGTAGATGCTCAGGATCCTATGAAAGAGGAGAGAAAACATTTGAAAAATGAGAAAAGGTTTTCCAGCATTGTCAACATTAGAAAAAAAATTAATAAAATATATTTGATTTGTAAAACTGAACATGCATTTTTCTATTTTGTGAATCCCTTGCACACTAAGACTGGGATACCAATGTACCATGGGATTAAACTTATCAGAAATGCTTATTTGGTGAAGAATGACATTGAACATGTTATCTAGTTCTTTCAGAATATTCAACAGACTTACACAATCACTAAAGAGCTGCAAGAAAGTAAAAATGAATGTCTTGGAAAATGGGGGAAAATTACAGACTTGAATATAACAAAATATATACATAAAGAAATTTTTTAAAAATACACACTATCTTTTAAGAAACATGGGTATCAGTTATCAATATAAAGCCACTGGACTAATGCCATCATAGAAATGATGAGGTTAATCTAAATATGGTTGTCTAAGGAAACATAAATTAACATTCAACAAAAGTACAATCAGGTGGCCATTGTCGCATTGGAAATGTGTGTTTCTTGTACATTATTTATACACAGTCTTGGAAGACAAGAGCAAAAGTATCTGAGGAAACTTGAACTATTTACACAGCTGACGTGGGTGGTATTCTGAAAACAATTTTATCTTTATGAAATGATGTTCAGTTATAATTGTCATACAATTCAAAGTTATGACAAGTCATTGGTAAATTTCTGTGCAAAGCAGGCTGCATATGCATAAAATTGAAAGACATATCTGAACAAGCAATAATGGTAAGTGTTAGTTCTGCCAATTTTTAGTTTGTTATGACAATTAAAATCCTTTCCCTGGCACAAGAGATACAATCTAATATCACTGCGACATATTATACTGTACCTTATTTAAATGACTACTGTCTGCCAGTTTGAGTTCTACAATAGCTGTTGGCATGTTGATTTGGTCTATGTGTTTGGCTTGGCTCTTAATATCAATTCTCCAGCTCACATCCTTCAGCGTATTTCCAAACGTTGACTTTATTGATAGAGCAACAAATGAATAGATGGTTAATGACTGATTTATTAAAGTGAAATTTCCTTGACGGCCATATCGAATATATACAAGGCAATCATTTTCAATCATTATACAAAGAATGATCTATCTTTTACTCTATGAAGAATGAAGATAATGCATAATCATGCATGCTTGATTTTCCAAATGGTAAAACCAACTGAACATGACATTTTAAAACAAATATTTTTGACCATATGTATGATGTTGTATTATATGTTACGATAACAATATTTTGTAGTGTTTCTTTTACTTATCCCCAATAGAGCGGAGGAAGAAGAAGAAGAAGAAGAAGAAGAAGAACAAACAAAATTACTAGCAGTTATTTCAGAACACCAACAAATAAAATTTAATCTTGATTGAATATTAATACACCAAATGCATCAAATCTAAATGGTCTATGGCAACACAATAATTACATATTTTTTTGAAATAAGTAAATTAAAATTTAAAGAATGGGCAATTCCACGGTAACGGAAGGACACTCAGACAAGATTTTTGAACTTCAGGTTCATACTAAAAGAACTGTTTTATTAGTATAAGATGTGAAACAGTACAGATATAATATCTATATAAGTGCCTTTAATTCTCCCCCAAAAAATTGTCATTATAGTTAAGTAGTTTAAGAATGTGCATATTAATTAACGGAAGGACATAAAAATGGACATGGTTTTTCCAGTTAATTAGTGTTTATCCAAACTTTGTGAAGTTGATGAAGCTTTCCACTTGACTGAAACACATTTTGTTCCCCATAGTTTAATACATACTAATAAAACATTTCTTTTAGTATGAACCTGAAGTTCAAAAATCTTGTCTGAGTGTCCTTCCGTTACCGTGGAATTGCCCGAATGTTACCTGTGAAACCACTTTTTCATGTATTTTAGACCTATTACTCCTCCAGAACTTTGTGAAAGCTGTTGCTTGTGCCTGAGATATTGCACCTTCTCTCTTTCTCATTTGTGAAGTTAAAAAAGCTTCCAGTTGGTTGAAATCCATATCAATAGAGACAACATTCTGTGAACAATAACAAAGATAAAATGGTAGTTAAGTGAGTGACAACCAAGTTACTTCTTTTGCAGTCTAGTTTCATATCTTTTAATTATGATGTGGTGTTTTACTTGCACAAAAAAAATCACTTGTACAAAATGAATGCACAATACACTTCCTCTGATGCATGCACAACACACACAAGGAACCTGGGAGGAGGAGGAAGAGAAGAAGGAGGAGGAGGAGGAGGAGGAGGAGGAGGGAGGAGGAGGGGGAGGAAGAGGAGAAGGAGGAGAAGGAGAAGAAGAAGGAGGAGGAGGAGGAGGAGGGGGGAGGAGGAGGAGGAGGAGGAGGAGGAGGAGGAGGAGGATGAAGAAGAAGAAATACCTCTGAATTAAAAGTAAGAAACAAAACACTTCCTTTATTATGAAACGGCATGAGAAACAAATACACAAATAAACTTTTGAAGCAAATAAGTCTGATTTATCTGACTGCAATTAAACCTCTTTCAGTCTGTGTGATTTCAGAGCTTTCCATCACCTTCAGAAGACATGATATCGACACTATTGTTTGAATTCATATTAGAGTTGGAAGACCTAGACTCTAGATGTAGTAGACCTAGTCTAGATCTAGTCTAATATTAATAAGTCTATTCAAATAAAAGAAAGAACAAAAATCACGATTTACATCAGAAATTATTTTTTGGCCAACCCAGAAGTAGTATTGGTTTTTAAAGCTGAGAGTCTTTAGGGTAAAGGATCGAGCTAGCTTCAATTCAAGTCCAACTGCTACTGCTAGTGAATTGATAATTGGAGTGCTTTGGTTCTAGTTTGGAATAGTTTGACAAGAGATGATGAAGTATGATTTCTTTTGCAAACAAAATAAATGTAGATTCTAGATCTACATGTAATGGTGGTTAGTTTTATAGACTCTCACTCTTGACTCTGACCTTCACCATTCACAATCACATCATATCACTGCACATGGCAAATCTCGTCCTTCTCCGAGGCCGAGTCCTACTACTACTAGTCCAACATTTATTCGAACGGGTTGGACTACACAGTAAACTAACCTTGATCAGGCTCTTGCATTTGGTGACCAAAGCCGTAAATTCTTCATCTGAACGATCTGCAAATAGCTCTTCTTTCATATATTCATCAGTTATATCTCCTATCCCAAGATAATCTCGCTTTGCAATGCCATTGAGGAGTCCAAACACTTTTGTCGTGGTCGCTTCGTCGTCTGCCATCTTGATGAAGTCATGTGATATTACGGGTACATCTCAAACTGTGAAGGACTTCAAATGTATCAATTGAATATTTCTGGATAAGCATTACAAAGTGGTGTTTATTTTTCCAGTAAATGTTTGATACGAACTTTTTAAATATTAACATTTGCAAGTTATAGGCAAAAATAACGAATATATCTTATTTTATATCGTCTCTGTATACCTTAAATTTGAGAGTGGAAGATGATCCCTAGCTGTTCTCACTTCTAGCCTGTGTACAACCTGTGACATCATTTGATGTAACTCCCCTTCAAAGGCAAAGTTGGCTCACAAATATTACTGATTTATCCGATTCCTTGCATCAGTCTATAGAAAGAAATGAACAAAATGCACAGGCCTGTTCTTCAAATCCTTGCACAAATATCCAGGGGAGGAATTTGTCAGAACCGTTTTGCTCTGCCTGCTTTGGCATTGCCATCATCATCATCATCTCCAATTCTGAAGAAAAGGTGTTGCAGATGTTATGGAAGCAAATCCAGTGCTGCAAATCACAATGGACAAAAATACTCAGGAGGCAGCCATCTTAGATCTGGGGCTGTTCATTCTCGACAGAGCAGGGCAATGATGGTGACCATGAACAAAGTCGACTCTGTGCCGAAGAAGACGAGACCTGTCGTTGGAAGCTGGCAGACGACGTCTGAAGATGAGCTGTACGATGTTGTTATCGTTGGAGGAGGAATGGCGGGCCAGGCAATGGCTTGTGCTTTGGGTAAATATTACAGAAGCTGAGATTGGGAGAGTGTTCGGTTAATGTTGTGCTTAATCTTGTCTGCTTCAATTAAATCAACAAACAGAAAATATAAACAAAAATGCCTTTATGACTTGGAGTCTAGATCTCTATATGAGCTGAAATTTATGTTGAAATGCTGACAAAAATTATTAGTTGTAAAGAAAAGAATTAACAAAACTAAAAGAATTGCTCCATGTCATAATGTCTAGGATACCTTGGTATGCCACATAAAGTCTATACGGCGCACTCCAAGTCCTGATCATTACCTAATTAATTCAGACTGTGGTAGTACTACTACTACAACATTGATTTTTTTAAAATTGGTATAGATCTAGGGCTTCCTTTCAATCTGTGATAATATTCATGTGTTATTTATATTGTCATATTAATTTCTTTCCTTTTTTTTTGTTTCTTTAAGGTTTTGAACCATCTCTTGGTGATCATAGAATCCTATTGTTGGAGCAGGGTAAGAGACCTATGCAGTTGAACGAGCTTCCATCAAAGTATAGCAACAGAGTTTGTTCCCTCAACCATAACTCGGTCAAACTTCTCACAGGTAAGACTTCTCTCCCCCCCCTATCTCTTACCAACTTGTCGCCATCCTATGTATGGTATACATTGTAGGTAGCAGGGATGAGGTGGTGGTATTATTCCCCCCCCCCCTCCATTTAGGGCTCCACACTTAACTTTTGGGGGAGGGGGTCTGGATTCAACATTTCAGAGTCTGTAATAATAATATGCACAAGCCCTACTTAAAAAATTCTTGTATTTCGACATTTGAGGTCCTGAACTTAGATTGGGCGCTATACAAGAAGCCACTTTTATCATTATTAATATTATGTATCCCTGGCAACTGTTGGTAATGAGCCCTGCCCAATTGACAAGAGAATATTGTCACTCCTTAATCATTTTTGTTTTATGTTTATCTCGGTATTGTTTGTAATTGTATTCAGTTTTCAGTTTCACTTTAGTTTATATGATATATTTTATCAACTTAAGATACAAACTTGGAAATACTTCTTTTAATGTTATAGTTTACAACAACAACAACTGAAATGAAAACAAATAATACACAATTGTCAAAATTAACACAGCCAGGTGTATTCATAGATATAAAAAAATGTGTGTACAATTTTCCCGTTTCTATTTCTAGTCAAAAATTTCTTTGTTAAATTGCAAAGTAATAGTATTCGAAAATGTCTTAATATATTATTTAATGTTTTACATTATTTATCCCTAAACATTTTTTTCTTAAATATTATTAAACTGATGTAATAAGCCGATTACTAAAGAGTCTTGTAAGCACCGTTTTTTATTATTATTATTTATTTCTTATTCTGCATGGATCCAGATGTGGGAGCATGGCATCACATGGCTGAGATGCGAGTCAAACCATTCAGGAGGATGCAGGTTTGGGATGCCTGCTCCGATGCCCTCATCGCATTCAACAAGTCAGCTGACCTCTCAGAAGACATGGCTTACATTGTGGAAAACGACGTCACCAATGCTGCCCTCTCCAGGCAGCTCGGGGAGAGAGGAAATATTGAAGTGCAGTATGAAAAGAGGTAATTTGCTAATTACTTTGATTTGTTAGACTATGACTTTAACTGAGGTTAAATTAAACCCAGCTTTGGGTGAAAATGAAAATGAACTCAATTTCTGTATTTGATAGCATACAGGACAGATATACAGGATAGATTTTTACCATGTGTTCGGTCACAGGTATTTAATATACCTTGAAGAAATCTGTAATATCTGAACCATGTACAGTATGTTGCACCACCCTATGTATATTCTTTGAATTCTGTTTTCAACAAAGTAATTCACTATACCGGTATGTTGAGAAGAAAGTCACTTCTTTAAATGTTTATTGATTTTTAAGCAGGTCGTGATTCACTTTTTTTAAATTGCTAGAAGAATTATATCATACCACTCTGCTTGTTTCATTCATGGTTACATTATCAAAACTACTGAAAAAAACCTGTGAAAGAGACTTTTTGTTCCGCTTACATTTTTGAACTTGAGATCACATAATAATAATAATAATACTCAGTTCTTTTATAGTGCATAACACATAACAGGAAATCATGTCCCTATACGCTTTAAATAGATAGGAAAGAATTACGAGAAAGAGTATGGTAATACAAAAATATAAAAATCCACTTAGAAGTAAAAAATGATGAATATAATTTGTTTAAAGAATGAATACACTGTGTGCCGAAGTTTCAAGATTTATTGCTTTTTCTCCCATGCAGACTGACCTCCATCCAGATCCCACCGCAGGGGTTATTTGAAGAGGAGAGCTGGGCTCAACTCCATCTGGATGATGATAGCATCATTAAGACCAGGCTGATCATAGGAGCAGATGGAGCCAGGTCTGGGGTGAGGAAGCTAGCTGGACTTAAGGAGATAGGATGGGACTATGATCAGTGGGGCGTGGTGGCTACTCTACAGCTGGCAGAGGTAATTACGGAATTGAATGTTGGGAGAAGATACTAGATTGACTTTAACAAAAGTGTTACAGGTTGTAACCATAAGTGCTGTCACAAGAACATAGAAAATGAATCCACTGTCAGTCAATACGTGTGTCCAGTCCAGAACTGTAAAGCTAAGGGTCTTGGAATAAAGTCCACCCCCTCCCCTAACTCCCCCATGGGGAAAACAAAATTAAAAAATTGCCTATTGTCTTCTCAGTGGTACAGAGTGGATACAGACATGGAGGTGGCACTGGTTTGATGGGGGTGGGGGGGGGGGGTCAATTTATTTACTTCATAAATGAAGGAATGAAATGCAAGAGAATGAGGCTGCCACTGAATGAAGGCAGAGTGTGTGTGGAAGGGTTCTAGGATGTGATTATGATCAGTGGGATATGGTGGCTTCTCTACAGCTGGTAGAGCTAACATAATGAACATATTGAATGTGTGGCTTTCGGAGGAGAAATTAGAGGCTTCCAGACCCTTAATTTGGTGCATGACGTTTTGGGACTAAAATAGCTTTTTTCTTCTCTCCCTGAAGGACAAAAGGGTGCTGATATACATTTTCTAAATTTTACCATCATATTTGGTGTGCATTGTTTTAATTCCATCTTTGAAAATTTCTGTTTTATGTATTGAGGTTGTACTTCTCAAATATATGATATGATATACAGAAATTGGATTTTTAAAAGGTATACTTTGTTTAATGTATAGATATTCTCTAATTGAATGTATCATATTGAATTCATGAATTATACTGATGCAGATTCAATAAATCCAACTGATTTAATATATTCCACATTTTCTTTACAGCCAACTGAGAACATTGTAGCATGGCAGAGATTTCTCCCTTCAGGGCCTATTGCATTGCTGCCAGTGAGTATTATGTTTATACTACCCCCATTATACATACACTGTAAATCTTTTGTTGTTGGCGATGTGGGTGGGGGGGGGGGGGTTAATGAGAGAAGATGTTTTTTCTTTTTTCTGCAAACAAATTTCTACACAGGACATTTACATTTATTATGTGGCTGTACAGTAAGATGTCGGCTGAGAATGCCAATGATTGGTATCAGTGAAGTATACAGAAACAAAGATCTCCAGTTTTGTTTATTAAACAATTATTTGCCTCATTACATTTTCAAAATAGTGAATGTCATATTTCTAATCATTTGTCTTATCATTTTAGTCATCTGAGACTGAATAATTGGTATCAGTGAAGTATTCAGAAACGAAGATCTCCAGTTTTGTTTATTAGAATACATAACACAAGGATCACTCTCTTTAGGGACAATATTTCTTCATAGTTTGTGTATCTTTTCGTGGTGAAATGTTATTTTTTTCTTTTATGTGATTATGGTGTATAAACCCACAGTTGACCGATGATCAGAGTTCTTTAGTGTGGTCAACCAGTAAGGAACATTCCAAGGAACTAGTCAACATGGACGAACAGGACTTCACAGAAGCTGTCAACAATGCTTTTGTAAGTGGACACCTTTATTTGTTTTCTGCATCAAGTATCTTTTATACAAAAAATCAATTAAATCTCTTATGAGTTACAGTATTTGTTTCAACTTTGCAATTCAATTCAATTAAAATTCAAATTAACATTTATTTTTTTCCGTTTAGTTTGACAACTGTTTAAACAATACAATCTATACGTAGGAATAAAGTTACCGGTGAGTATTAAGTTTTACCCAATGAAATTCAATATCATAAAATCACATCAATATTCAATATAGGGTTGGAAAAGGGTTGATCTAGATCATAAAATCCTTGCAGCTCATATTCTGCAGACAGTCTATTTGATCGAAGTCACATAATAGTCTAATAAAGTTATTGTTCATGTCATTTTCCCTCCAGTGGGATGATAGCCACCACAATCAGTCTGTAGATGCTGCCACTCAGCTCTTTGAAGGTTTGCTGTCAGTCATCAAACCTGACGGGTCATCTATCCGTCAGCTCCCTCCCAGTATCGCAGGGGTTGGTGCGAGCAGTCGAGCCTCCTTCCCCCTTGGATTGTGCCATGCACCGAGATACATCACAGACAGGGTGGCTCTTATTGGGTAGGTAGCATATTATGGCTTGCAAGGGGCCTTCCTGCATATCTTGGAGGTGCAGATGGGGCGGGAGGGGGCGGGAGGGGGAGGGGCATCAAGCCATAGAGCCCTTCACCCCTTGGATGTGCATTGCAATTATTATTATTGGGAAGATTCCACTTTGGTGATTTGTTAGGAGCACTTTAGGAAAAAGCCTCTTTGTCTTGACCTTTTGAAATAATATTATGGGTTTGAATTTTATTTTATGGTGTTTTCTTTTATGCCATTAAACAAGGTATTTTAATTTCTAGCTATCTTTCTCTCCTTCTCCCTCTCCCATCCTTTCTCCATCTGTGCTAAGGAAATATGTAACATCCAGTTGTGACATGGAAAACTTTAACCTACATGTCATTGTAGTCGCAATGAAAGAGAGGAAGACAGTTCTAAAGCACATTGTGTGAAGCGATAAGGGTGAGGCAAAACTGACCACACCTCTGATTAATATCCAAAATATTGGGTTCTTCCTTTTGATTATATTTCTCATGAAGTACATTTACAATTAAAAGTACATGAACACTGAAATGTTTTTTTCTTATTTTCCAGAGATGCAGCCCACAGAGTACACCCACTAGCAGGTCAAGGTATCAACCTGGGTTTTGGTGATGTCACATCCCTTACACAGGTCTTATCAGAGGCAGCCTCAATGGGAAAAGATCTAGGTAAGATGATAAAGATATTCCTTCTGTCCATGGCCCTGGCTTGATCATATCCATCTAGTAACTTTTGTTTTGCCTCAATGTATGTTTCCTCAAACTTTTTGGTGCTTTTTTTTAGTGCATTAAGACTTCAAAATCACATTTTTTCTATAAATATATATATATATTTTTCTATAAAATGATAAAGGGGGAATTCCCCTAGTTATCTGGGGTAGAAGTAGGAGCCATGAAAACAGAAAGGATGTTATGTTCTGTACGAAATAAGATATAATTGGTGCAGCTGAGCACTATAAGTTGGTGATCCCAGAACAACCCATTATTACCATCTATAATGGGGATATATGGGTTTATGTTAATGCTGATTTTTTTTTATTTTTTAGTACCTGATACTCCAGCAAATGGCTTCGCAGCAATATTTTTGCTTTGTAATTCTGTTCAAGCTATGAAGTATTGTATTGTTTTAAATAAACAGGCCCTGCTTGTATCTGTATCTGTAAAGTGCTTAGAGACATTTATATTAAGCGCTATATAAAAGTGGAATATTAGTATTATTATTTGAGATAGTGACAAAGTGAAATGCTAAGAATGGAATCATCTGGTCTCTCACATCATAGGTTCCGTATCTCATCTGGAGGAGTACGAGACACAGCGACAGCGTCACATTCTCCCCGTCATGGGTACCATAGATGCTCTCAAGAGACTCTACTCTACCGATAACCCTGCAGCAGTACTCATCAGGAGTCTGGGGTTACAGGCCACCAATGCTCTGGGACCTATCAAAGATCGCATCATTGCTTCAGCTGCCACATGAGATATTGATTTTGAAATATAAGTTGTAAAATGTGAACAATAGCTTCATCGAACATTTCACAAAATGAGCAGAAAGAGCAGACTCTCACCGAGAGGTGAGCCAATCAAGTGGTTCACTGCATCTCAGAATAACTTCATGATTGCAAATCAGGTGATCATGTGATAGTTTGATGCAGATTCCAAACCAATGCAAGGAGTTGACATTTGAATGTGAAAGGACATTTTCTTGGAGCTGTGAAGTGCCAGCCTGCACTGTTAATAAATTCTGTTAGAGCAAATGAGCGATTTAATACTATCATGTGTGAATTACAGCAATATTGTTTTGATTCTATACCAAAGTGTTTTGATATCTCTGATGCCACGGTTGTGTCTGATGTAATATGCATTTGGGTCATTGATTCCTCTTACATTTCCTGTTGATGTGGTATATAGATATATATATATATAGATATATATAAAACTTGATGGCCACATGCACTGTCTTAAATAGAGATGCATGTATAAACTGATTAGAGCTCAAAATCATTCAATGTGAAGATCTAACTTTCAAGGTCATATATTCAGTCACACCATTGTTTGCCCTGAAGTTACGACAACTAGATGATTGTTCAAACTTTGAGAAATTCAACATTAGGTTTGCCTTTTTTCCATGTTTGTAGGGTATTCCTAAAAAAGACTGTTGGGTGTGAAAGAGGATTGAAAGTAAAGAGAGAATGAAGGCGGAGTATTTTTTTTGTTTTGTGTCCTATGGAGGACTACTTGAGATTGTTGAGAGTAAAGTAGAGAAACTGGGTAGTAGAGAAAGTTGTATTCTGTCGTGTGTAAAGTCCTGAGAACTGATGAACCAAGCTACGAATGCCAAGGAAGAGACTTGGTCTCTCTTTCTTTCTCTCTTGGTTCATTTGTCCTTTTCAGGACCTAACAACTATCTCAAGTTAGTCCTCAATGGGATAGAACACGATAAAATACTTCTCCCTCCTTCTCTCTTCTCTGTATATTCCCTTCCGAACCCAACATTCCTTTTTAGGACAACCTTATTTTCTGAACCACAAACCTATTAAATGATATTTACACCATCATACAAAATTAACCTCCAAGGATCATTTGGGTAATGTGTTATAATCATGTTCCTCTGATAAAGCATCCCAAGTGAAAAAAATTCAACTTGATATAACTGTATATAATACTTTGAATTTAGCATTGTCCTCTTTATATTATATAACTATGAGAAGATCAAATAATTGGATTTTAGATAAAAAGAGTTATGGGTTATTAATGACATTTGTTTTGCTGTTGTCAACAGATCCATTGTCTTCATCGATTGGTGTGCATAACAGTGTTATATGTTAGTATTACTGTGTTCCATGCATATACCGGTATTCATTTTTTTTTAAATAAATGAATGAAATCAGATATAATGCACTCTGCTAGTGTGAACTTCATTTCTTTCAAAATTGTGACATTTCGGGAAGTACATTGCAGTGGAACCTCATAAATCGAACAGATAACTCATGTTTCTTTTGCTTATACATGTTCAACACACTTCTATATATGACACAATTAATTTCCACTGTCTGAATGGGTTTTTATATGTTGTTCCTCAGTATTTTTCATTTTATTTTTCTTACTCTACTACTAAATTCAGAATTTCTTAATTGCTACGACTGGTACAGTGTTTGGACCATTCCAATTTATAATAAGCATGCACTATTTAATAAGCAAACATATACATGTATATGTTTACATAAAATATGCATAAACATAAGATATGGATGCAATATAATAAGCAAACAACTTCTGACCAAGAATAATCCAGGAAAATTATTTTTCACTTGGCATTTTTATTGTCATAGAATAAAAAGGACAGCATTTTACATACTAGTATAGGTTGGCATCTCTTAAATATAATTCTTACAATACATTACAATAAAATGAAGAATACACATTGTGCCCAACTGCCTATTCATACAAATACATGATAAAATTCCTATAGAGGAAGACTTCTCTGATTTGATGTGAGGCATGAAGCAACACACAGAATGATTACTCGGAGAGTAGAAGATATCAATCTAGATTATACAACTGCAATAAAAATTTTAAATGAACCTTGGTTTATCTCTCTCGTCAACAACATTGATAAAAATCAGAATGAATGATGTTTAATAAGTTTGGTCTATACTCTGGAAGGTTAGAACATGACAATGTAGCATTATGATGGTTACAAGATCACACATACCGGTATATATACATATTTTTTTCAGAGAAAATTTGTATTCAATCATTCTTGAGCAAGAACAAAACGATAGATTTGAACAAAGTACATATTGTGACATATCGGTAAAACAAACATTGTTACATCAGTTACACATGTCTGCATTATCTAGTAATACAACGAATGTATTACTTTTGATAAAAAGAAAGAGTACAAAAGACATGCCATTAATTCTAACTGCTGATCAAGCACATCTAGTTTGATGTTTGATACATACTGCATGTTACTCAGGAAGGGCATAATGTTGACTAGGCTTTCCTGCATGGGTTAATAAGATTATCATTATAAATACTGTGTCCAAGAACATGTACTTTAATACAGAGCTCGGGAAGAGAATTATCTCCTTAAAACAAGATTATCTCATTCAAACAAGATATATCTCATTAAATCAACAAAATTATCTAGAGATAATCTTTCACAAATGGCTCTACACAAGGGCAACGCCAGGGTATTTTTTAAGGGGGCTAAAGTGTAGACGCTGAGGCGCGAGCGAGGGAGCAAAGCAACCGTGCAGGGCGAGGGTGTTGGAGGGGGGTGTCACCCCTCTCACACCTCGTGATAGTGCCTACCAGTGCACAGTGCAATGCCACGGTGGCAGTGCAGTTCAGAGGTGATCCTGGACCGGTTCAAATAGCTTGGATTTATATATCAAATATTTAAATATCAATCATTAAATCAATTCATACTGACAAGCACAAACAAATTAGGGGTACAATTTCACTCTTTACACACCAAAAAAAAACTATGTGGAGTCTTTTAAAATGAAATTTAAAATAAGTTACTATCATTCCAAAGCCAGTATGTGTTGGTAACAGTTTTTAAAAAGTGTGTGGATATTCTTAATTTTGGTATGAAATGTTACTTATAATATTCCTTTTACTGTACATACACTCAAACATGCAAAAAATCCTGAAAAAATTCTCAAACCATAAAGATATTTATTGTTTTCTTTGAAGGTGTCACTGTGCGACACCCTCTTACAGTAAATTGTCCCAACCGATTTTTGAATTTTCCCGACCTTTTTTCCATGAAAATAAGACATAAAGCAGGCTTCAAAAAAATCTTTATAACTGATTTTAAAGGCCCTCGTGAAAAACTGAATTCCACAACTGGAGGATGATCTCCTAAAAGACCGAATTGTGTGCGGCATCCACGACCACGCCTTGCGAGAGAAGTTATTGCAGACAGAAGAGTTAAATTGCAGACAGAAGAGTTAAACCTAACTAAATGCATAAACATCTGCACTCTAACAGAGAACAGCGCCAAACAGATGATGCAACTAAATGCAAGCCCACAACAGAGCAATGAGAAAGTTGATTATCTACAAAGCCAATGACATTGGCGACAAAATTATACCCCCCTGATGGAAAATGGCGAGCAGCGACGACCACATGGATGACAGTACGACAACTGTGACGTGGAGGAGAACGAAAAAAGTGCCCGGGATGCCCAAACTGCACATATGAACACAGAAACAGGTCGTATCGTGATTACGGTGACAAGAGCAAGCCAAACATGCCAAGCCACGACAGTGACAATGATATGAATGAAATCTACATTGACTTAGTTGTGGTTAATGTAGACAGTGACGATGACTGGTATCAAGAGATCATGATTGATGATGTTTGTGTCAACTTTAAACTGGACTCGGGAGCTCAAGTGAACATTCTTCTTGAAAACATTTGTTAAGAACACTAACTTACGCCTTAATAAGAGCCCTGTGACCCTACGTTCCTACTAGTGACACGTTATGAAACCTGTGGGAAAAAAGAGATGCAAAGTACTGGACGGTATTAAAGCGAGAATACCTTCTTACTTTTCAGGTGGTTGGTGGTGATGCGAAACCATTGTTAGGGAGAAGAGATTGTGAAAGAATGATTTTAGTGAAAAGATGTGAAAATGTTGATCAGGTGGCAAGCAAGACAGCAATTCAGCCCCAAGGGGAAAAAAGGGGTAAAACCTAAAAGGCATACCTACCAGCATTTGGAGGTCGTCTAGCTGCAAAGGTGGTTTGTAGGTTGGAGTGCGCTGGAAAAGCAGAAAAACCACAATCAAGTCTCCTAGCCAACATCCGAAGCAAATTAGAACAGAAAAGAAAATCACTGGATAATGGCAACCAATCCAAGGAAAGAAAGAAAAACGCTGAAAAGACTCAGAGAACATTAAAGTTTGGATGGTTAGACTTTGACTTTGCAAAGGGGGAGTTTCGACAGGTTAGGAGTCAAAATGGCGGGGGAACAAGAGCTATTAAGGTTGGCAAACATGAGAAGCAGGACGATCTGATTAACACATCAAAAGGATTATTTTTTCCCCAATGGAAAACAAAGAAGGGAAGTATGGAAGAATTGACTTTGCCATCCAAGACTTCAGAGGTTGTGTAATGGGAGAAAGTACAGTAGGTGAACTGTATGAACATGCAAAATCCAAAATGCTAAGGTTGTATGAGGGAGCTGCACTGCGGCAACCATGGACTATTTTTGCACCTGAACAAAGATTCGTTTTTTTCTTTCTTTTTTACCATTTGTCCTTTATTTTGGTATCAACATTTTTCATCTGTACACATATTGGACATTACGCAGGCAAAATGGGAAAGTGTGGGCTGACTTCATGTGGTGGAATCCTACTTCTAGCCATATTGGTCGGTGGATTCATCTGTGAGCTGAGAGCAAGCCCTGTACAACATGAATTACTACACAACGGGACGATATTACCGATCAGCCGCATGACGTACGACCGAGACACTCTTCCCTGGCTAGCAATACGTGCAGCCAGGTGTGACTCAAAGCTGAACTATGACATTTCAGTGGAGGTGAAACGTCGTAAGCGTGGACTCAAGGGAGGAGTAAGAGCCCGACTCAGAAGGCGAAGTTTATGAAATAAAATGGATGAGTTGAAGGTGTGTGTGAATTATCGTTACGAATACCGTGAAAGCTGTTTAATGTGCTTTACTGAAACTTGGTTCTCATCCAAAGATACTACAGCGGATACTGAAATAGATGGTTTTGTGTGTGTGAGGGGAGACCATACAGATTTTACCTAAGTTGAAGCTGCACCTTGTTGTATTGATACACATTTCCTACATGTATGCGTAAGAGTCTGAAGTAAGACTATGATTGGATGAGAAAAGTATGGAGAAAAGACTATGGCAAGTTATGCAAAATATGGCATGAATAAAGTTTGATCACATAATTTGGAAGTGTGAAGTTGTGTTTGTTTTTACAATGTCCTATTAAACCTCAAGATATAACACACCTCAAGCTGATGCTTTGCATGTCTGATTCCAGAGTAAATGTTGTATCAGAAATGTTGTCTCTTTTTAGGACGCCCAAGATTTTGACAATGAAATTACATGTCACATTTGTCGGTGAGGCTGGTGAGGATGTTAGGGGTCTGTCAAGAGAGGCCTATACTCTGTTTTTGAAGACCTTCTTTAGAAGGTTTGCAGATAAAGAAGACCATCTTAAGTGCCATCGCTCAACCCAGATTACGGATTAGAAGAGTGGAATGCGATAGGAAGAATATTGTCAAAAGGATATCAAGATCACTTTGTTTTTCCTTTGCAGTTAGCTTCAGCTTTCTTTATTGCTATCATTTTTTATGAGGAGGCTGCATCATCAGAGCTTATCGATTCATTTTTTATGTACCTGACTCCCATGGAGAGAGAAGCTGTGAAACAAGTTCTTGGAGAGCACCCACTAACAGAGGACAACCAAGAAATCTTAGAAGAGCTTCTAGATCTTGAGGGGAGCCATGTGCTCCACTCGAGTGAAAATAATTGCCCTTTCATAAAACAGATTGCTCACAAATGCATTATACAGAAAAGTATGTATGCCCTGGAAGGTATTAAAAAAGCAGTTCATGGTAATTTGGCATTCCCTGATGTAGAGTCAATAAAAAAAAACCTCTCCATTTCACTCACACCAGCAGCAAAGAAGGTATGCAGTTTGTTACAAGCAGAGCCCAAAACAATTGAGGAATCTTAATTCATTGCGGTTTCTCAACCAGTTCATCAGTGCTCAAAGTAATGGGGGTTTGGTTCTTCTACTCAGATTTCTCACAGCCTCATCTGTCTTGTCTGTCGACAAAATCAGGGTACAGTCTCTTTGCCCGATGTGGATGGATGCTAGTGTGTGTTTGTGTGTGTTATACATGCGATGTTCGAAGTTGTTGATGTTGATCAGTGTGTGTACTGTGCATGTGCAATACTTGATTGATCTCTGTGTTTTATACCGTTGATGTCTTTGTACAGATTTTCTTGGATTATATCATGGATTATTATTATTATTGAAGAATAATCATGGCATCATCATCGAAATCTACGGGAAAAGGAAGGAAGCAAAGATTTAAACCTAAGTACGCAGCAAACTGGAGTTGTATAACTGCTTCGAAACGTAATGACTTTAGTGCCTGTTGCAAGTACTGTGGAGCTGAATTCACCATCGCTAATGGAGGCAGCAATCAAATAGTAGCGCATCTAAAGACAAAAAAACACATAAATGCATCAAGTGCATCTGAAAAGTCACCTAGCATCGTAACTTTCATCAAAGAAAAGACGGATTTGTCAGTGATAAGATCAGAAACTCTGATGACAAACTACTTCATTGACCACAATATCGCAAGCGTTCAAGCAAAGCCAGCAAAGCAGGGAAATATCTCCCCTCATCACGAAGAGAAAGTCCAACAAAACAGCAAGCATCCCCCAGTCGCCCATTTGCTCCTGATATGGACACTAACTGCAAGGTCGCTGTCCAACAAGGAATGGCGGCTGCGGCCCATGTCACGGAAAAGGGGATGTTTGTCAATTTTGATATCAGTGAACACTTGCAAGATTTGCAAACACGTGAAAAGGAGAGGACGGGAGATATTGTGGAGAGAGTAGTTAGGGCCACGGTGGAGGCAGCTGTTCCAACCATCATCAAGGCAGTAAAAGATATATGTCTCACTGTAGTGAAGGAGGAGGTCAATCCCCATCTCCTCCGTCTGCAGTACAAGACTGACCGCCTGGAAGGAGAGACAACCTAAGAATAACAGGCATTGTAGAAGAGGGAAGAGAGGAAGAATCTGAGGAGCAGCTTGCAAACAAAGTTTGCGAAGTGGCAATGCAGGCAGGGGTAGATCTGAAAGAGGTCAACATTTCATCTTGCCATCGCCTTGGAAAGAGATCCCCTGACAAAACTTGTCAGACGTTTGTTTGTCAGAGCAACAGGAGGCAGCGTGATAGTTTTTAAGACGCCCGCTTCACACTGGAAGGAAAAGATGGATGTGAGGGAGTCTACATCAATGAGGACCTCACTCTGGTGTGATATGCAGTCCTGAGGGCAGCAAAAAGGTCTTCGTCTGTGAAACATGTTTCTACGAAGAAGGGAAATATAGTTATCAGGCAAGACTCACAGGTCTGAGAATTGCTTTTGGGGAGTGAAAATGTGAAGAAAAAAAATTGAGCCTGCTTGCTCGCATACACACATATATCATTTTCACGCCGTCGGGTATTTCTATATTATCCGTCATAATGCCAATATGTTATGTCAAAACATATGAGTGATTTTTGTTCTGACCGTGATTGCATTCAGCACATAGATTTCGCAGTGGAGCAGCCATGATTTGCCCATGATTTTGATCGCTACCAGTAACTTGAAATGGCTAAATGAGCAAATCTACCAAGAAGTCTACCAGGGTACGCAGAAATATCGGGCTGATTACTCTCAAAGGTTTCCTGTATTGACAATCTCCAAACTTGGAGATCACTATGCATTTTGCAAATGCTGTTCCAGTGATTCTGCATCAGTCACGGTGGACTCAATGACATGGAGAAGCATATCAAGACAAAAAAGCATCAAGCCAATAGTGAGGCTCCTAAATACTTGAGCCTAAATTGTAAATGCCTAAATCTCTCCCATCTCTAAATAAATCTGGGGCCTAAACAATATTGGGGTATTCTTCGGTGATTGCATTTCCCATGTACGAGGTGTACGTAGCTCGTAAACTCAACTAGACCCCGGGGTACCACATATATCAGGACCCCATGGGCCCAATACCGGGTACTCATATGGCATAATGCGCGCTAGGTATGGTATCCACCCGTATGGGGGTAGTACCCCCAGGAACTTGTAGCGTTCTGTGCGCTAAAAATGATATGATCGGCTGCTATACCCTACCTGTACCCTCTGCCCAGCAGCCGGGCAGCAGCGGGGCTCAAAGGCTCAAGCAGGGAGCTATATAGTCGATGCTTAAGAGCCCTTGTACGGGCAGCGGCACGAATATGATACAAGGCAGGTACCAGAGGGAACGTCATTCAACAGAGTGTACCTTTACAGTGACTATGCATATTTTGACCAAACTTCTAAATCTTTTCACTTGGGTAAGGTAAATCACATTATTTTGTCAGGGCAACATGGACGCAAAGACTACAGTATACCTGTGGATTACAATAATGAGAAAAGGACATCCCTTAGTGTTATTATTTCTCCATATCAGCTAGTCGACTCCAATGAAGATGATTCAAAGAACTACATAGAAGTAAGTGATGTATTAAAACACTATTGCCTTTGTTGATATTTTTACTCAAGTGAATCTGACATGGAATGGGGATAGTTATGCTCTGCCAAAGGAAGAGGTAGAAGTGCTCAGGAAAAAGTCTGATAGTTTCGTAAGAGCAAATACAACTAGATGTACTTCTAGAAGACAAAGGGAGCGAGAGCAAGACAGCTTCGACAGCTTTAATTCTCATTCGAGAATATATGAGAAACTGGAAGCCATGTTCTCTCGCGTTGTAGATGCTCTCCCGGGAGCTGCTACCATTATTGGGAGTCAGTTTGTTCCCGATTTGACCGAGTCTCAACCACGTGCTGGTCAGCCTGAAAATTGATTCCTACATGACAGGGACGATGGCTAAGGGAGGTTTTGAGACTGAATATATTACGCAGGAAAACAAAGTTTGCAGTACCGTCGACCTAACAAATATATACCCATACAAAAATATCGAAAGAAAAGGCAGTTTTTGAATGTGAAAAATGCAAATGTTTTCAAGCTTGCTCGCTCATACAATATTTGACATCGGATGATTGTATATTATTTGCCTCTTCAAAAAGGTCCAATTTTTTTTTTTTTTTTTTTGGGGGGGGGGGGGGGTGAGTTCAAACTTCCCAATGAAAATCAAGCTTAATTTTTTAGATACTGATACGAAGACATTCCTAACAATAAACTCACCCTATATGATTGTGGCTTGCACACTTGTTAGCCCTCCAAACATATTTGTTTTTATCATTGTGCCATGACGCGATATTGCCCCCCAAAAAACAAAAATAAAAATGACACTGTGCATACAGAAGGAAGTTGGTGTGGGAGGGGGGACACCCCTCCTTCACCTTCGCTTGGGCTCTTCACGCCCTCAGCGTCTACACTTTCGCCCCCCCCCCCCCCGAAGAAAATACCTTGGTGCCGCCCCTGTGTAGACCTGTTTCTGAAAGATTACATCATTTTAATGAGATATATCTTGTTTTAATGAGATAATTATGTCGTTTTCATGAGATATATCTCTTTTTAATGAGAAAATTATGTTGTTTTAATGAGATAAACATATTTCTCATACGTCCCTTCCCGGGCTCCGTACGTACTAACATGATCTTTCTTTCACTAAATTATATACAGAAGTCCCATTGTAACCAAGTCTAAGGAGCCCCACACAAAAACGAATAATTAAATAAATAGATTGAAAAACAATGGACTGTTAAAAGGCAGATCACAAAGTTTTTTTTTTTTCACTTACCGGTATACCCAAGTCATTTATCTGAAAATCCTATCATTCAGATGGGATTCTGTATGTCATATCATTACCCAACTCACCATGTGGTTACAATTACCTAACAAAGGTAACATTGCTCATTATTCAACATAAATAACAGTTCATATTTTAACCTAATTTCGGATATTGCATCCCTACGGGGAATCCCATAACAATGGACATTTGATGACCTTTTATCAAAGGCTAAGGATTATTCATTCCATGCTCCACTTACTTGGACATTGAGCAATTTGATGTTCAGTGCTCTGCTTATAATAAAATCTAGCAGAGTAAGTCCCTGAGTGCTATAAACCTACATGCCTCTGCCTCATATACTCTTGATAATTATATTACACTCAGTGCTCCACTCGCAGAGAAATCAAGAGATCTCACAAAACCAAGTCACGACAACCCTGAATTCCATAGTCCTAGAAGTTTCTGTCTGGTGTATAGTCCTATGTCATTCCTGCTCTGTTCACATATATGTACTTCAAAAGATACGAAACCGAGCAGAGTTAGTCTCTAAGTGTTATACTAGTAGTTGTTGCCTCAGTCAGAAGACCTTAGTGTTATAAAAGCTGCAGGTATGTTTTCAGATTTTCTCTGTCAAAAACATCACGTTGCAAGATATGTTGCTGATCATAGTGTATAACACTTTGTCAAAATATGGGTGATTTAATGCTTTATCCAGTCCTGGTGAAAGCATTTGACAATAGTGTAGGGCAAGTGGCAGTCTACCTGTTTTCAGTGTAGGAATGTAGTGGTGTTCCACTGCAGTTAACATCTTGAACACACTGAACAAAGAGCTTGAATTGACAGGAATCTTGTGGTTGAGATGGGTAAGTTTCGCATTCAACTCTGCTTTAATACATGTACGTTGAGTGGTCTGATGAAATCATTAGCTGAGTCAGTTCTTGAGTCCAAGAAGCTTCTGTCTGGTGTATTCCCATATCATTAGTGCTCTGCTGACATGTACATTGAGTGATCTGATGAAATCATATGCTGAGTCACTTCTTGAGTCAGTTCTTGAGTCCAAGAAACTTCTGTCTGGTGTATTCCCATATCATTAGTGCTCTGCTGACATGTACATTGAGTGATCTGATGAAGTCATATGCTGAGTCACTTCTTGAGTCAGTTCTTGAGTCCAAGAAACTTCTGTCTGGTGTATTCCCATATCATTAGTGCTCTGCTGACATGTACATTGAGTGATCTGATGAAATCATATGCTGAGTCACTTCTTGAGTTAGTTCTTGAGTCCAAGAAGCTTCTGTCTGGTGTATTCCCATATCATTAGTGCTCTGCTGACATGTACATTGAGTGATCTGATGAAATCATATGCTGAGTCACTTCTTGAGTCAGTTCTTGAGTCCAAGAAACTTCTGTCTGGTGTATTCCCATATCATTAGTGCTCTGCTGACATGTACATTGAGTGATCTGATGAAATCATAAGCTGAGTCACTTTTTGAGTTAGTTCTTGAGTCCAAGAAGCTTCTGTCTGGTGTATTCCCATATCATCAGTGCTCCGCTGACATGTACGTTGAGTGATCTGATGAAACCAAGCTGAGGGATCTCTACGCATACATCAAGAAACTGGATCAACTCCACCGGGATGCCTTCTCTCTCTTTCCTGTTCAAAAACAAAATATTCAAACAAATTCTTAAGGGACCATACAAGTACAAGAAGGGCAAAGAATTATTTGTTGTCTTTTTTATTTAAACGGCTAATGCCATTACAAAGTTGTTTTAATATTGTAAAGAAAATGCAATGTTCAAAATAAAGTTCAAGTTCAAAGATGTAAGGATTATTCCTCCTCATCAACAACATAGATTTTCTTTTCACAATTAATTCTCTCAAAATCTCTCCAAAAATAAGAGCTCTAATATCATAAAGATAGTATCAATACAGACAATTAATTTATCCCCTTAAAACTCTATTAAACTATAAATTCATCATTGTTTCTGCAAACGACACAAGCTATTCATCCCTAGTTTCTTCCTGGAAGCTTGTTACCTACCCTAAAAGGAGCATGGTTCGCTGGGGAAACTTGAAGTCTGTCAGAGATTGGCTGTTGGCCGTCTGCTCCACTCCTACCAGGGTATACCCATGTTTCTTCATCTCTATCATGTAGTCTTTCAAATCAGAAGGCTTCACCTATTATTAACAAACAAACAAACAGGAAAAACACATAATTTAAACCAGGTCACAAGTAATGATGAAACTTAAAAAATACTCCGTTGATTGTGTAAAAATGGGATAAAAATGATTTGTATTTCTTTCAGAAGCCTGGGCCATGACTTTTTGAGAGTTGTGATTGATCCAAGCTTGTCACAACTTGATAACAATCATAGCTGTGTGCTTCAGAGATAGGGGATTGTATAATTACAACTGATTGGAGGACTTGGAAAACGATTTAGAGGTAAATCCTATAATAATAGAGAACAACTCTTGTTCTGAATGTGATATGTTGGCAAAGCTTTTGTCGGTTAAATAGCAGTCTATTGGTTGGTTGGTTGGAGCTTATATTTAGACTGTTCTTTAATTTGTCAAAAAGTTACTCTGAAATTGTCAAAATATTTGAAACATGAATACACAAACCAAATGAACTTTGTGGATTGAATTATGTAGGTGTCCTTTTTTTAGCAAATAAAAAATCATTCTTTTTAATTGCAATCCCATGTAGACAAATAAGAAATGGCTCTTTGAAGCCACATAGTAGTCAGTGTCCATGTGTATTGCATCATAATTGCATACACCACATTTGGTTGAATTACCAATTAATTTGCACAGTAGCAGGGTGTCTGTGGTCCCACCAGAAAATACTCCATCTTGCCTCCATATCTCAAGGGTGAGGGAAATTTGGTATTATGATGAGAATTCATTATGGCTATAGGCTAGGGCACATTACATTACAGAAGACATGATGGTTGTAAAAATGAAGTCTACTCTTGGTGACTAACAATGCCTGTTATTGGGGAAACACACAATTGGTGTAAATTCCTCATAAAACCCCACTACTGTGAGCCTTTAAAGCATGCATGAACAGCTGGGTAAAATTTTCATACAGGATTCTTGAAATTTACCTCTCTTAGTGGCAGCCATCTTTCTGCTGATACACTGAGACTCAGGAAGTCTTGGTGGTCTTTCAAAGCCAGGTTACCAAGTACAAGACAGGACGCTCCAAAAATCTCACAGGTCCGACATAGACCTGGGGAGGGGGAGGGGGGGGGGGGGGGGGGGAATTGAAGAGATCTTTCACCACAGGATCCTGAAAAACTTTATAATTTGTCAACTTATCTTAACATGTACCATTTTCAATTCAATCTGTTTAGCAAAATTGATGATGATGGTAATCATCAATGTCATCGTCACCATCAGCGCTAAGATCACAATTCACAAATCAATCATTCTGAAATAAACTCATTCTTGATTTCACATCAGTTTAACGTGTTACAGACATGTAAAATGTACATCACTTCTCACCTCTTACACAAAATCTTAAACGGCCATCTCTCAATTCAATCTGCTCACAAATTGTTATGAATTTAAATTCATCATGGTATACAGTAATCACAGATTATTAGTCCATGAATAGTCGCACATATGTAGCTTCACACTTTCTATACTCAGCATAAAAAAATTGTAGTATCAACGAACCTCCAAGATTTGGCACTCTACTGATGAGTGAAGCCACGACCACAAGGTGACCCCTAGGTGACTTCTGACCTTCGGAGGATTCAAAGCCAGGTATGTGGGATTCCTTCCACGGTGTAATCTTCTTCTGGATATCTCCTGATCCATCCTCCGTCCACAGCTCTTCCCGAATCTCTGCATCTTTCACTGTTATACAAAAAATATTACATATGGTTAACAACTAAATTATTCATACCCTTACCAAGCTTTTCATTTTGTAAGTATGTGAAAATTCAATCTGTCCTAATTTATATTTCTTGAGAGTGTGACATATTCTCTTGGCAGAGCTGCCAAGCGCCAGAACAGAAAATCAGCAATCACAAGGCTCAAAATCAGTAATTTCCTAAGCGGCGCTATGAATCTAAAAATAAACGGCATGCCAACACTGCGCAGACGCATGCGCAAATTTTGGTGATGTTACTCACAATAAGTTGCTCAATATTGATTAGTGCCATAGTGGGTCATGACAACACATCAGTTTTCCATGAAAAATTGGCTTTTATTAAGAGAATACCGTCATACTTTTTTTTTTTTTTTTTTAATCCGTAATGATCGTTTATTTCTGTACCAATTACGGGAAATCCGTACTAGTTGGCAGCTCTGTCTTGGCATGAAGGTCAGTTCCTTGCCACTTTTTCACCCCCCCCCCCAAAAAAAAAAAAACAGTCTTCATAACATACCTGATTTATTTTTCTGCTTCTCTTTGACTTGACATGTCCTGAGTGTATCCGTCTCGCTGTAAAGGGGTACAATGGGATGGTTGCTGTTCTGTTTCCATGGTGACGTGTCTGATACGAGGAAGAGCTCTGGATGGACGAGCTCATCCTCGGTGACCAGGGTCAGCTTAGGCATGATGTAGAAGATGGTTTCAACACTGAAATGTTGAATGGGATGGAAGTAACTGAGGAAGAAGCTCCCCTCCATTCTCTCTCTCAGCGAGTGGAGTGCACTGGATTGAATAAAAACAATGATATCACCACTAATGTAGAGAAACTTTCACTCAGCAAAGGGTTCTATCAGACAGAAACATAAAGTGATTTTAATCTTTGTTCTTTCAGGAAAAAACACCTTGCATAAAGAAATTCATGTAAATAAAGTCAAATAAGATTTGAGAGGAGTTATAAAAGTAAGAAAATAACAAATGCTGATTTATTCAGAAGCCAGGTGATTTTGTCTACAGCTTTAATTTGCTTCTTACTCCACTTGATATTTTGTTGTTTCATACATCTAGTTAGGTTACTTGCTATTCTATTCATTTAGGGCAGATATTACAAAGTTAGGAATCATATTAAAATCCAATTTTATTTGCAAGGCCCACCTGTTATTCTGTGTGAAATCCATACAAACAGCAACCCCCGGAAACCTGTCCATCAAGGTGATAAGCCCCGCCTCTTTGCAATCCTTCCACATCTTGAAGAGCGCCACCTGTGACTGGACGCGTAATGCCATGGAAGGAACAAATGTCCATGGAAGGACTGTTGGGATCGCTTGAAGGTAGAAAGACTCCTAAAAAAAAAATTTAAAAAATGAAAAAATTCTCATTATATGATTTTTTGTTATAATGATGAAGGAAAATGTTTCTTAACTACCTAATGAGTAGTTAATTAACTGAGCAGTTTAGGTATTAATTAGTCAGGACCTTATTGGAATTGAGTGATACTGTCTGCTAAATGAAATCATCTCTTCAAAAAGATGTATATCGTATTAACCTTTTCACCAAATGTTTCTTAATAAAAAATAAATTGATACAGGAAAATATCATAACATTTTTGTTCTTAAGAATTAACAAAATTGGAAATCAGACTTCTCAAGTATCTCTGAATAGATAAAATCTCTACACTCATGGGTGTAATAAATCTTTTTGATTAAAACGATGATTGGTACTAAAATAGAAGAAAAGTATTGAAGAGAGACATGCTAGAACAGTTCGTCTTGCACTCATCGGTATGCCTCTTTTCAGTAGTAATACTTGATTTTGATGATTGATAGGTTATGCCAACATTTTCAGCAAGCAATCTTGCAACTATCACAAAAATACAATGATCAAATTAAAACAAAATAATGAACAAATTAAACATATAATAGTTCCACTGAATACAAAACTAGATACACTTCTGATGTTTGTGATGCTTATAAACAGAGATATTATGATACATACCTGTTGGTCCTTGGGCTGTACAGTACCAAGGTGTGCAATGATCATCAGCAATGGTGAGAAACTTACATCTTGACAATTTGCTACCTGCAAATGAAAATAAAGTATATCACAAGATTTGAAAATTGAGGACAATACGTCAGCCAACATAAATGCACAAATTATTCAAAAGAATTTAATCCTCGCAATACTAATCTCATACATTTTTATCTGCACATATTGCATATAAAACTACTGTACAAACCACAATTTGTTTTTTTGCTCTGAGATCCATTTAAAAGGACCATGTGTAATATTTGAGGATGCAGGTTCGAAACTGAGTCATGTCTTTCGGATGGTGACGTTTAAAGGTTGGTCCCCAGATGTAAATAATCATATTTGATTGATACACATCTGTAAAAACCCCATAAAAACACTCCATTTTTCTAGTTGCCTCTATTTCGTAGGACTGTTTTGGAGAAAAGTGCACATTAACACTGGCTGCATGGGACAGCAGACTTACTGTCTTCACATACTTGCTACAACAAAAAAAAACAAAAAACAAACAAACAAACAAACAAGGACATACATTCAACAATTTTATTAAACACTGACGTGTATCTATCTCACCTCTGAAGCATACTGCCAGAACTGCTGTAGTAGATGGGGATGAAGATGGATCATCCTCACAACAAAGACCTCCATCAGATGACGTACTGAAGTCTGATTCTCTGCTCTCATAGAACGCAACACCCTGGCTAGGATTCGTGGAGCAGCATCCTACATGTGTATTCCAAGAGAATGTTTACCATAATAAATCAAACAGCATATATCCAAATGAATATCACATGTACTTACTAGGCTGATATATTAGACCATATCTGCCAACCTTTCACAGCAAATATTAGGAATCTCTCAAGGCAAAATTGGGAATACAGTCTATTTTGTAAATTTTTCACACAGAATATTTCAACATGAAAGAGGAATCTAGGGTTCAAAACAACAGCTTGAAGGCCAAAAAATCACCTCCATTCCTCCAAAATAGGAATGGTTGGCAGCTATGATAAAGATTCAGGTCTGTTAACTGGATTGTTGCATAGTCCTTGTGAATCCAGTTCCTTTTCTAATACAATCCATTGTTGGTAAAATTACATTAGGACAAAATATTTTGTTTGAATAAGTCAATCATTTATTAGACTATAACAGTACTCTTATATAAGAGATAGATTTCCTTAGCTGTTCAGAAGAGCTATTGTGTGTCAATTGTCCATCCCATCTCTTACACTACAAAATAAATACTGAAAGTAACAGTCCAAAACTTTTGATTTAAAGAGTCAACTCTCTACCAGAATGTGAGGAGAGGACCATACTGATAAAAACTGTGCATTTTCATCAAACAGAAAGCACATTTTTAAGCTTAAAAACATGATCAAACAGACTTTCAAAAAATGAATCCGAGGCAATTTCTTTCAACTTGTGCATCCCCTATTGAATGAGCAAAAATAACAATACCAATTAAGTAATTCTAATAGAGTTTTTTTTTCTGCAGGTAATACAATAGTCTATGGAAACTGCACTCAAACTGATTGGAAGTCTTTGCGATTGTGTTATAAGCGCTTTACCGGAGACAGAAAGTTGAGAATGATGATAGCTGCCTGCCATATACGAAGCTTGAGACGATGGACTACTGAGTTGATGATGTAGCTTCGCTTCTTGGGAATTATCTCCTGATCCTGGGGATTATGGGTAAATAATTATAATAAAATATGAGATCTGGATGGCACCAAAGCCACTTGAAATCAAATGCTCAAGGTGCACTTGTGAAACAAAAAAACAGAAAAGAGATCACATAAAAGCATCTGCATTATAAACAAAGGAACAGAGGCAATATAGAACATACAAAAATGACAGAACAATGAATTATATTCTGATTTAAACAGATAAGTTTCAAGATTTTTATAAATGCTTCAACTGATCTGCTATTACGAATCTCTCTCGAGGGAGAGCATTCCACAGAAAATTCCACTGGTTCATGGTGGCCATGGAAGACTTACACATTTTCTTTAAAATGACATTTGATCTAGCGATAATAGCTCCGTGGTCAGTTTCTTACACAAACCCAACGCTTATCTTCAACATGGGACCGAACATTATACCTTTGCCTATCCTAAAACCCAATATCAACCCTAACTAGAACCCTGTATCTTTGACGAAATAAAGCCTGAAACAATGGACATCGGTGCATACGTTGGAGTGCCACTCATATTGTTGATAAGCTTGCACAGGAGTATTAAAAGAGTTATGCATCTATTCTAAAAACATGAAATATGCATGTGAAAAGAAGATTATTAATTAATGACTCTTTCTTTATCTATCTTTAAAAACAAACAACACACAGACAAGAACAATATTTTTCATCATGCTTTAAAGATGTCTTGAAAAAAAATTCTTCAAACCGGGCACAAAAAAAAAGTTTCTACTTTACCTTGTCTAGAAGGCTGCTGAGGAAGTCTTCAAAGAATTCTTCTTTTCCTTGAAAGTTGCTTGCTCCTATCTTCATCAAGATACTAATTACAAGGACTCTGGGATGACAGGGATTGGTGGCATTGCTACGGGATTAAAGCACATTACAAATATCTAGGTAATTTTCATAATACATCGGACTGCAATGAATTAGTCTCAATCGTTATAGACCACAATAGTAAAGTGATTTGCATTGCACCCGATCTGGCCTTTTCTCTGACTGGTAGGCTTGTGATAGACCAACCCATTACTCATCAAATAGCATCGAGACCTTGATCATACAGAATTCACATTCTAAACTTATCATGTCTCATAACAATTGTTACAAAGTCTAGATGAAGATGATTTATGAGGAGGGCAGTATCTTTTAAAAATCATCACCGACATATCCTCTGTTTGGAACCAGAATGGCGCTTAGTTAACATGTATAATTCTCCACTAGGCTCATGCCGTTCTCATTCCAAATAGACAATACAGTCAAACCTGTTTATAAAGGACACTCAAGGGAAAAATTGGCCACTGTAGACAGTTGGCCTCTCTCGCCAGATTCTACAACACACATTTCTTTCTCAAGGGAGACAAATTACTTGGCCACTATAGAGGGGTGGCCTTAACAGAGAGGTGGCCACTAAGACAGGTTTGACTGTATATGTGAGGTGTACCTGTTGTTTTGTAGGATGGGTCTCACTGTTAGAAGCTCTTCATGTCTCACAAGGTAGGCTGATATGTCTTCCATCAGTCTTTAAAAGTACAGAAGCAATTGAAAGAGAATAGTAATAAATCAATATATGTTACAGTACATTAACCACATAAAGTATACAGACATTGGATATACAAGCATACATAGCCCATCTACATCTGTATAGTTTCATTAGATGGATGGTGTAACATAAATGCATCATATTATCATGATTAATTTTTAACCTACTTAACCTATTGAAGTGTATGACCCAATTCTTTTTCACTCCACAAGTACCTGAGTTCTTCCTAATTGAATATAAAGAGAGGTTCAAAATAGCAGATTGGTTAAATTGTTATTTAAACAAATCTTTCTTTTTAAAAGTTCTTTCTATACACATGTTGTATCTTTTTGAAGTGCTTATATGTGATTTCACTTTTTGCGCTGGTATGTCTTGAGCATATCTTACAAATCTTATATATTATCATTATCTGAATTTTTAAAATATTTTTTAAAATAGTATTTTGGGGCCTGTTGTTGTTGATATACCTGACTGATTTTGATACACAGGGACCGAAGAGGGCAGCTTCCTGAAGGATACCCGAAAGATTTCTGATGACCGTCATGGCGTCATGGCGATGATTCTCAGGGGGTTGAAGGAAGAAGTGCTCCGATAAGACCTTGTCTAGGTGACACATCAAGGTATTGAGCATGCCCAGTCTAGTCTCTCCCTGGGAAAGGATCTTTGATGTGTACTGAAGATGAAAGATGGAGGTTATAAATTGATATCTTCATTATTAACAATGGGGGGAAAAGGCAAGAACAGCAAGCATTAAAGCTCTTAACATCGTAACAACAATGTTGGAGGAATTAAAAAGGAATTATGCAGAAAAAAAATCATTGTATCGCATAGTCATTTCTTTTAACACATACTGTAGCATTGTCATCATCATTGTTTAAATTTTGTTTTACACACACTGGGGTTGGAGGTTTCATTTCATCAATAGCACTTCTCTAGGCCTTCTGGGGGGTGTTTCACAAAGATCCTAAGTAGAACTTAACTCTAAGTTGGACTTAAACATTATGGACAGCCATTGGAGCCTTAAAATGAAATATATTCAAAAGCAAAAATTGGGAGTATTTTAGACTTTTCATCAATTCCACATCAAGAACATGAAATCTCCCATGATAACAGAAAATATGAATGATTTGAATCAACATTTTATGCCTTCTAAAAAAAAAATTACAAAATATTTTTAAGGAGGCTAATGGCTTCCCATAATTTTTAAGTCCAACTTAGAGATAAGTTTATCTTAGGATCTTTGTGAAACACCCCCCTGGTCTTCAGCATCCAACTGGATGAGACCAGGGCTCTGTCTTACAAAGAGTTGCGGGCAAGTCCTCTAATCAATCGCAAGTTTGCAGTCTCCTATCTGTTATGTACATAGTTGGGATTGATATCAATCCCAAATAAGTTGGGATTGATATCAACTCTTTGTTAGACAGGGCCCGGATACTCTCATACCATCCTCAAATGTCTCCTTTCAAGATTAACGAGGTCTGCCACAGGACTTTGAGCCAGCCCCCAGGATATTTATTACATTTCTGTAATTTAATAATCAATCAATGTACAGAGGGAAAGTCTTGTAACTGTAATGTTTTGATATCAAAGAAAGTGATAGATCTTACCTTCTGAAGAGCTTCATAGACTTCAGTGCCTTCCCCAAGTTGTAATAAAGTCGGTTGGTAGGCTACAGCGATAAAGGCCTCGTACAGATTCCAGAATGTTGAGTTTGCCCTCCAACCATCCAGTACAGCGCACCAGCACGCTGACAGCCCCTCCAAGCATAATGGAATGTTCTCATCAGCCACCTTTACAGATGATGAAACCAAGACTTTGTGAATAGAATGTGCTGGGTACTCATTATAGAGTGACAGTATATTTCTACTTAAGTAAGCATACATGTATGCCACTTTCTGTTAAAGTAATACTACATATATCAAATAAATAGAGAAAAAGCTCCTAAACTTTGATTAGATATGTTACAAATGTTATTTGGTTGTAATTCTTTTCTTGTTTTCAATGGCGAAGCTTAATGTAGTATGTCAAATCACTGTATGTTGTAGAAGATTAAATATTCTTCATAACATGATGAAGCATAATTTAGTTTCAATATGTCTCTATTTTAATGAACACAACTTTATTTACCTTGTCAATGAGCAAAGCAGTACACTTCAACAATGGCCTGGTATGCAAGGCAGATACCAGACTCGTGTCAGACAGGCAAGCAGACAGCACCGGTTGCCAAGCAACAGGGTCATCTTCCTGGGTCAATCCACTGCCTGCCTTGCCTCTATGTCTGTCCCAATGTTGGATAACGGCCAAGATGGCTTCCCATTTGGTCCTGATCACATCTGACTGCAGTCGCCCTCTGTTTGAACCATCAAGCCCTAGGAAAAAGTAGATAGAAACTTATACAATGTACAGCTGATTACAACATTTGAAATACGTAAATAGCCTTAGAGGCATCGTTTAACCATATTAAATCTGAGATGCATGGCCCTACGTGATGTCAGTGTCTGTGATATGGTGTAATATTGAAGCCCTAAAAAATTGCACTTCAACATGATCACGAAGTGCTTCAAAAAAGTTATCATCTTTGAATGACCGGTTTTACCATACTCAATACTCATATTCTCCAATAGACTGTAGTATTATAAAAACCGTTAGGAAAACGAAAAATGAAATTTCCATTTCCAATCATAAATATCTTGAAAATCAGACAGGCGATTGGCTTCTAAAAACTCATGGGATTCCTGACTGACCTTAATGTTTATAATTATGATTGCAGCATGAGCTAAATCCAGGATTTTGTTTTAGAATCTGAGGCAAAGTTACCAAGTCACTTTAACTCATTTCATTTCGAAGGGAGAGGACCTCAAAAGTTATGTCACAGACTTGCAAATTCGTGTTTTCCTGATTACAACTTGAAAAATTCATTAACTTTCATATTTTTGATTGGATTTTTGTACAAACTTGCACGTTCCGTTTCTCTCGTTTATGTGCTTTTGTTAAAACCAACTAAATATTAGAGTGAAGTTTTACTTTCATACTAAAGCTTGAGAATCACTGAGATCAATTACCCCTCATATCTCCTGCTTCAGCAACCTCTTTCAATCTTGCAGAGGCCGAGGCTTCTACTCTCAGAAGAGATGTCAACATATTGGATGTAGAGGGCAGCATTGCACCAGGACTGAAAGCCTCCGATGATAAAATCCAGGTCAGGATGGACGTCATTGTGTAACAGTGATGCATTTCTTTTACATAATGCTGCAGGGATGAGAATAGATGATGGAGTATTAAGGAAAGAGAGAGAAGGGGAGGGATGAGGGGATAGAGAGGGAGAGAGAGAGAGAGGGTGGGTGAGAGAGAGAGAGAGATAGAGGGTGGGGGGAGAAAGAGATCATAACAGTTTACAGGTTGTTGCTAGGTTGGACAATCATAGTTTGTCTAACCTATATAACGCATTATATAACTTCACGATTTATGAACCAATTCTAAATTTCAAGATGAAATACAAAATGTTGGTGGTATAAACCAGCTTCAGCTTTGGTAGGACATGTGACTCTGCAGGGAGCAAGCTCTACCTCATCCATTTTTAAAAATCCCTAAATATTCAATCCCTTTTTATCCAGTAACTCTTAATCCCTCTTCACCTCTAAACTCTTAATCCCACATACCTCATTCTGAAGCTGTGAGTTCATGAGAGCTTCGCAACCTTTCAGAAGCTGCTTCCTACCCTCGATGATCTTGAGGGTCAAGCCTTGACCCTGAAAACTCCTGCCTTGACCCTCATGCTCTCTCCCTGCATGGGATAGTAAGGCATCCAAGAATGACCGGTACAGGGTGATGCTGTTCACATCATGCACCTTAAATGGGATAGTTAAAAGGAGCAAAAGTTCATGAAATTGTATTAAAATCATTTTTAAGTGTTGAATAGGGGCATCTAGAAACTTTTTTTAACACCAGTGATGCAGACTATTCTAATTTTTCTGCTGAGAGCCAGAAAGCCATTAACTTTAAAGGTACTATGTCCCATTTGCAGGCCAAAAAAATGAAAAAGTTAAATTCCAACTGCATTTGAAAGATAATACTAATTTAGAACTTCCCTAAAAAAGGTGGAGCTTGAAAATGTCTTCAAGTGGGAAAATAACGACTATTAGTTGTCAAATCGACTTTAGGGCTATAGAGCCCAAAAGTACTAGTCTTGATTTTCAGACAATTGTACCGAATGGTCATACGTTTTATGCTGCGCAAAGATTCAATCAGTTTAATCTTGGCCATCACATGAAGTGGGTTATTGATGTAGACAAATGCTCATGTACCCTTTACAACTCTTTTCATGTATGTTATTACCAAAGAAGAAAAAATGCCAGTCAGTTACTCAATAGTGTCTGACAGTGAAGTCTAGCAAGTAAACGGGTTTCCTTGCATAATTTGAATATGAGGACACTGCTAACATTTAAATTTCAGATAGGACATACATGACATTCATAATTCCTGCAAAGTTCTACAGAATTTGAGGTTGGCTGCAAAAGGGACATAGTACCTTTAAAGTTAGTACAGGAGGTACATCCTTTTGGATCACAACTATGTATTCATGATAAAGAAAACAATGAATAGGGGGTCGGCATTGTTCCTGGGGTAAAATTACATCACTAATTTTTTAAAAGTCTTATTCCTATTAACATTTCACATTACGCGATTTTATGGAGCAAAATGTTGCTTGCTTATCAGCATAATCTTCTAAATTGATTTAATTGTACATGCATCAATCTAAAATATCAACTCAAATTAAACATAAATGATACATATAATATAATCAGTACCGTCTAAAATATCAACTCAAATTAAACATAAATGATACATATAATATAATCAGTACCGTAAATCTCTGTGTATAAGGCGCACCTGTGTATAAGGCGCACCCCTATTTTGGTCGGCGGCAAAAAAGTGCGCCTTATACACGGAGATTTACGGTATATAGAAATCACAATTTGATATTAGCTAGCTATGTAATTCCCAAATAATCGATTTTTCAATGCCTTGAATCATTGATCATGAATAAAATAACAACTGTTCATTGACACGAACTCACAGACTTTCTACTTTACATTACGCAAAGATACAGCTGGCCTATGCCGATACGTCTGGAAACCAGAATCACTGTATATTTATTCCAAGGAACACATAATGGAACACGAAGGAACAATGAGCTGACCTTTGACCCAGGGTTTTGTTTCATTAAAGATGCAGGGTAAATGGTACGGTTGCCATTGGTTTTCGCATATTAAGTCAACACAAAGATTTACAATGACAGTATAAAAATTAAAGAAATCTTGCCGGGTCTCACTTGAACATCCCTGTTGCCTAGTAACTGACGGATGAGGTACTGGAAGATTTCACCCAGGGTCTCGCAGAGCAGGATCGTTAGAGATGTGCAAAATTCTTTAAGAAAGAAAGAATTTAGTGTCAAAATGAATAAACTTCTGTTACACTGTACATGCCTCTTTGCACAGGTCCACAAGTAACCTTTTATGTCCCTTTTGCAGCCAACATCAAATTCTGTAGAACTTTGCAGGAATTATAAATATGTCATGTAATGCCTATATGTGAAATTTAAACGTTAGCAGTGTCCTAATATTCAAATTATGCCAGGAAACCTGTTTACTTGCTAGACTTCACTGTCAGACACTATTGAGTGACTGACTGGCTTTTTTCATCTTTGGTAATAACTTACATAAAATGAGCTGTAAAGGGTACATGAGCATTTGTCTACATCAATAACCCACTTCTTGTAATGGCCAAATTTAAACTGATTGAATCTTTGGGCATCATGTGCACTCGGCATCTATTACTACCAAGCCCTTAATTTTCTCTTTTTATTTACCTGAGTAACGCTGATCCTGAGATGATGTCTGTGATTCTTGGAGCAAAGCGTAAAGAATCTGCAGTGCCTTATCAGCCTTCTGAGTAGGTAGATACACATGGCTCCCTGCTCTACCTAGCACCTCATGTAGGGGTTGCAGCAGGTCTGATATATGGCTGAGAAAGAATATCAATAGTGGTTCAGTAAATAAATAGATAAGATAATAATTTGAGTGTACAATACACAGATACACAGTAATATACAAGTACACAGGGTTAACATTTACACAATATATATATAATAAATTAAAAGTATAATAGCATAAATTAAAATTATCAAGAATAGACAGATGAGCTCAAATGTAGATAACATTTAGTTTGGGATGAAGTCTTGATTACTTAACAGTGTATCTATCTGCAACCCTTTAATACACATTTGACCTTTGACCACCGACCTATGACATATGCACTATCATTTACTGAGAGCACATCTGCATCAGACTAAGGTTTCATTAATTTAAGTCTGCTTTCTTGAATGATGGACATTTTTATTCAGAACCTTCCTGTTTACCTATCTTGAGGATGATCCAGAGCTTGCGAGTCAGCCACCATAAGCATGGTTATGACGACCCTTTGGGCCTCCTCTCTATTGGGTAGATCATCCCTCTCTAGAGCCTCTTTGGTCGGGTCAACGTGCAGATAACCTTTGATCTCCTGGATGCATGTCTGCCATGGTGACCGGGGCTGGATGTCTGGATCTGATGAGGTGGGATTGAGCATGTTGTCATGGAAAGCTTGGCATACCTGGAGGGCAAAAAATGAGAAAAGAGACAATTAACTGAACTGAAATGATATGAACAGATATGAGGTAAATTTATATTAATCATGAAAGATTGAATTATTCAATTTCAATCAACTTCATTCAATTAGATGAAAATCTTAAATTCAGATGAAAATTTTAAAATGCATACTCTGGAAGTGAGAAAAAGGTGGTAATCAAAGAACTTCAGACTCGTTCACATAAGAAGCAGCAAAACCACAACATCATCTTTTTTTAAATGATGACGTAAGGTGTAATATGCTTTACATTTCTCTATCTTATAATACAGAGCTCAGTGAATATGTGCAAGTCCTTAGTTGCATGCAGTTGCCATTCATTTTACACGTTAAAAAAAAATGTGACAAGCTTTCTGGCGGTTATATTCCAAGCCATATCTGAACAAGCCTTAATAGTTGTTTTTTCTACAGAAAATTATCATTAAACTTCAGTGCAGTGTATATATCAACTATTGAGTTTTTGTATAGGTAGAGTACACAATAAGCCAGTTCATAGTTGCAGTCTGAGCACGAGCAGATAATTGTCATTGCAGACCAAATTGAGAAATACACGGAGACAAAATACTGGTACTCGTGCTCATGAAAGTTATGTAATCATTATTCATTTATGCACAAGCAATGCACTCCATGATACACAGGTGGAAGTATTCTTTGAAAAGGGGGAAACAAAGGCTATTTATGTAGCACCTCCATTGCTGTAGGATTGATTATTTCAAAACGTACAAAGTGGGATCTCTTCATATGTTATGAAGATCTGTGGATAGTCTGGGTCATTTGGGACATGTGCTAACCGTGAACTGGTCTATTGTGGTACATACCTCTTCCCAGAGTGATGATCCCCTCTTGAGAACCTCAGCAGCATTGCACACACCCAGAAGACTGGAGAGCTGGTGCAGTGAGATACTACTCCAGTCTAGAAGATGGAGGGCTGCCCTAAGGAAGAAGCACTGGATGGTGGACCGGTAGCCGGGAGGGCAGGTCACGAAACCAGATGAAAGCTTGTCCCTAAAGGTTTCAGGAATAACATCATGATGTTACTTTGCATTATATACATGTTATATACAGTAGTAGATTTTTGTGTGTGTGATGAGAAGTAATTTTAAAGAATTCAGTTAATTTGGCATCCTAAACAAAATTAAAAATCATAAATACAAAATACATAATAGGACAGGATTAATATTAATTCAAATTAATATGAATAGAACACTGACAATGGTGTCAATAATCAGTCAGAAAAATATTGATAAGGATGATATTGATCAAAACTCTATTCAAAGTCGGGCAAGGTGATTGGAGCAATATTGCAAGATTTGTGATGCAGTTGATAGTAGCTCTCATGTTGATGATGTTGATCAAGATGAGGTTGATGATAACCTGATAGAGATGTTATATGGTGGTGGTGGTGGTGGTGGTGGTGGTGTGTGTGTGTGGGTGTTGGTAGTCCTGGTCATAGTGATGATAGTGATGGTTGATGATTGTGGTGATGGTGATGGTGGTTGCAATGATAATAACGGAGGTGAGTAGCTGTGGTTTCGGTAATGATGGTTTGGGTAATGATATCCATGATGTTGGTAATTGGTGGTGGGGTGCGGGGTAGTGGCACTGATGCTGATTATAATGATGTTTCTGATTTTAGAGAGAATTTAGAGGCAAATAATACCATCACATGTATTATCCATGTCCACTCAGTAGATTGAGAAGGCAATGATCAAATAGTAGAGATGAAACAAAAGGAAAATACAACAAAATACCCCCTTAACAAACAAAAAGAGCAAGGGTATAGAATTATCTTAAAAGACAGCTTTCAAATCCTTATCAGTCCACACACACACATGTACATGTATTTTTTAAAATGAATACCAATGCATGAAAAGAAACATTAGTGTGATAACACAATGCTACCACATGTCTGCAATGTGACTCTGCAATCAAATGTAACACTAACCTCAGCAGGAACAAGGATGAACGCCCCCATGCAGGGAATGCTGGGATACTCGCCAAGGCCTCAGCGACAAAGGAGATAGTGACTGGTCCCCATGCCTGCTCACAGATCAATGCCAGCAAATCAGATAAGAATGCTAATTACCAAGTAGAAAGAGACAAGTAGAAACATTTGATTTTTCACAGGAATACTTTAATTTGACATGGTCGTTCTGATTAGTTCTTAATTTGTTGATAATGATAAGATGCCCTTGTATTTTTTAATACTTTGTTTGAGGAGGAGGGAATTTGTTATGATCTGTTTTATTTTTGCATTTACTCTTATTGCTCTGTAGCTCTTAAAGCTAAACAAATTTGGGAGTTCCATCTTTTGCATCTCTTTCAGGTCCTTCCTTCTCTCTCAGATACTGTAATCCTTTCTTTCTCCATTTCTTTTTCTATCTTAATTTGAACATTAGTATTCAATTTCATGGTTTCCTTTTTCTTTCCTTACTTCCTTCATTTCTTTGTAATAAAAGGCTAAACCTATGGGGCCTAGACATGTGCACAGTAGTGTGTTGATAACAATGAGGTAAAAGAGGTAACTGCCAAACATTTGTTTGCAGTGGGTTTGTGTAGGTGAAAGCTTTGAAAGTAATGCATTGTTCCTAACACGTCATTTAAAAGAACTTTCAATATTACTCTAAACAAAACACCCATGGAATATTGATAGTGATAACACGATAGGAAAGTTTGTGACAAATCTTTCATACCCATAACCAACATTTTACACAAAATTTATACAAGGAAAATTGTCAGAAGCATACAGATTTGAAAAAGCGACGGTAAACTTAAATTGCTGTATGTCTGAATGACTGGGAAGTGGAGGCAGAAAAAACAGTAGCTGTGTGCAACCAATGCATGCCCTAAGGCAAACTCACTCATCTGTGTGCTCAAGGTTACAGATTTGTGATACATACAAAGCTTAAAGGTAATACAAAGTTTGGGGAAATTTTGAAAATTGACTGGATAGTGATTCTTTACAATTTTGATACTTTTGGATGCCCCTGTAGATGTATTAAAAGCACTTGAAAATTTAGCCCCTAACACATTTCTGCTTTCGAGTAAAATTGAATTAAAAATTACCGGTGCTCCCGGTAAATTTTGATAAATTTCAAATAGCGCTTATGTCCATACAATTGCAGTTGCGACCATTAAAATCTCAGAATATGTAGTTGTGATATATAATTTCCAAACGGAAATAGCCAATCGGCTGATTTTAGTCAAGAAACATTGTTTCATAGCTTAATTAATATCTTGACCTTGAGAGGGAACTATACAACATAAAGAAAGAAGACCATGTTATTTACAATTTAATAACTGAAGACTCAATTTCGACCGCGACAATGGTCACTGAATATTGTAGGATCGCGTATGCTTCCAATATGTTCATTTGAACCAAATTCATGACCCGATACCAAAACTTTGTTTTACCTTTAAATGTCATTTTATTATCTTGCAACAACTTCTTTTCAGGCAATTTACCATGGCATGTGTAGAAGAAGCTCTATTGTGGATATTCTCAACTTACTTTTCCTTGTATCATCATTGAGTTGTGACACACAGAAGACCATAAACTTCTTCAAGGCCAGACCGATGGGTGGTTGTGAGCCGGGTGGTGTCTCAGGTGGCTTGGTGTACAGATACTCCTCATGCAGAGCAGTCAGTAAGGGACCAAAGATGAACTAGGAATAAAAAAAAATTAAATAAAAAGATGACATTAACACAGGTTTGGCATACAACTGATCGACACTAAAAGGGCAAGCCTGACCAATTCTCAAGTTGAATTGAATACATAGAGAAAAATTAAACAAATAAACTTGGACGAGAAAATAAGAAAGTCTTAAAGTTTCGCATAATTTTTATGATACAGTGATATATATCAAATAGACTGTATGCAAATGAGCAAGCCGATGTCGTAACATCATTATTCCCTATATATTTTGTTTATGGAATTTAAAATGTTTCTTTTTCTTTTTCCTGTATCAAACATTTCCTATACAAGGAATATACATATATACAGGAAGAGCAGTACCAATAACAACATGGCTACCAACAAATTAAGTGTTAAATTATCAAAATCTACAGAAAGTAACGACTTACCCTCGGCCCACTCTGATGAAGAAATGAACTCTTGTCCAGGTCAAGATTCAAACACTGAGTTACACCAAGTCTTGTGATTGTCTTACTCTCGTGAACAAAGCAACGCTGATACAGTATACACAGCCAACTGGAATGCATTATAGGTATACCTAATACAAGTCAACAAAGTAAAATCATAAATTACTCAACGTACATGGATAATTATCATGCAATATATGCAGTCAATAATACTTACATTAATACATTTTCTATTTATAGTTATAAGTTACCAAGTAAAATCATTGTTCAACTTATACAATCAATTATCATGGAAAAATAAAATTATTAATGGAATAAATGATATTCAAATAAATATGAAATAATTAACCTGCATATCGTCTATGAACCCTGATTATCATTTATTTACCGTTTTGTCTGTATATCTTTACCATTTGCTTTTTTAAATTTTTTTTTATCTTGATAAGTTTTATTGGTCAGAAAACACAATGATTTACAAAATATGTGTTACATTGTTTTGCAGAAAAATAATGAATAATCATATTGTTTCACACTTACAATCTTGTGGTGTCACATTTCAGTGTAACATTAAAAAACATAGCATGATACTTCTGTATACCATTTGCTTCATTGTACTTTATGTATTTTTGAATGTGTTTGTAAATTGTGCACAATTCAGCTATTGGCTGCTAATTACGATATGTATAAAACCATGAATGAAAAAAAAACAATACATGATATTTTTTTAAAGATTAATTTTGACCTGGTATAGAATCATGAAATGGTTAATTTAGTGGAAAAACTAATTGCATCTAATTCTATTCATTTTGAATTGGCTTGTAAATAATTGCAGTATTATCTTGATTCATATTCTAGATAAGATGTGCATCTTGGGCACAATATCAAGCGATTACAAACCCCCCAAAAAAACATTCTAAATCCCAATCATGCAAACAAACTTTACACCAAAGAAAAATAGTATATGGAGAAACACATACATGTATAAGAATACAAATATTCATAAAAATCTTCTATATTTTAAAGAAGACATGACAAAAAAAAGTGACATGACAATTAACTGATTCTTTTGTTAAATAATAAAACAAACATCTAAAAAGTACCTGTAACATCCGTAAACAAAAAATCTACGCAGGACAAAAAAAAGGCATCATTAAAACACAAGTTATTGAAATACTATACATACCTGCCCCATCCAATCTATATGTAGCCTTTGTCAGCTGGGCAAGACGAGGCATTGCAGGAGTAACTACATGGATCTATAAAGAAAGAAAATATTAAAAGAATAAAATGTGATTTGTCATCTTGTAAAATCAAAATCATAAATAAAAAGGGAGACAGAAGAAGAGGGAAAAAAAGGATTTTAAGAGGAAAGGTGTAAAAACAATCAGGGAAGCATGAGAAGATGGATCACACACAAATTCAAGAGAGAGAGAGAGAGAGAGAGAGAGAGAGAGAGAGAGAGAGAGAGATGGGAAGAGGTTACTTGTATCTAAATATGATACAAATTGTAATTGTAAGCTATAGAAATATCTGACCTTCATCTTTCAACAATCTCATTATGATACATTGTAAGTGTGATTACTAAAAACTTAATGGAAACCTTTCTTTGGATATAGCTTCAATAATGTTTTTTTTTAAAATGTAATATCTAGAATACAACAAATAGTATATCTCAACTCCCATTAAAAAAGTACAATGACAACAAAAAGGAAGCATGACTCACCTGAACTTCCTCCAGAGTCTCATAAATGAGGAAAAATTCAAACCAGAGACGTAGCAATTTCTCTTTCTCCGCTGGATTCCATGAGAACAATGGCTGCTCGTCCAGCCCATGTGACCCCTGACCTATAGATCTTCCAGAAGTTGCAGCCACATCAACCGCCCTCTTCATCAGATAGCTGCAACGCTTGCGTGTCAGGGGATTGGTGTGGATAAGCCCTTGCTGAATCAGTTTCCAAAACAACTCCAGCTCCAGGAGATTCAAGCCTCTAGAACAATCCAGTCCTGTATCATTTGCTTTGACGGTTGACTCCTCTGTAGAAGTTGGGAAGTATGCATCAGACAGGGCGCAGAGAATGAGGTAGATGTTCTCATTCACCCCTTCCAAACGCACTACACCTCTCTCATGCATCGCTACTAGTCGTCCCCAAATCATTTCAAGCATCTCACTCCTAGTTCTTCCACCCAGGGGTAAGTCCTTGTCTTTGGGGACCATGATTTGGGCTAGTTGCACACAAACGAGGGCTTCACCCGTCTCCAGGATGTCCAACACTATCTCTGTGAGTTCACGCCACCACAAATCTTCGGCTTCATCGCTTCTATCAGGTTTTTCTGGAGACTGTTTGAGCTTCTTTGTATAGATGCTTAGGACAGTTATGGAAGATGATATACTGAGGTCACCTTTCTTTCGTTCTTCATCCTCATCAAACTCATTGCATCCTTGGTCCCTGGTGTAAACTTCATCTCTACCAATAATAATGAAAATATACATATAGTATATTCAAAAATGTTTTTTTCCTTTCTCTTATTCTTTCTATTTTCCTAAATATCTAGTAAGGCTGGAAATAGTGAAAAATAGTAGAACATCTATAAAGTGATCTATCAATGTCCTTTCAAAAGTTTGTAAACATACCTGCATCCTGAATGCATACTTTAAGAAATTACAGATTGACTTTGAAAAACTTGATATCACAAGAACACCATACTGTTTTTCTAAGGTCACAAACTTTTAAAAAAAGTACCATAAGATTTAATTCTAAACTAACAATCTAGAATTCTTTGTTTTTTAAACTCTGGACCATCCCTATCAATTTAAGATTCAATACTCTGATTCTTTGTTTCGTCTGAGGGTGGCACATACCTGTAGGTGAGGAGGCTCTGTGTGCAGGCTTTCATTACAATCTCACAAGGCTTTGGATGGTGTTTCCTGAACGAAGAGGACATGGTACCTGCAAGAAACTCACAAACTCTCTGGAGGATCTCCCTTCCCTGCGTCTCCTCCTCCTTACCACCCATCATCCTTGCTGCTGCCACTGGGAAGCATAGACGTTGGACGATGTCTTCCACCTCCTCCGTCTGCAGGAGATGTGGGTTGCTCTGTAGATTCTCTGAGCAGAAGGCAATGAGGTCGACTGCGTGTGCATGGTCCTTTGAAGCCAGTGCTGTCTGGGCTTGGGCAACCGCTTTCCTTAGGATTGCACCCACTTGGGCATCATCCCCAAAACCTTCTAAAAGGCGAAGAATTTTTGATGACATGATGATACTAATCCGAGATCTGCATCTGGTTTATGTATATGAAGAAATACCAGTAATTACAAAATTATTTAGAATAACACGTTAAATATAATTCTACTTGTAAGTTGTTAATATATTCAGACAAAAAATAATAATAGATTACTCATCCGACTAAATTTAAATCCCTGAAAAATAATCAGAAACAGGAAGCGACAATTTTACAATAATGAAATTGTTCTACTAGCTGCTTGCTCTCATTCGCTCGCGTGCCACGTACACATTTTCGTGCATAAGCACACACGCTAATTGAACCTACCCTAAATTAACTTGGCACACAGGGGATTAGTGGCTGGCACAATAGGGATTAGCACTGTGGCACTGGGTGAATTGCATGGGGGCATCTTAAGAGTTAAGGCACTGCCAGTGCTTAAAAGGACGTCACGTGTGACTGCCAGTGCCTTAAAAGGACGTAACACGTCCACGTCCACGTCCACGCAAGTCTAAAAGTCCCTTTTGAGGAGAAGAGGAAGACCAAAATGTTGTGGAATGATATGGTAACATGGGCAGATCTACGGGGGGGGGGGGGGGGGGGGGGGGGGGGGGGGGGGGGGGGGGGGGGGGGGGGGGGGGGGGGGGGTAGGGGGTTTACCCCCTACCCCCCCCCCCCCCCCCCCCCCCCGGCCCCCTTGGGCTGCCAAGTGAAAATGTGATATTAAAGCGGGGGGGGGGGGGGGATGCTGGAGAGGAGGACTACTAATCTATTTTATTTTTTTCAGGGGGCGAAGCGCCGTTTTAGCATGACTTTCTTTTTAACTCTTACTTTCACCTATCTCAGATAACCCTTAGTTTTTGGTTGCTGCTTCATATGTAGTATACAAATAATGAATGGTTATGAGTTCAATAGTGCGAATATTTTCATGAGTTGAAAGATTAACATTCTATTCAACGAGGCATCAGCCGAGTTGAATAGAATTAATGTTAATCTTTCAACGAATGAAAATATTCGCACCATTGAACGAATGAATAACATTCATTATTTGTTTTATACAACATCGAAGAAGATCTAATAGAACGTCAATCAACAAATTATGCTTTACTCCTTATAAAAGATAAATTAAAGTTGGATTCAAGCCTTCTCGATTACATTCAGATTGCCTTCGCGTCAGATACACGCAGGGATACGCGCGCGCGCACGGCAGAGAGGTACGCAGTCTGCATATAACCAAAAATGCACGGCGCATATAACCAAAAATGCACGACCGTGCAATATACCATCTATTGAATATCATGTGACCAACAATCCTCCAATCAAATGACAGGGATTCATGTAGGTGTTGTATAATAGTTGATAATGCATGATTAAAATAGAGAGAGAGAGAGAACCACAATCATTTTGCAATGGTTCAGGGTTCGTGTAATGTACATTTGAAACCATTTCTTAGCGTCTCAACCCTAAAAAAATAGCAAAACTATTTTTGAGAAAAAGCATTATACTGAATTCAATAAAGAATAATAGCTTTATATTGGATCATACTTGTGGAGTACAGGATGACGTTTTGGCTTGAAGCCGATGCTTGTGATGTCACAGGCGTCGCTTTGTAGAAAGTGTATGGATTAGGTCGCTTGAGGGCGTACTGGATTTTGTGTGTTACTGATTTTCCACGTCATGGGATAGTTGCCTCCCAGAGTTGCCTAAGTTTTCGTTTAATTTTGTGATACAAGCCCAATGATGTAAGTAGAAATGAATATGTTATCTTGAAGTTTATGAGTTATATTGTCTTTACAGCTAGATAGCTTAATGAAATATGATGTTTATGACACTATTTTGAGATGATGAAATATGACATGAATGAGTCGTTCAAGTGAAAGATTGTACACGTGTATGTAGGTTACGTAATTGTCGTGCACGGTAGTGCGTCTAAATGTACATGTACGTAGTAGTATAATGTTATGACCTTGAAGAATGACAAAGTCACCGTCGGTGCGTCATTAATTGTTGCATGTATTTGCCGTAGTCAGATATATAGTGAAGAAAGCATTGTTTGTTTTCCTTTGTTATGATAACAGATAGTTATTAGGATTTGATACATGATATGTTATTTTCATGTCTGTTTATGCAAGTTGACTTATTATTGTTTATCCTTATATTAAATCGCAGATTGAACCTTGCCTGCTACAGTCTATAACCAAATTACAGTGCATGGTGTCATTACTATGGGTCTTGGGCAACTAGTTAGTTCGCCAAATCGTCCACCACAACAGTTCAATATCAACTTGTGTGACTGTCATATCCTCCATCATGAGTGTAACCGGCATGGATATGAGCACAGATCCAGAGGTTACCTTCAAGGACCACAAGTCGGACAGTATTAGACCTGAGGACTCAGCTAGCCAAAGGGGGAGTAGCACCACCTCGGCGAGTTGGAGGATACGGGCGAAGGCTAAGAGAGCTGCCTTAGCCGCAGAAGTAGCAGCTCTTAAAGACCAACAAGAACTTGAGATAGAAGAAATGAAGCTTAAACAACGGAAAGCTGAGCTTCTTCTGAAGACTAGATTAAAGATCGCTGAAGCGGAGGAAACCGTATATAGAGGTACTCGGTCCATAGAACAGAAGACTGAGCCTTCCAAGTCTGAACCTTCACAACAAGGTTCATCAACTCCTGCTAGAATGAAGCCAGCAAGTGAAAACCAGATACTGACCAGTCAAGATGATAAGATAACTGGAAAGATGGACTCTGACATCTTACATCATCTACAGCAAGGACAGAGACAACATCAACAGCTGTTGGAAGCCATCACAATTTCAAGTACCAACATTATGTCTTTTGATGGTAACCCGTTGAATTTCTTTGAGTTCATACGATCATTTGATAGTGTCATTGGAAATTCGTCATTGGACAATAACGCCAAGCTGCTCAAGTTGTATCATCTTTGTACTGGAGCTGCCAAAGACATAATCCAATGTTGTCTCATGATGCATCAAGATGATGGGTACTTTCATGCCAGAACGCTTCTGATGGATCGCTTTGGAAGTGACCATAAGATCAGTGACGCCTGGATTAGGAAGGTCACGGAAGGTCCAGTTATTCAGAGCAATCCTAAACATCTGAGGGATTTTGCTGATCAGCTAAAGACCTGTGCTGAAACTTTGATGGCCCTTGGAATGCTTCACGAGATGAGCAGCAGAAGTGAGCTAGTGAAGGTCATTGAACGTTTGCCATTCCATCTGAAGAGCCGGTGGTTGCGTTTCGTAAAGACCATCAGGGATAGTGGCAGACAGCCTAACATCCAGCATGCAGTTGAATTCATCACCGGTGCAGCTGATGAACTCAATGATCCTGTATTTGGAGCCTTACTTATGGGTGGACCAAAGAGTCTAGGAAATGCAAGGAGTGTAAAGGAAAGATCTGTGTCAGGTAGAGGTCAGGCAAGCATGTTTACTACCTCTGTGAATTCATCGACCAAGAACTGCATCATGTGTCAGGACAGCCATGACCTTTTCGGTTGCCAGGAATTTAAAGCCATGGAGCCTGATGAACGCTTTGATTTTGCCTTCAAGAACAGGCTTTGTTTCAATTGCTTGTTACCTGGTCATGTATCCTCAAAGTGCATCCTTAATAGGACCTGCTCAGTCAAGGGGTGCAATCAAAGGCATACCAAGTTCCTCCATACCGGGAGAAGGATGAGACCATCTTCAGGAAATCCTACACCTTGGAGAACAAGAAGGGAATCGAATGACTCATCAACTCAAACTGACTATGATGTAGCATCTCATGCTAGTTCCAATGCCACGAGGGCCGGAGGTTGCAGAGTAGCCCTTCCAATAATTCCGGTTACTGTCAGTGCTGCAGATGGTGGAGAAAGCATTGAGACCTTAGCTTTGCTGGACCCTGGATCTACGAACTCATTCTGTCTGCAAGAATTAATAGATGTGCTCCAGACAAAGGGGAAAAAGAAAGTCATTCAGGTCTCAACACTGGAAAGCCCTAAAAGAGCAATGGAATGTGAAGCTGTGAAGTTGAGGGTTAAAGGTTCCACTGCAGACAAGAAGATAGAGGCTGAATTTCTAACTCGTCCGAGCCTTAACATCAGTACTGCAAACATGGCCAAGGAGGAAGATATTTCGAAATATCAACATCTTTGTGGTATTGATCTTCCAGTCACAGGGAAGAACCAAGTAACCATACTGATTGGACAAGATGTGCCTGAAGCCCTGATGCCACTTGAAATCAAAGCAGGTAAACCTGGTGAAGTTTATGCTGTCAAGACAATACTTGGATGGACGTTAAATGGTCCACTTGGAAATGGAAGTAGTTTGCAGAGTTTCCAAGCCTCGTCTAGCTTCATCTCTGATGATGGTAACATGCTCCTGGAAGAACAAGTTCACAAATTTTGGAAGCTAGAAGGGACAGAATACCTTCATGATGATGAAAAGAGCATGTCCATCAATGATCAGAAAGCCTTGAAGACCTGGCAGGAAGGAGTTTGCAGAGATGGTGATCACTATCAACTTCCCATTCCATTTCGGAAGAGGCCTGAAGATCTGCCGAATAACATCCAAGTTGCACTAACCAGACTAGAGTCACTGAAGAGAAGACTGGTAAAGGATGATTGTCTACATGCTAAGTACAGTGAAGGAATGAGGTCTTTGTTGGATGAAGGGTATGCTGAAGAGGTTAAGGACCAGGATCTTGGGAAGGATGAAGGAGTCTGGTACTTACCGCATCACCCGGTATTCAATCCAAATAAACCAGAAAAGACAAGAATTGTCTTCGATTGTGCTTCCAAGTACAATGGAACTTCTTTGAACAATGCGGTACTTCAAGGTCCAGACTTGACGAACAACCTTCTTGGTGTTTTGCTCAGATTTCGCCAAGAACCTATAGCCATTATGGGAGACATAAGGGCAATGTTTCACCAAGTTAGAGTCCCACCAGAGCAGAGAGACTTTCTTCGCTTCCTGTGGTGGCCAGAAGGAGATCTTATCCAACATCCTAAGGCTTACAGGATGTGTGTTCACCTATTCGGTGGGACATGGAGCCCAAGTGTTTGTAGTTTTGCTCTTAGACATACAGCTGAAGAATTCAAGACCGAATATTCTCCAGAAGCAGTGGATGCTGTCGGTCGTAACTTCTATGTAGATGACTGTCTCGTCTCATGCAAAACAGAAGATTATGCAATCAAGCTTGTAGCTGAACTCATGACGCTGCTCAAGAGGGGTGGATTCGAAGTGACCAAGTGGATAAGCAACAGCCCAGCTGTGATCAAGTCTGTACCTTTGGAAGATCGAGCTAAAAACATTGTGGGACTTGATTTGAATCGGGATGCCTTACCAGCAGAAAGGGCACTTGGAGTAACATGGGATGTAGAACTGGACTGCATCACCTATAAGATCACCCCCAAGGGCAAACCAGTAACGAGGAGGGGAATTCTGAGTGAGATAGCATCAATATATGACCCCTATGGATATGCCAGTCCATTCGTCTTGGTTGCCAAGAGAATCCTCCAGGATCTAACTGCTCTGAAGCTTGGATTTGATGACCCAGTTCCAGATGAACACCATTCCAGATGGCTAAAATGGAAAGAATGGCTTCCCTTAATGAGCAACTTCAGAGTGAGCAGGTGTTTCAGACCGTTTGATGATGTGAACGAGTACCAACTGCATCATTTCTGTGATGCATCTGAGTCGGCGTACGGTGTAGTGTCTTACCTGCGCATGACCAGTGAAGGAGGACAAGTCCATTGCAACATAATTCTGGCTAAAGCAAAATTAGCACCTCTGAAGAAGATGACAATACCTCGCTTAGAGCTCATGGCGGCAGCACTTGCAGTCACAATGGATAGAAAGATCAGAAAGGAGCTGGACTTTCCCTTGAATGAGTCTGTCTTTTGGACAGATAGCACAATAGACCTCCATTACATCCGCAGTGACAACAAGCGCTTTCGGACATTTGTGGCTAACAGGATATCTACCATCCGTGATGCCTCGGAGCCCAGGCAGTGGAGATATGTCAACACAGAAAAGAATCCAGCTGATGATGTATCAAGAGGTCTAACGCCAGACAAGCTCAATGGCAGATGGCTCAAGGGACCATCCTTCCTATGTGCTGATGAGATGGAATGGCCTATCGCTCCAGCTGATCTGCAAGTGCCACCAAGTGATCCAGAAATCAAACCACCTACAGAAAATGCCAGTGCATTCACAACTCAGTCAGAGGAGAAGTCATTGGAAAGGCTAATCAACACATATTCCTCCTGGTATAAGCTGAGGAGGGGAGTGAGCTGGCTATTGAAGTTCATGCAGTGGTTGAAACTCAAAGGAAAAACCCAGACAGAGCAAGAGCTGAGGGACTTCAAAAGGATCAGTTACGACGACATGCAGAAAGCAGAGAAGAGAATTTTGCATTACGTGCAAAAATGTTTCTTCCAGAAGGAGATTGAATCATTGACCGATTCAGATGGTAAAGTGACAAAGACAAGTCAACTCTACAAGCTGGACCCTAAGATAGACGAGGATCTTCTTAGAGTTGGAGGAAGATTGGAGAGATCAGCTCTACCATTAGAAGCTAAACACCCAGTCGTCTTACCCAAGGGAAGTCACGTGTCAGATCTGATCTTGAGAGATGTTCATGTAAAGGCAGGGCATAGTGGAAGAAATTATGTCCTTTCTGTGCTTCGTGAGAAGTATTGGATGCTTGGAGCAGGAGCAGCTATCAGGAGCATGATTAGCAGATGTGTCATGTGCAGGCGGCAAAGAGGGAAGATGATGAGTCAGAAGATGGCTGACCTGCCTGAGAATAGACTGTTACCTGACGAGCCTCCATTTTCCAAGGTTGGCATTGACTATTTCGGCCCCTTTGAGGTTAAAAGGGGTCGCAGCATGGAGAAGAGATATGGAGTCATGTTTACATGTCTTACCACACGCGCCATTCATTTGGAAGTCGCTCATTCTTTGGATACGGACTCTTGTATCAGTGCCATTCGTCGTTTCATCGCTCGCAGGGGCAATATCAAGGAGATGCTCTCAGATAATGGCACTAATCTTGTGGGCGCTGAGAGAGAGCTGAAAAGAGAAATAGATGGATGGAACAAAGCTCAAATCAGCGCAGACCTGCTCCAGAAAGGCATCAAATGGACTTTCAACCCACCCACTGCTTCCCATTTTGGAGGAGTCTGGGAAAGGCAGATTGGGACTGTGAGAAAGCTCATACTGGCAGTAACTAAGCAACAGGTGCTCTCAGGTGAAAGTCTGACAACTCTCTTCTGCGAAATTGAGAGCATCGTCAACAACAGGCCTCTAACAAGTGTATCAGATGATGTCAATGATCTTGAGGCCTTGACTCCCAATCACCTACTTCTGCTGAACAGGAAGCCGCAACTGCCACCAACAGTGACGGACAGATCAGATGTCTACTCGAGAAGGAGGTGGCGTCAAATACAGTATCTCGCCGACGTATTCTGGAGGCGCTGGTCTAGAGAGTACTTACCGCAGTTGCAAAGAAGAGAAAGATGGGTACCATCGCATCGCAATCTTCAGATTGGTGACTTGGTGCTGGTTGCCGATGCAAACACTCCGCGGAATTCGTGGCTGCTGGGAAGAGTACTTCAAACTTTCCCAGACAAGAAAGGCTTCACCCGTAGTGCGAACATCAAGACAAAGAATAGCGTAATTGTTCGTCCTATCTCGAAATTGTGCCTGATTTTGGAAGGAGATTGTTAATTGCCCTCATTTGGAATTCATGGATCACGTGATGTTTAATCATATAAGAAAGAGAAATTTTTGAGATATATAAATTTCATGATCAAGGAGAATTTGCGTCTCAGAGGATGTCGTCGCAGAGATATGATCATATGAAGATCGTTTGTCAGTGATTTTTGATTGGAAATCAGAAGGATCCAATTAGAGCAGAAATGTTATTATCATGAAATGTGATGTCATGATATCGCCAACATTTATTTTACATGAAAGTGTCAAAATGTGACAATTTGTATTCAACGCGAGGATAGAATTTTTGTTGAGTTATGAATCGTCTAGTGATCTGGAACTCTCCGACGATTCAGATTTAGTCGCCATAGCAACTCAACAGTAACTGATAACTGAGAATTGAGAAACTGAACGGCTTACAAGAAGAAAACATAAACTGATACATTTATAGAAAAATGACTGTTTGCAATTCAAAGACTCATGAACTAATAAACATTACTGTATTACACTTGAAATTATGGAGTAATTTGCAAATTTTCACACGATTTGTTATTTTTCCAGTGTAAAATGTAAACATGGCATTTAGCAGCATTTAAGTTGCAGTAAATGTGCAGTTGTAGCTTCAGTGATTATCAGATTACTGTATATACAATTATGTAAATGTATTGCTTCATTTAACATTCTGATTTAAGATGAAATTTATTTCAGAATTGGTTTGCATATCATTTTCTTGTAAGTATAGTGGTAAAGTGGTAAAAGAATGTTCCATATTCTGACACAGAAAATGTGAGTTGTGTGTAGAAAGGTTCTACTAGTTGTCATGTTGATTAATGCAATATATGCAAATTTTATTTGAAAGTATGCCTGATTATCAGGAATTAAGCATATTTGGAAATTTATCATTCCTCATGTCAAGGCACATGTAGTATACATGTAGTTTGCCTTTTAGTACAGTGTTACAAATACAAAGGGTATTAAAATAGGAAAGGTCAAGAGTTCAGCTCTTCATGTGAAGCTCGAGTAGAAAGTTACTTACAAACATAAAATGTGTGTTTACGGTACAGTCAAGTTGTTGGTTGTATGTTTAACTTGACACTTCTCTTTCAGATCTCCCATCGTCTGAGTCAGTAGGAGGATTTAGTTTTGGATTAAAACATTTTTAGTGTCATTCCTGGTGTTGGAATTATAGTGAGGAAGCAGCGTGGTTGCTTACAGTTATCTTTGGAGTCGATGTTTTCCAAAATGATTCTAAATTCTGACAAGGAATGTTGGGAGTTCTGATATGGTTGTCATGGTGATGTTGAGAAGGATATTTGCTTTATGTAGTGCATTTGATATAGACTTAGTGCATTTTATGCAAATGTCAAAGCTTTTGAAATTACTTAGTTGTTTGCTGAAAAGAAACTCTTCAGATATTTTATGTTGATATTAATGGTCAAGATCATTAAATAAGTTAAAGGTGATTAGTTATTTAAAGGTGTGAAGAAAAAAAGGTCACTTGAACAGTATAAGAAGTTTAAGAATTTAAAGGAACAATGATTCATTGCAAGTAGCAATTGTGGATAGACTTAATTTTGAAATGTTTCAAATGAACAAAGTATTGTTAAATGTTCAGAAATGCTTCTCATTTAAGAGGGCCGGAATGTGGAGTACAGGATGACGTTTTGGCTTGAAGCCGATGCTTGTGATGTCACAGGCGTCGCTTTGTAGAAAGTGTATGGATTAGGTCGCTTGAGGGCGTACTGGATTTTGTGTGTTACTGATTTTCCACGTCATGGGATAGTTGCCTCCCAGAGTTGCCTAAGTTTTCGTTTAATTTTGTGATACAAGCCCAATGATGTAAGTAGAAATGAATATGTTATCTTGAAGTTTATGAGTTATATTGTCTTTACAGCTAGATAGCTTAATGAAATATGATGTTTATGACACTATTTTGAGATGATGAAATATGACATGAATGAGTCGTTCAAGTGAAAGATTGTACACGTGTATGTAGGTTACGTAATTGTCGTGCACGGTAGTGCGTCTAAATGTACATGTACGTAGTAGTATAATGTTATGACCTTGAAGAATGACAAAGTCACCGTCGGTGCGTCATTAATTGTTGCATGTATTTGCCGTAGTCAGATATATAGTGAAGAAAGCATTGTTTGTTTTCCTTTGTTATGATAACAGATAGTTATTAGGATTTGATACATGATATGTTATTTTCATGTCTGTTTATGCAAGTTGACTTATTATTGTTTATCCTTTTATTAAATCGCAGATTGAACCTTGCCTGCTACAGTCTATAACCAAATTACAGTGCATGGTGTCATTACTATGGGTCTTGGGCAACTAGTTAGTTCACCAAATCGTCCACCACAATACTAATACTGATACGGGCTAAAGACAATGTGGTATTTGTATAGAGGTATTCCAAAATGACATTCTGATAATCAACATTTGTTCTGGTATCATAATATACGCATAATACAACTGATCTTTATGATTTTTTAACGTGACATAGCTTCTTCTCCCTCTGCAAACAAAACAGAAAACAAGGTTATTTAATAAAAGGACCATGCGACAAATAATCATTGTGATTCAAATTGATGCAAGGATTTTTTTTGAATAAGCAATGCTTTTCACCAGTAATAAAAGAGCACCCGTGAGCAGGCTCATGGGGGCTCTTTTTTTTTGGGGGGGGGGGGGAAAGCCCCCGTGGACAAACAATTAATTTGAGCCCTGCTAAAAACACAAGATACATACATGATACATGTATATAGGGTGACCAAAGTTTACAGAGATTTTTTTAAATATTAGGAAATGGGCTTTTCGATCAATCAAGATCGAGCCATGATTTCTCATAGAGGGTCTATTCTACACAAAATTATTTAGACCTTGTTTCATTATCAACAAATCAAATGGACATTCAAGTTTTTGACAAAAATTCAAATTGGTGCAACTAAAAAAGTTCAACTTTCTATTGGTGGTATCAGATTTTCAAATGTTTACCAATAATATTTTGTACGACAGGGAGACAACAACATCAGCCACCTGCAGCTCCACCTGCCAATATGCTTACCCGTAGCGTAGGCCGTACGTGCCCCGCTGGCCGCCCGGGTATTCGGCGGACACGAGTCTAGAGTCTGGTATTGGTAACTCGAATACCGGTAGCGGAGATCACGATCGGTGTATTATTTATAATCTCTCCTGGAATATATTATAGACAATAATTATTAATCATAGTGGTGGCGAATGCTTGGGAAGGATTAGTATTCTGATATTACCTGGCTGAGGATGGTGTCTAAAACAAAAGATCGTAGACGGTCGCGGTCAAGATGACAAGAAACGTAAACACATGTGAACAAGTTCATAGAAATTTGTTCAGCCGCTTTAGTGTAATGTTATCGCGATAAATTATTTTTACGCCTCCGATTTTCATTTTTTCATTATTGTCATCAATAAACATCATAATCTTTATTTTAAGAATATTTTATGTGACATAAATTTCTAAATCGGTACTATTTACATTAGGAACGACCGAGCGAGGTAGTCTACCCAGTATTTAAAATATAATTTAGCTAGAAACCAGACTAAACAAAATTGATGACGGGACAACTCCTCCTCCCCCCCCCCCCCCCCCCCCCCCCCCCCCCCCCTCCACCCCCTAAAAGCGGATTTGGTTTGATTTGGGCATGGACCATGGGTGTCGATACTTACGTAATACCTATTCATCAGGGGGGATGAATGAATAGATCATCCCCCCCCCTGATGAATAGGTATCAGTTACGGATCGACACCCATGGCATGGACCTATTACGTAATAGGTCCATGATTTGGGGGACTCAACGCCGATATATTGCTCGATGAGTCTACATCTACTCCCGATGGGCGCTTTTAAACATACGTAACGTCAAAAGCATAGCCAAATATCTACATTGTATATTCATTTTATATTCTAGAGTCTAGACATCCATGCTGGCATGGGATTAAAAAAAACGTCCCTCATATACGATGATTGAAAAACAAATGTATACTTAATTAGCACTCTCAGCCTCTCACCGAATGAGGGTATTTTCAGCTTTTTTGATATTTCTGTTATTTTTGTTTTTTATTTGTTAGGTGTGTGCGCTCTATAAGTTTACACTATTATTATTTATTTATTATTATATCATTTTTGTTTTGTTTTGTTTTATAGGGGAGGGGGAGGGGGTCTTCACTTTTTGTCGTTATTTTTCCTGTAATATGATCCCCCATTTTAATAACAGAATCGCTGGACCTGATGGTCAAGTTGGTCCGACAATTAATGCTACCCCCCCCCCCCCCACAAACACACACACACAGACACGCTGATCTAGGAAACTAAAGATTGGTTCCCCCCCCCCCCCCCCCCCCCCTCAGGGCTGAGCCCACGCTTCGCCATTGTATCTCCCTATGACCCACTTATAGTCTTCTGCGCTCCCTATTTTTTTCTCTCTCCGTTTCCCCGAGTAGATTTCTCCAAATATCTCTTCCTTATCCTTCTCACAACATGATTCAATACTTTCCTTATTGATAAATAATTGTGGAAAGACGTACTTCGGTATGCATAATCATATTTAGTTTTGATAAATATAGGCCTATATATATATAAACCACGCTTTTTTCTTCTAAAAAGATCGGGAGATAGGAAGATATACATACAGAGAGGGAGAGAGAGAGAGAGAGAGAGAGAGAGAGGGGGGTTGGGAGAGAGAGAGAGAGAGAGGGGGTGGGGGGGGGGGGGGGAGAGTGAGATAATAAAATAAAAACAGAGAGGAGGCAAAGACGGCAACGAATCAAGAACTAGAGATGGTGAGAGACAAGGGGAGGAGAGAGATAGGGCGGGATGGAAGATGAACAGAGAGAAGAGAGAGAGAGAGATAGAGAAACAGACAAACAGAGAACGATCATAAAGAGAAAGATGAAGAGACAGAAGGAGATATAAAGACTAAGACCCAAGACATATCGAGAATAGAAGAGATCTACAGACAATACATCGAGGGAAATAAAACGAGACGTACACAAAGATAAAGAGAGGTATTTAGTAAGAAAACAGAAAACATAATCAATGGAGAGATATACTGAGAAAAAAAACATGTGAACATAGATAGGGGTGTTGGGACTTATACATTTTTACTACAAAACGGTCTCTTACCGACTTATAACCATGCCTCAAATCCGTTCGGTGCTCTTCAAAGTCAAACTCACTTCATCCGTTTCATAAACACCCTTCATCCTCACATACCAGTGTGCACATTACGAATTTTATGGCAAAGCATAAAATCGCAATGTTATTCAAGGTTTTTTAAATAATTTTAAAAAACGCAATGATATGTATAATTTGTTTTCATTTGAAATGACCCATTCACAGGTAACATTCAATTCAATGTAATGCTCAACAGACCAGTTTACCAACATAATCAAATTTATGGACGTTTCTTTCCGGGGGACCTAGTGACGAGTTATTCCATTAACCTGTTATTAATGAATGAAGTACAACACAGTGGAAACTCAATTTAAAGAGCTCAGATATTATGAGGTATCTGTTATAACAAGATGGTTTTGCTGGTCCCAGCTCTTTATATTATTTTGTTTTTTTTACCCTGATATAACAAGATTCCTAATAGAACAAGGTAATTTCCTTGGTCCCAATGACGTTGTTAGAACAAGTTTCCACTGTACCGGTACTTGGAATCCACTCTGCATACATTACAATCTTTCAGGTTGTCAGGATAAACCTAAAAGTATGCATAATATTTGAACGTTAGGAAACCGTTCCATTAGGCATTTCAAACAAGATGCACAACAGCCCAAGTAGCACATGAAAGTAACCTATTCTACAAAACAATGCACTCACTGACAAGCTGCCTGCATAAGTCTTTCATGAAGAGATAATTTGTATCAAAGCACATGTTATTACTATGTTTTTTTCTTTCAAAGTTGTTAAAAAGTGAGTTTTTCCATTTATTGAAGTCTGGTTTAACATAAAACTCAAAATACAATACATGAACTCGTAAACACAAAACGTCAATCATTTGGCAAATTGTTGTAATTTATTTCAAGTATCAGTAAAAAATTTAAATGTTCAAAATAAAAATAATAATAAACTAAACAGACTGATGTTGCTATGAATGTACATATCAAAATAACAATCCGTTATATTCTTCCATGTTTTACAATGTACCAGGAAAGCCAAATTATTATTTCAGGTCTTACGTTACATTTTTTTCAAATAAATTTTATACATAATGTGATACTTATTATTTCAGGTCTTACATTATATTTTTTCAAATAAATCTTATACACAATGTGATAACTTTCATGCTGGTGAAGGTACCGGTATGTAATATTAAAACAAGAAGAAGAAAGACTTCTGACCCAGATAAAAGGACTGCATCAAATATTTGCCAGGTAAAGTTTTGTTCAATTGACAAGAATTTACTTCCCCCTTGCAGCAGTCTACTATTTGTTCCATTTAATAGTCAACCAAAGAGGAGATCAATGCAATGCCATAGGTGGGAAGTACATTGGTCAACATCTTGTATGAAGTGCATCAATGAGGGAGATTCGTAAGTCATTGGGCCCCATAAGAGTAAATGATACACGTTTTCTTTAGTATATAATGGTATTAAAGACAGTTAGGATTTAATGTCTATGACAGTGAGTTGCAAACTTTTTTACCCGTTCATTAGATGAAACACATAAATTGAGGCATCAACGTTTCAATGGGAAATTAAATCAAGATAAACCATTATGTAAAAAAGAAAGAGGATCAGTTTGTAACACATCACACTGCTGGATCGCCTCCTGCTTTAGGATAAGTCCATCCTCAAAGCCTGAATCAGTTCATTCTTCCAATAACTTGCAATAAATCATTTATAACCCTACCTATCTGATAGCAGCATTTTGACAAACAGCAGAAAATAAGACTGAATCAAACATATATTTCCCATAGAACCCAGTAGCTTAATTTCATGACAAGCATGCTAGATTTCAATTTCAAGTTTTACTTGCTATCATCATGAACAGTATCGAGGCTATAAAGCCAAAGCAATAGAATCTATTACTCCTTGAAGGAAAGCTTATAAAGCGAGTAACAACTCCAGATGGTCCCTACAGTTGTGAGACCCATAGCGAAGACGAAGCTTATCCTGTCACGTCCAAGCTTAAGGTGAACTGGTAATCCATCAGCAGCCTAGGGAAAGACAAAAAAACACCATAATTTGTTTTCTTAATTTCATCATAACAGCTTCTTAAATAATAATAAGTATTCTATTTTCTTCACTTCTTAACTCAATTATATGCAAATGATTCTTTGAACATCATTACTAAGCATCTACTGGTTTAAAAAAATATATCAGCTGCAAAACTACATGTACTAATATCATTGTCAACACCAACATCGTCATGTTCTTCACAAGCTAAAATCTTCTTTATGCTTTTGAACTAACATTTTTAAACTAAGCAACACTTTTGATCCATCCTATTTACATTGGCTGCTTTATTTTTCAGAAAAGCAAACAGATATTGACCTACATGTGATTGTACAATGCACACTCTCATTTACTTGCTGCAATATTTTAAGATTTTTGGAATGTTATACTGCAGTGATATATTTGCCATTGGTAGTTGGTTTGATTAGCACCGTCTTTAGCCATCTCTCAATAAACACACAGCATGAGTCTGATGGAGGCAACTTACCCCAAACCTTAACTGGTTGAGGGCAATCTTCTTATCCTTCAAAGTTTTCTCCATAGCTCCTGCAGGTGTTGGTTTCTGTGCAAACTGAATAGGGGATGCCTCTTTGACTTTGGTTTGTGTCAAGCCCTGAATTTTAAAGACAGATCAGAATCATCAGACATTTAAACATTCACACTTTAAATCAGTAGAGGCTAATGTCCGATTTGGGAGAATCTTTTCTTCTCAAGAAACTGTCTCCCATATTGGAGATTTAGCTAACAAAAGGACAAAAGAAACAACACCAACAACTAGGCTATATTTCCAAGCCAACTTTTTGCCTCTATGAGCTGAGGTCAGGAGGCCAATTGGTTTTATGCATGGATAGTAACAAAAACAGTTATGAAAACAAAAGTAGATGGTGAATATTTTAAGTAGACAGTAAAATGAGGTATTTTTCACAAGGAATCTGCTCATCGTATTCAAATTCAACAACAGCTTGCTTATACTTTGAGTTTAAGACCAAAAATATTTGTCTTAATTTTGGGGCCAGGCCAGGTAGCAGCTCAGCTCCCGCTCAGCTCAGCAGATCGAGGGGCGCGGACCTGTACCTGAATGGTATGCCTGTGGCATATTCATGTGCACTGGTTAGCTGCTCGCGCACGTCGACATCAACAACCATAACAAAACAATTTCAAATTAAAAACAACAACAAAAAAGGAGTTGCTGAAGATTTCAATAAATGTACAGATAGCTATTTTTACCCCTGGATTATATGCAGATAATGGATCAGCACTTGTCACTTTTCCACTGGCTGAATTATGTTTGTAAGCCATTGTTTACAAACTATTTTCTGACGACAGAAATCAAAGACTCTATTCAATACTCACTCGATATCAATACGCGAGTATTCGAGCTCCATCAAGATTTGTGAGTCGGTACATCATACATAAAGAAAAACAATTTAATCAATATTTCTTCTTGAATATACCATCATCTAATTTAATTATTTTTTAAATAAAAAATATTATACTAATTATTACTCAAACTATTAAAAATGTTATTCACTCGTCGATAAAAGACACAAATCTTTAAATATGAATGAGCGAGTACAACATGGCAGCGCCCATGAGCAAGTTATTTTCTAACCACATGCGTATTTACATCGACCATATACTTACTGTTTACGGGTAGCTACAGCTACATTTATCCCGGAGATCCTTCAGAATTTTTAGATACAGGTACGCCACATGATTTTATTCTAGGAAAGACAAAATTTTTGGTGATAGAAACGTAGAAATCATTAAAAATGTCTTTAATTATCTATACCGCCTACTCTGCAGAGGTAGTGCCTAACCAGGGAGCTCCGACGCGGGCCGCGTCGGCGTCGGAGCTCCCTGGAGTTAGCCTACTGGCTGTACTGTATTGGCATTGCACTGCATGCAATATTTACACGCACACTGAGTGATTGAAGTTCGGTGTTGAAAGCTGATGTTGGTGTTGTGAGAACATCAACACCAACTACAAATACAACACCGAACCTGAACTCTAAAGTCATGCTGGTGTTGAGGTTGACCTTGGAAATATGACACATTTCCGGTAAGGCGGTAATCTTTGTTGAGGGCTGGTGTTAAATGTCGTCTGCAGGTCGAACCGAGGCGAGTATCGCGATTTTCACCAACATCAGGGAAATTTATGAATTCAAGTTTGGCATTGGTGTTGGTGTTGCATTATACCGCAGGTAACTATGCGGGGAATCTGTCACAAACGTCATGATCAAGTCAAGGTAATATCCATTTTCCAGTAAAAAAACAATGTAAATCAGATCATGGGAGCCATGCAGCGTGTCCCAGAAAAAACGAAACTGAGAACTCTCTATGTTTTATATATGTTTTATCATAATTTAATCACAATTATAATCATTAAATGACAGATAGACTATTTGTAAAGCGAAGATCCTCCTCTTTCATTTGCTGCAACTCGTATCATCCATATTTCTCGCATGAGAGATTAAAAACAATTTGAAGAAAGGGTACCAATTACCAAAAAGTCATTTGGCAAAGGGGTATCTGAATTTCAAATAGAAAATGACATTTCCAGAAAGTTCTTTTTCTGCCCTTTCATATGACATCTCAATCAGGAAAAAAGAGCCAGGAATAACAAAGTTCTGTTTGTTTAAATTTAAGTAATGCTTGCATTTCCATAATTGTATTAAATAAATTCATTTTCTCTGGCTGCCTGCCGTAGCAACAAACAACAAACTTTGTTTCGTTGACGATCAGCCTTGATTACGAAGTCTTTCGTCTTCGTTGTTGTTGGGGTTAGGGTAGGGTCTAGCATTATGTCAGGGTATGCTGGGACAATTCGGCCTCGTATTTGCAGCGGGGCAGAGTTGTCCCCGAGTTAGCCCAGATCCATGTGTCATGTGTGGCTAGCCACTGGCTACAATGTAAAACAAGGCTTTCTCCTGAAATAAGTCGCTGCTCATTCACTCAAGTGTGCATTTACCACCTTAGACCTAGTCATGGTCATGGATCTCAACAATAATGTGATATAATATTTCAGACATTTCTCAGCTCCCTGCATGAAGGTAGCTATAAGTGTGCAAATGACATATTTTGGTACTTTTGCATCTTTCCAGGAATTTGCATCATGGAGATGTGTCATAGATGTGTTCTGAGATTCCACAATTTAATTTGCCATCCAGCCCTGTACAATGCAGGCTATTACCCAATTAGATACGCGGTAAGTATAACACTCACTGTGATTGATGAAAAGGTCTGAATAGAAAAACAACCATGGTTTTTTTTTTCTTTCCTTAAACTAAAAAGTTGCATTGAGGCCAAGTAAGTTTAGTTTCTTCTCCAGATTTGCCTGTGTAGTCTTCTAAAGATATTAAAAACAAGTTTAATATGAATATGAATTCCCTCTTTATATATACCCCTGCTGAGTATTTGATAGGAGTTACCTATAATAGTTTAAAGTTACTTACCAAAACCATTCTTGTTTCAATATCAGCTCCTTGTAATCATCCTTTTATTTTAGAGTTAAGGAATTACCACTGATTAATGTCTTCAGTGGTTTTTGAAAACTTGAATCTTTGCTTGATTATATTTCTCCATAAATTCTTCCCTCAACTTTCCATGTCCCTTTCAGTTTTCTCCATCCCTCTATCTCCATGTCTCCCTCTCTCTTCTCACTATCCCTCTCTCACTATTCCTCTCTTCTTCTCCACCCTGTTTCTATGTTACTGTAATGCAAATATCATGTTCCAATGTGTTTTTTTTGTGTGCTTCTATCCATATGACTCGTCCATTGGACCGTTATGTTGATTTTAATAAATATCTTTTAAATTAAATTTCATTCTTATCACCAAAGAGTTCAAGGCCAAGCCCCGACTCCGACATCCCTGTGATCAGGGTTCCAAAAGCCTTACAGAATAAGGTCCAAACTATCCAGCAGGGCCAGAAGAGAGGTCCAGTAAAGTTGAAGGGGAGGATCTTCACCGCTAGACCTGGCACTGAGATCATCTCCTCCAAGAATAAAGAGTACAACCATTATCTCAACCAGACCTATGAGAAGTTATCTCCTCCAAAGCTCACATCGCAGGGCTGGAAGTCTAGTAGATCTAGGGGGGACTACTTCACAATTTTAGCGTACAAAGGGGTGAGTGGTTATTTTTTGTATCTTTGTTCATGCAGCTTTTTCTAGGTTTGCAATAATAAGCTTTTAATCATCTTCAGTTACAACATCCCTCGGTTAAAATGTCATGGACCTGATCCACTGGTTGCTTATTTACAAATGTATACCAGTAATTTCCTTTTAAATTTAAGCAGTCATGCAAGTAAAGAAAATAAATCAATGAATCAGCAATTTTTATTTTGCAGAGCTTTCCAGAGCTAAATTGCTTACCACTCTTGACCTCTTGTGTATTTGTCAGTCGCTTGGTGAGATGATTCAGGATAGGGATCAGAGCGTTCCTAAATATTTATGTTAAAAACAGGTCTTCTTTCATCGTTTAGTTAGGTAATATGGAAGAAATATTGTTTCCCATTCTTCAATCCTTTATTTCTCTGTCTCTAATTTGATTAAATGTTTTCTTGTTGACTCTTACCCCTTTCTCTCGCTCTCTCTCTCTCTCTCTCTCTCTCTCTCTCCCTATCTCTTTCCCTCTTATTCTCTTTCCTTCACCCTTTCCCCTGTTTCAGAATCCATCAATTGCCAAGAAAGGAGACAGTGAAGCAGAGACGCAAGATACGAAAGCCCAGACCTTTCAAGACCTGAAACTTCACCCTTCCATCATTAAAGGATTGGATGTTATGGATATAGTTACACCTACAAGTATACAGGTACCCCCCATTCGAAACAAATAATTTACTAGTAATATATGCAAGTGATAAACTGCTTGAAATTTCAAATCACAATAATTTCACTGCACACTGTCATCATCTGCATCATAAAGCCTTTTTAGACTCTACCTTCTGTAAGTGACTTTAAGGGGACTAGTCGCCCCAAAATGTTTTCATTCATGATATCCATGTCAGTATAGTACATTACATAGCAACTTTCAATGTTACTTCTGTTTATAAGAGATACTGCAACCTAAAAGTAGACCAGGGGAGTGTTTCACAAAGATCCTCAGTCGAATTTAACTCTAAAATAAAATGAAAATAAAAAGCAAAAATTCAAGTATTTTAGATTTGTCATAAATTCCACATCAAGAACATGAAATCTCCTTGATATAAGAAAATATGAATAGATTTTAATCAACATTTTATGCATTTTAAAATAACTTTTACCAAATATTTTTAAAGATGCTAACGGCTTTCCATGATTGTTAAGTCCAACTTAGATATATGTTCAACCTGGGAGCTTTGTGAAACAACCCCCAGTATACATACAATTACATGCACACGCATGTATGGAACTTAAGTGAGTTGGCTGCCATGTAGCATTTGATTTTACAATAATTTTTTCTCCCTCCCTTCCTTTTCCATTTAGTTGTCTGCAATACCAGTCATCCTTCGGGGTAAGAACACACTATGTGCTGCAGAGACCGGTAGTGGGAAGACACTGACATACCTACTGCCATTGATGCAGAGACTGGTTGAGGAGTCTAAGCAGACAGACACCTTCACTGCAGAGCCTGGTCTGCCTAGGTGTGTTGTGCTTGTGCCTGTCGGGGAGCTTGTCCATCAAGTTTGGGTAAGGATCTCATGATGCCATCTCACGTTTTAAGAGTTTAAGAGACAGGAGTTAGGAGAGCTGAAAGAATTGACACTCCACACCCATTTCAACTTTTTTTCTTCATATTCTTAGAAGAGAGTAACAATTAAAGATCTAGATGTGGACCTGTATATAAAAGCAGTTTTTTTTTTTAGAGTTACACATGTAGGGGCCAAAAACTTCCTGCAGTATTTTTTAAACAATTTTTTTGTCCATACCAAGAGCTCTTTAAAAAAAAATTCAGAACTACTTTTAGAATTATTAGAGCTCTTATGAAGCTTTCCAGAGTTAACTCACTCATTATTTCTATCTATTTGAGATTACTCTATGTAGGCTGCAGTAATAAAGGGATTTTTTTTCTAGGCACTCCATATTTTTTCCTAATATTTGTCACTAAGTGGCCAAGTCTTGAGTATTGAGTTGTTGGATTGCTACACGGGAAAGCTCATTGTAGCATTAGAGGTCACCAAACTATGAACCTAATTTGAAATATTTACTCCAAAATGTATCAGAAACCCATACTTAACCTTGCCTTTACCCAGTCTCTTTCTTTCTCTTGTGTTACCAGGAGGTTGCCAAGATTCTTGCAGACTCTGTGGGGTTATCAGTCCAGTACATTGATGGAGAGACTAGCTTGGTAGGTATTCATAGAGATACAGATCAAAAGCTGAATCTACCTCCTTTCAATTTATTTATAATATATAGTAGGGGAGCACACCTAGCCCATGCCCCCCCCCCCCCCCCCCCTGTGAGCCCCAATAGCTATATGTTATTAAAGTTGAAAACACACAAAAATAGCCCCTTTAATTGTGCTTTCAGGAGCAGATTTTGGATTTTACAAAACCTTCTTGACCAGCCCCTGAGTTGCAGTATTGCTATATTCGCCTGTTTGCTCAATTTTATTAAAGCAAAACCAGTATCATGCTGTAATAACTATATTTGCCGCCTACATACAATTTTTTCCACTTTAAAATATCTTAAAACATCCGTATATATCAGTAACAATAAATCAATCTTAAGCTTGTCAAGCAAGTATACATCAAACTTCATTCTCAACATCCTCATGCAATGATTTACCTTGACTATGTCTTAGTCACAAATCATAAATTCTTTTATCTTCCAACTATAGTTGCCTAAATTGTCTCAGCTAAACAAAGAAATGCAGTTATTTTCAAGAGAATAACACAATTGTCCTCTCACCATTAGATGATTGATACTGAGTAGCCTATTGAATTCTTTTTATGATTCTCATACTAATTCCCCTCAGAAAAGCCTGGAAAAGAGATTGAGTATATCCACCGACATCATCATATCTACGCCTGGACCCATTATAAATGCTGTGAGACAAGGTAAATACATTAAGAGTGAAACATGCTGTTTTAGCCACCACCTGAATAGAAAAACCACCTGTCTTTACTGACCACATCTTCAATTTCCCTTTAGTAGATTTTCCAGTGTTTGTCATCAAAAAAATGTACTAAAGATACCTGTTTGTATATCTGTACGTTATATGTTTTTGTGAAGACATATTAGCCTGTTGAATACTATGTGTCAAGTAAAAGAGAAGGCTGTCTTTGTGAAGATGAATAATAAGTAGTGGAATTTTCATTCATTTCATTTGCAAGTGAAAGAATATTGCACTAACAAGAAGAAGTGCAATTCATATTTTTCAAATATATCTAGAAAGAGGTCTGACTTTGGGCCAAATTTCCATGCCAAAAGTTTGTACAATCCCATATTGGTGGTGGTGGTGTTGGCAGTTATTTTATCTGACTGCTAAGAAAGCATAAATGCTTGTAAGTAAGCAACCAGACGGCCGACGGCTTTAGGTCCATGTGCAGAGCTTTTCACTGTATGTAATTTTGAACATGATTTGTTCATATTTGGTTGTTCCAAGCCCTAACAATCACCAAATTGTATTATACACTACACAATTAACTTTTCTCATATCTTGTAGACAGTTTTCTTTCACAATATATCATGTTATGTTATGTTATATATTACATTATGTGTTATTAATTTTGTTCATAAACTTTTGCAATTCGGCTAAACGCCTCAATGAAAGTTTTATTTGAAAAAAACCATTTTGAATTGAAAAAAAAAGTGATGTTTGGGTGCTTGTAAAATGTGTGTTATGCCAAATCAGGCACCTCTTTGAATGGTATGTTTACTGATGGTGAATTCACGACCTTTGTTCTTAATTATGTTTCTTCACTAGGTTATGGCAGCTTGGACTGTGTATCTCATATAGTGATCGATGAATCAGACACCATGCTGGATGATAGCTTCATACAACAGACCCTCAAGATTCTCAAAAGGGTCAATGTGAGTGTAAATGAAGTAGTCGTTGATTCAATTTTCTGTAGGACAGGTTGAAAGATGGGTGGGGGTGGGGGACGGGACTCCTCCATGACTATTTGGTACCAAGTTATAGCAGCCTGGAATCTGTTTCTCACATAGTGATTGATGAATTAGATACTTCATTTTACTTCTTTTACAAAAATCTGAACAATTACCTGTAAGATTCTTCTTAATTCGTCCTGAAAGTAAGGGACAACACCTTGTATCCTCTAGAAAAGCGCTATAATCTAATTATTGTTATTCTTTTATAATGATAGCTTAATACACCAGATACTCCAGATTCTCAGACAGGTTAATATGAGTCAAGAGCAGGTCCAAGGCGCATTTGTTGTTGTGTACTTGTGGTATGCTTCATTCGTTTAAAAGGGAGGGACATGGGCTGGATCTGCCCCCCCCCTCCCCTAAATTAGCCAATGATGCCTGTTTAATATAATGGTTGATCCTTTTTGTGTACAGAAACATTTGTTTTCCTTCCACTGTTAAAAAGCATTTATTTTGCATCTACAAAGAACTGTCAATAATATTAATAATTGAGATTTATATAGCGCCATTATCCATTCTAATCAAATGCTCAAGGCGCTTGAAGCGGCTTCAAAATATTAAGGAACACATTACATCAATACAAAGGAATCGTGTATATTTACATAAAAAAGAAAGCAATACAAAAATGAAAGCATGAATGAATGTCTGTCGTTAAAACGCTAATTAATGAGTTATTAATTTACAAATTCTTCCCCCCCCCCCCTTCTCCCCACTGTCAGGTTGGAGAAGGGAAAGCTTGTAAGGTGACGGCTCCAGGAGAGGCTCAACTGACGATGGTAGGAGCCACCATGCCACGCAAGGCTACCAACATCCTGGCTGAAATCATTCCTGTGAGTTGACACTTCTATCCGTCTGCTGATAAAATCATAACATAATGTTTGTGGAGAGCTAGAAGGGCATTGACTCTGTGTGAAGTGATTTGAGTTCATGCCTTTCTGACTCTTTAATATCAGATGATATGGTCTGAAATATAAAATGTGCTTTGAGTTTGATGAAGTGACAATATTGTATGGAATTATTCACACTACTGTATTCTGTGATGGTAGAAATTGAATTTAAATTCCTTGCTGTTGCAAAGTAAGGATGATAAACACTTTCAGAGTCTGTGAAAGAATATAGCTCCACTGGTGAAGTTTTTACTCTGTTCCAGTGACTGTCTATCCCTAAAATATATGATTATTTAATGACTTTACATAACTTTTACAAAAATGTTTGTATGTTGGGGGGGGGGGGAATGGGGTGGAGATGAGGGCCCCGTCTTACAAAGAGTTGATATCAATCGCAACTATGTACAAAAGAGATAGGAGACTGTAAACTTGAGATTGATTTGGATCAATCACAACTCTTTGTAAGATGGTGCCCAGGTATTGAAATGAATATATATATATATATATATGTGTTTTTCTCCAATCTGGTGAATGTTGAAACAGTGTGTAACCACTACAATACCATGGTAGAGTTTTATAGAGTGTCAGATCAGATGTTGTTTAATTAAAAAAAGATATTTTGGTTGTGCTGAATATTATAATAAAACAGCTGAATAAAATGTTGTGAAACATCAGTTGCGGAAAGATGTGTTTATAAACTAACTATAACTCCTGTTTTCATATTTTTGCCATACATTCTCGTTTCTGTGTATATAATTTTGATATTTACTATATTGATTATTTGATTATATTATTTATTGAACATGCTTTTATTATAGCCTGAGAATCTAGAGGTGATTTCTACCCCTCATGTTCATCGTATCATGCCTCATGTACATCAGAAGTTCCTTAGGCTACACTCAGAGGACAAAGCACGTATGTCATTGATTTTATTTTATTTATTTATTTTTTATTTTTTTTTAGTTTTAGTTTGAATTTGATTTATTTACTTTTTTGGGGTTGAAGTAAAGGAAGAAAAAAATATATTATTTTTAAATTCTTATTTTTCTTTTCAATTTTATTTTCTCTCTCTCTCTTTCTCTCTCTCTCTCTCTCTCTCTCTCTCTCTCTCTCTCTCTCTCTCTTTCTCTGTGTCCATTGCAGTTACTGATGCTTAAACCAGGATATCAATTTTAAAAGCTCTTTGGAAGTGATTTGAGGCAATATATCATAATGTGATTCCTGATGTATGCTAAAAGTGGATTATACTTTTATCTCTTTATCATAATTCCTGCAGTCAAGATTCTTGAGCTGGTGAAGAGAGAACAGAAGAGACGTGTACCTACCATGGTTTTCTGTAACATGGCATCCACTTGTGATTGGCTTGCTCACATCCTCACAGAGAATGGCATACCAGCCCTCAGACTACACTCTAAAATGGGTGGCAAGGTATGGTTATCGATACTTTATGACCAACATAGATGGTGCCTAAGGCATTTTTAGTTTAACCTTGTGATATAACTTCATCCTGAACAATGAAAAATGGTGGAATATTTCAAAGTGTGTTCTTTTGCAGTAAGGGTCTTTATTGATAAATTGATATATTTTCCTCTTTTTTAAATATTTTAAATCTACAATAAATATATTCATAGATCAAATTGATAGATCTCATTAACCATCTTTATCTGGAAATACAACTGTATAGGGGAAATCACATGCATATACAGAAACACTAACTGGAAATAGATGAAGAGGTTATGACAAAATATATTTCGGATTTTTAGGGACAGACCTGCTTCAAAACACACATTTTGTAATAATGTCAACTGCATACGAACTTCAATTTATTTTCTATCCAAGTGACTCTGTTGCAAACATAATTCTCTGTTAGTCATAGTACATGATATAGTGTTTATTGAAGCTACTCTGACTGAAGAATACATTTACATTAATTTTGCTCTGTTTTGTATGTTTTTGTTGTTTTAACATTTGATAAGTCACTATGAAAATCATTGAGTGAATAGTATCTGTGAACAGGGACTACCAAGTGACTGATTTGATTAAAAAAATTTACAATCGTCTTTTATTTTCTTAAATCATTCATCCAGTCTCGTAGTGGAGTAATGGAAGCATTCAAATCAGGTGAAGCCCACATCTTGGTCTGTTCAGATATAGCTTCAAGAGGAGTGGATACAGTTCAGGTATGTCACGGCAATCAAACACATTCAACTTTGCAGGTAAACTTCGCATAAGTTGAAGTCGCACAAGCCAAATTTTCAAATCAAAGTTTTTTACCAAACTATATGCAAAATGTGTGTTATTTACACTGCTAAGTCAAATTTTAAAGCCTATCTTTAGTGGCCCCAACAGATTTGACTTATGCAGAGTTAACTGTATGCAATGTATGCCTCGTGTGAGCAGATATGCCATGCTGAAATCTGCCTAGCTTTGGGCAAGGTGTAGTTAAACCTGAACACTGCCTTTGTGCATACATTTTGTCCACCAACTTATGTGCTGCCAAATATCAACTTCTTTAATCTGTACAAATCACCACAATGAAAATACACACATTTCTTATTTTTTTCTCATTTTCATTTCCATGACCTAATCCATTTTTTTGGTTAAAAAAAAATCTGCGAAGTTAGGCTAGTGTTCTCTTTTTCCAACTTGTCAGAGATTTATGTGACCTTTGCCCCCCCCCCCCAAAAAAAAAAAACAGCTCTGGAACTTCCAAACTTTCAGGCTGTTTTGATGGGACAACCATGTTGTACTGTACAAGTAAATCTCCATACTAATTCACAGAAGATGACTTTGTTTTACATATACAGGGGGGTGTTTCACAAAGATCCTAAGACCAAATATATCTCTAAGTTGGACTTAACAATTATGGAAAGCCGTTAGCATCTATGAAAATATTTTGTAAAAGTTATTTTAAAAGGCATAAAATGGTGATTCAAATCACTCTATTATCGAGGAGATTTCATATTCTTGGTGTGGAATTTATAAAAAAAAGTCTAAAGAGTTTTTGCTTTTGAATATATTTTATTTTAAGGCTACAAGTGGCTCTCCTTAACGATTAAGTCCAACTTAGAGTTAAGTTTAACTTAGGATCTTTGTGAAACACCCCCCTGATGTTGTTTGTTTACCCACAGGTCCAGCATGTGGTGAACTTTGACTTCCCTCCCTTCATGTCGGACTACATCCATCGAGCAGGGAGGGTGGGGCGTGTAGGGAGCCAGGGGAGCGGTCATGTCACCAACTTTGTGGTACACAAGTGGGATGTGGAGCTGGTCAATAAGATAGAGGTGAGTTACATACTGAAATCATAAAACAAGTTTGAGTTATCTGATGTGATCTAAAGTGATGGTTAGTATACAAATATATTAGATAGCTTAGACAGATACCGAGATGTGATTGGTCCAGAGCTCGTCACGTGATATCAATTGCGAAGATCCAAATTGTTATATTTTCCTGGTTGGTTATATTTTACCGGCTGGGAAAATGAATATATTTTTAATCAATGCATGTCGCCCTCTTGAGGACTCTATGTCACCAATTACACACATTACACCGTTACCGAGGGTCATTTTATTTCTTCAATATTTTTTTTTCATGAATTTTTTTTTTTCCTTGAAATTATTTTATTCACATTTTTTTTTTTTTTTTTTTTTTAAATATGTTTTTTCCCGAAAAATGCTTTATTGGGTAAGAATTTTTTTTTCCCCAAATTTTTTTATATATTTTTTTTTTTGTAAGGTTTTTTTTCTTTCTTGAACTATCTCGACAGATTATTTTTTCCATAATTTTGATTGTCCCCGAAAAAAAAGGGGAAACATTTTTTCGGGCAAAAAAAAATATAGCCCCCCCCCCCCCCCACACAAAAAAACCAAGGCTATCTAATATAACAGTTATTGACTGGCAGGGGGTATATAACATTCTTTGGACCTGAAGGGAGTTAAATTTCCCCTCGTGACCATATTTTCTCTCAGCGCTGCGCGCTTCGGGAAAATATAACCACTTGGGAAATATAACTCCCTTCAGCGGTCCAAAAATGTTAAATTACACCTCCTGCCAGTCAATAATAACTGTATAATATACTGCCATGAGAGGGTCTGGTAACTCTGGTTAGATCTATGTACGCACTTGTGTGTGATGTCATACACCATATACAGTGTTCATGACTAGTAACCTCTGTACATGGATCATGATGTCATACGTTACCCCTAATGGGACTTTGCATATTTGCATTAGGCCGTCATGAATCATCACATGATGTGCAATGGACCAATGAACCATGCATATTATTTACATGACAGAAATGATTCCCAATCAACAAGGTTCTAGATTGATGGGTTTGTTGATTGTTAATGTCATAGCTGATTGGCTTCTATCTAATGGTTATGATGTCAGACCAGCTGCAAGATTGTCCCTGATTTTAAGCAGACTCTGCCTTTTCTATGACTGAAAGCCCTGTACTATATCCTACAGTTTCAAGCAAACTACTCACATTGCCTTTAAAGCGTATCTGCCATAGTTTACAGGAGGGATTAGACTGCCCTGCAAGGTCACTGGACAGGTGGTTATCTCATCAACTCAGCTCTCAGTTAACATAAGAAAAAGAGGATCATGGGGGACCAATGGTCACCGATTAGGCATGGTTTGTTATATAGAGGGCGCAAGTAGCTACAAGTAGTGCAGTGGGCCTTTAAGAACTTCAGTCAGGTTTCCTTGTTTATATATTTGTATTTAATCATAAAACAATGTCTTATTTTGGTTTGCAGTTAGATCCTTATTTGCATAGTGTGCTTGGTACTGGTAATAGAAAAGTATTAATGGTAAGAGCCGGAAAGACATTTACTCTATCCAAATGAATTCATGCGCCTTGACTCTCAACAAATATTTTGTTTCAGCATCTATACATTTGACATATGCCGAACAAAATTTGCATAACCTAATCGCATAATAATAGTTGTAGTTTTATTATGCAATGTGAAGAGGAAAATGTTGTTCTTTTAATATATTAATGATAAATTAAAAGGTGAGAATTTTATGGGGCATTTTCAATGCTTTCACAATGTACATGGATTGCATTCTTTTTTAATGCTGATAGGTTCTGTTAATATACGCTTTCTTTTCCTTTTTTTTAAATGTAGTATTAATGAATATTTCTTGAACATAAATTTGCCTGTCTCGACTTTTGAAAGATCACAATGTACACTGATTATGATTAGCTCTATAAACTTTAATATAACAAATAGCTAATATAAACTAACAGTAATATAGAAATAGCTATTTAAAAATAGAATATGAAAATAATACACATATGCCCAATTGCACTACCACTGCCCTGTTTCAAAAAATTGTTATAAATAACAAGTTACAATATTAAAGGTAATACAAAGTTTTGGTATGAGGTCATGAATTTGGTTCAAATAAAAATATTGGAAGCATGTGCGATCCGACAATATTTAGTGATAATTGTCGCGGTTGCAATCGAGTCTAAAGTTATGAAAATGTCAATAATCAACTCTTTATGCTGTATAGCTCCCTCTCAAGGTCAAGATATTAATTAACCTATAAAACAATATTTCTTGACTAAAATCAACCGATTAGCTATTCCCGTTTGGAAATTATATATCACAACTACATATTCTGAGATTTTCATGGTCGCAGCTATTATTGTACGGCCGTAAGCGCTATTTGAAATTTATTAAAATTTACCGGGAGCACCGGTAAATTTTTATATTCCATTTTCCTCAAAAGCAGAAGCGTTTTAGGGGCTAAACATTGTTGTGCTTATAATTCATCCACAGGGGCATCCAAATATATAAAAATTGTAAAGAATCACTATCCACCCAATCTTCAAAATTTACCAAAACTTTGTATTACCTTTAATTATGAGCTACTGAAATGTTTACATTTGATTGGTTGTGAAATTTGTTATAGAAATGTGACACTTGCTATTGATAAAAAGTTTTATGAAACAGGACTAAGTTTACAACTAATATCTTGGGAACGAGTAAAATGGTCCCCCTAAACGGAAAGTTACAAATCCTCCTAAATCTTGTCTGAATAGGGTTTAATCATTCTCATGGTACCTAGCAACAAACATAAAATATTGCAAAATCTAATACCCGCTTAGATACAGTGAATGGCGAGTTTAATATTAATGAAAATTCTTTTTTTTTGTGGGCAACTTTAATATATAAAATGAGTCTAGTACTTCAAATCTACTAGGTAAATATTTAACAAAGATTTTAAGATACCGGTATACATTATGTCTGGTCGGTAGGCATTGCAGGCCAAATACCCGTGAAGCTATAACCTCTGGCATATAATGATATTCACACAGATTTCCTACATTTCATACACTGCCTTTAAAGCCTTTCTGTGTCATGTAAGGCTACTTTTGAATATATAAATAAATGAATAAATAAATGAAATTGTCAGCATGACAAATTCTGGTAGGAGCCATGGAGCTGCCCTGTAGAGCAGGGTTTAGCTATTCACTTTATTTCTCTTTTGAACCTCATAAAAGCATGGTTGTGTACTCCCTATGTAAAACCAAGTTATTTCCAGGTGATAGCCACTTGGCACCACATAGTGACACAAGGATGCCACAGTAATGGAGAGGGCTGACACTATTAGTTTTTATTTAAAATAAATACATAATTTATTTGTTTTTATGTGGGAGTTATGTGATTTTTACACCACCTAACTGCCATGGGATAGCCACATCATAATCCATATATGAGTGGATCACTGAAATGATGAAATCACATAATTACATTTCTCAACTTTGCTATAATGAACTACATTATATGTGAGAGAATGGCTTCATCATTACTTTTCCTCATCACTATTTTATTATTAGGCCTGAGCATCTTGCTCATTTATTCAAACTTAAATCGACATGGATCTGTCTCGTTTCAGTTTTGTAATCTTGCTAATAGACAGGATAACAAAATAAAATTATTACGAGGAGTTCCTATTGACAACAAGTTCCCAGCTCCCTGAACAATGGAATGAGGTATTAGTTGAGACAATGTGATTGGAACTGGATACAAAAATGTAATATTTATGACACACACTAGAGATGTAGCATGGGAAACTTTCTTATTTAATGGATGAAATTCCAGTGAACAAGGTTAAAGTTGGTTAAGGTCAAGTGAAAAAGGGCCGTCTTCACATTGACCTTAACCTCCTCTTCCATCCTTTTTTCTCTCCCTTTTTTCTCATCAACAAAATGCAGATCAGTGATAACCTTTCTAAACTGTCATACCATGCCATTCTTCCTGATTTTGTTCATTATTCAATCTTTTGGAGGGAGAGTATATTCTCACATGCCTAAATTTCCAAAAATTCAGTACACTGAAAAAAATATTTATTAGAATTATAATATCAAGAAAAACATGCTCCCAGATCCCTGAATAATAATGACTGACCTGTTGAGGCTCTGTATAAATCAGATTGGATGTTGGAATAGGAGTTTCATTTTCCTCTTTATGGTCATGGGTTGGTGTTGGTGTTGTTGTTGGTGTTGTTGTTGTTGTTGGTGTACCAACTGGACAAGGTTCTGGGATGTCGACCAATGCCTCATTAAAAACTGGGTCCCACCCACAATCCATGCACGCACACCTATCTACAGTGTGTTCAGCAAGAGAAGAACAACAGACCACACTGCCTGCTAACTTAACCAACATACTCTGATACAGCGTCCCGGTATTTACCGAGGGTACAGTCAAAGGGGGGACTCTGCTGCCATTTTGGTAACACACAATCTGCCCTGGCAGCGTACCTGCTGAAGCTGCACATTGCAGCGTGGCCCAATCCCTGACAATGTACTCAGTACTCGAGTGGCACGATGGCTTCCCGGGAGGATAGTCAACGCGCAACCCGATTCTTGGATACTCTGGTATCATATCACCATTCTTGTAAGCAGTAAGAATATATGTACCTTGATCATGTCTCGAGACTGGATCAATCGTGAGATGGATGGAATAGTTTTTATTGTCAGTCTTGTTTTGATTTACGAGGAGCTGATTCTGAGCGAGCGACACGGCTCCTGGATTAGTATAAAATGGAGCTGTATATCCATGTTGCAGTGTAATTTTTGTGCTGTCACAAGGATATGGGAAATTTAATTGAGCCCCTTCCCCCTCCATGACATGCAGTATTGTAGAATTACATTTTGATAATGCAATCAATGTAATCAGAAGGAGGAAAGTGCTAGCCTTTATACATTCATAAAAAAGCTCTTGTAACTTGCTGATTAACGAGCACATTTTCAATCTTGCTGATTTTATTAGAGGGGAAAAAATTAAAATAAAATATGTGCCAATAAGTGTAACGCAAAATAAAAATAAATTGAAAGGGCCCCTCCTCCTTTTCAAACAGATCTGAACAGGAAACTGGGAAACTATTGTATGTGGCCTTTCCTATTTACAAGTTGAAAAATACATACAACTCATCATCTACTGAAAAGCTTTAAAAGAGGTACATATAACAACTATTGTAGTTTGAATTAGACAAAACTAATACCGGTATGTTATTAGCTGCTTTATTGAGTGAATTACAGCTTTGATCATGTTGTTGGTTCTCGTTCATGCTCTGTTATGATGTTTTCAAGACTTCTGCTCTCTTCTCATATGGAAATTGTGATGTTCCTCCTGAAACCAAAATCACTTCTTTTTTGCCTTCTCCTTGGACTTGTAGAGTAGAGTAGATATCACTCCCAGTTTAAGTGGTAGCTAGTTTTTCTGAAAAAAAATCTTGATTTGCTGTTTCAGAAAAAGAAGCGTTTACTGGAACAGTCTGCTTGTAAATGCTTGGTACATACAGCAAACATCCCTGGTGTACTCGCTGAGTCGCTGTCTGATCTGTAACCATATCTTGATGAAGTCTGTTGCCAAATAGTATGGACACTCAGATTTCCACACAGCCCAGAATCGTGCACAATATGAGCAAAGTCTAGATAGCACCTCAGTGTTATATTAAATTCCAAGCTTAGAATGCATGTTTTTTGTTGATGTTATTTCATGTCTTTAGCAAGAAGTAGTTGATCACCCTCAGCTATTTATCCAAATAAATGTTTTTGAGTTTCTGGGTTCTTTCAAATGCTCTCCTGGTCTCTTTCGTTGAAAAAGATCTGTGTTGCGGCAAGTTGCCTGCCACAGTGAATTAAATGGGAAGTCCACCGTGTTCATTTGCTGGTATTGATAAAAGAAGAAAAATAAGAGAAAAAAATAAGTGAAAGTTTGAGCAATATCCAATACAAAATAGGAAGTTTTTAATTTTTTGCATTAAAAAAATATGTATATCAATGAAACACAAATTAGCAACATTGTGAGATATCTGAGAGGTCCTCTCCAATTTGTTCTTTACAGACAATTTCATAAACTGTCATTTTCTTAGTTATTGGTGATGGAATAGATTTGTTTACATATGTGGGTTGTATAAAAACTTCTTCAAAGTACCCAATAATGATTAACAAAAGAATGATGACATACCAATTTTTACTGATGTACTTTTAGAGGTAACAGAGGTGACACACCAGGTGCTGCTTTTATCCTGCTAGAATCTGACAAAAGTGGTTGCTGAGTCAGTGAATTGTTAGTTACTTTTTTAGAGATGCTTAAGTATGCAAAGGAACTGGTCCGTGTAAAAGCAAACACTTTAAATTGTTTGTTCAGTGAACTCCAAATTCTCAATGTGAAGTTTAACCCAAAAAATAATATTTAACACAATTTGGTTAACCATACTTTTTATTTGTAATGTTAGCAATTAGCATTCCAGTTTTTATTTAGTTTACATTAGGTTAGTGATTATTGACTCTATTGACACTGGCTCTTATTTCCTGCTTTTGGCTATTCAAGAAAATTAAAGCTACAGTTATCTCAGTGTACTTTTTTTTAAATTTCTACATATCGTTTAATTTAAAAAGACAGGAACAGATGGGAACTGCAAAGGGACAATTTATCATACATGCTACTGGATATAAATGCCCATCAATTCTATCTCTAAAGAAATCATACTTGCTTGATTACCAAAAAAAAAATACCTAAATTGATGTATCTTTGAAAACTGAATGACTGCTAAATTTTGCCTTCAAAATCATACAAAGCAATTAGCCACTAAAATGATGTTGGTAAATATTTTTCTTTTTTTCGAGGACAAATTCACCATAACAGTAAAGAGCAAATATAGGTCCTTGTTTTGAGTATACACCATGCATGTTGATATAATGGTAATTTGTAGGCATATAGTGAGGGTTTTTGCTTTTCTTCTACCTAATAAGCTTAATGATAACATGTAGTTATCACAAAATACTGAATCACACCTTTTTTTTTCTTGATCTACAGTATATCAATGTGCTAAAGTGATCTGTTGCATGGTCATTAATTTTAGGTTTTTTTTAGGGGTGTTTCATAAAGCTGTTCGTAAGTTACGCACGACTTTACGCACGACTGGAACATGTTCTTGGGTGCTAAACAGATTCTCAATCATTTACATGTAGCACAAGAACATATCACCAGTCGTGCGTAAAGTCGTGCGTAACTTACAAACAGCTTTATGAAACACCCCCAGGCCATGTAGCCTGGTTTTGTATATTGATATTTGAATCAGAGCTACGCAAGCGAGGCAATAACGATGATGTCATCATGTTAAATATGTTCTCTTGTTTACAGAATTACAATTCATTTTTGTTATTGTTAACAAATTTAGCCATCCATGCAGTCTTGTTGGTGCCACATGTTTTATTGACTTACCAATTAATTGTGATGAATGAAAAGAGAAAAATGTTGGCATAGTAATTTCAGTTAACATGTTTTGAAAGGTTGAATAATGTACAGACATGTTTGAACCAATTCGGTGAAACTTTGCCATGGGCAGGGGTCGAAGGCTATTAATAGGCAGAGCCTTGTAGGCATATGGGAAATGATTTTTTTTTTAAAGTTTTTTTTTAATTTTTTTTAATTTTTTTTTTTATAAACCTCCATTTCCTTCTTACTAGTCTAATGTATTGTCTGTTTAGAGCCAGAAGGAAGTTAGCTCTATGTAAATATGCCCATTCAGCTCTCAGCAAACAACATGTTCTCTTCCGGGGGGGGGGGGGGGGTACTCACATATTAAGACATACAGGGATGTGCTCTAATGGGTCGCTTTTTCACCAAAAAATCCCTAAACATGGGTCCCATTTTTACAAAAATAACACTAAACACAGGTTTGTTTTTCCAAAATTTTCAGGTGTTTGCATCAAGAAAAGTCCCTAAAATTGGTACCCTTTTCCGCCAAAATGACCCTAAAAAATGGGAAGGGGTTATGAGGTTTGAGCAGCACGGCCCCCTTCCAAACAAAATCTGATTTATGATATTTGAAATTTCACAACAGAAAGTTTGGATGGGATGGAAATTAAAAGGACTTTTGTTCTGTTTTTTTCCATTACAGAGAGCAGTAAGGACCAGAGAGGATCTTCCAAGGGTGGATGCAAACATCAAACAGAAGCATGTCAAGAGACTGGAAGACCAAGACCTGCAAGATGCGGACCAGGCCCTAAAAGGCTGAAGATTGTCAAACAGGGATCTGTCTGGTCTATTACAGGCCTCTGGATCACAATGCCGGAATCATGTCGGCTAGGAGATACCATCATTCTGGTAGACATTAACCCTTTTCATGCTGTAAGCGGAAAATCCTGTCCATGATGAATGTTATGTTTTGGGCAAGAAAAGGTTATAATCGACAATATCTTCTGAAGATTAAAGGCCGATGTCGTTTTATACTGCCCCCACTTTCTGGATCTCTCCATCAACCAGACGCAATCTCTTGTGCTACGCTACTGATATTTGATCCCCTCTACCTTTTCTTTTGTATAGCCATTTTGAGAATTTGGTTAAAATAAAGAGTGAAGACAGTGTATTTCTCCGAAAAAATTGTAACGTTTCTAAAATAGCTTTAATCATTGGACATAACCATTTCTTTTTGTAATGGAGAGAATGGAAAATTAGTAGTATCTGCCATTTCTATGCCTCCGCAAAGAAGTAGCCGGAGGCGGTATCTTTTCGGGTTGTCTGTCCGTCCTTCCCATTCTCAAGATTTTGTTATCTCAAGAACTGATTGACGGATTCCTGCCAAACCTGGGTCGTGTACCCGTATGTATCTTGCAGAGCCAATGAATTGATTAGATTTGAGGATCATGAGACCAAAGATCAAAGGGTCATAAATGTATATGAAAAATAGCTTGTAATCATGATATTTTTGAGAACCTATTAATGGATTACAATCAAACTTGAATTTTGCTCCTGTTTTGGTTTGTAAGATCACTCTATCAAAGATCCATCTATTCTTGTATATATGTGCTGGATTTAAATCGAATATTTAATACAATTCAATGTATTGCAGAATTGGTTTTATCTACATGTATTTTTTTATTTCTGTCACTTCCTTGAGAGGCCTTGATGGCATGTGCACTAGCCTGATTAGCTATCAGTTCATCTGAAAAATTTTCTTTAAAATCCATTAGCTTGCCCAGCACCTGCCCAACATAGCAATAACTATATAGTAAGCTGGATTCCATTCATGGAGTTGTTGTCAAACACAACAACTGAATTGAACAAATCCCAACCAATTAACCCTTGCCTACTGGAACCTGGTTGTCCCTGTATTAAGCCTATGGAACTTTGAAAAATGCAGCAGTCAACGGCTTAAATGTATTAACCTAGGACAGTTTTTGACTGAAAAAACACATATGTGAGATTGTGTATGATCATTCTGATCAAGAAAGTAAAACACTGTACACAACATTTAATTTAGCTTGGCAATCAATACTTTTATTTTTCACATTAAAGTACTATGAGACATTACAATTTGCATGATGACTATATTACAGCCACAAGATATGGGTTCCAGAGATGAACACATTCTATCAACAATTTGATTGCAATTAGAGCGTGGATAAAAACATGAATAATACTACTGATATGAACACAAGAGTTTTAATGATTATACATTGATGTCTATGGCACTTCTTAAACAGGCGAGTACCAGGTAACATCTTGAAGGGATTAGCGAAGTTAAAATTACTATTCAATATTTTAAAGGGGAAGTCCCCCTTGACATTAAGTAGGTTTAGTAGAAGCAGAACATTAGAGAAACAGAAAGTTTGAGCAAAGTCCAATTATACATGTATATATGAAAGTAGTGAAATTTGATGCTGCAGTTGATTTAACACAAGAAGTTCATGTGAGCTGTACTAAATTTCTATTTTCTCGAAAGAAAATTTCCAATCATACATGAACCCAAGATATAATCATTGCACATATGTTCTAACCAGTCTATTCCTTCCATCAAGAACCAAGACTATGAAAATGTATTACCCATATCCATATAAAATGAAGTTTACCAATGCATTGTTGTGGTGACATTGTCAACATCTCTTGGCAAACGCTTGTGCTTCCTCAGGCAAAACACCAAGGCAATAACACCCTCATTTCAAATCAGATGATCAGTTTACCACACAGCAAACACTGCAATCAAGCAGTCACAATGCTTCAAATATTTACCAATCCATGTACATGTACTTCCATACATGATAGCTTCAAACCAATATACAGTGTGAGTCAAAAAAAAGATTACATCTAGAAAATTGCTACTTATTTAAAAAAAATCATCTATGAACAGTAAATGATTATACATTTTATGAAAGAGTGTTTTATCCCAAATCATTTGATATCATTTTTGTGTGTTATGTGTTCACGCTTGGATAAACATGAGGCATTGTTTGCTAGAGTGCCAAAATCGGTGTGAATGCTGGTGTGATGTTTGAATAAAACAATTGGGATTTGGGTATTAATTTGGTCTTTGCAGATCCAAATAACATCCCTAACAAATTTAATCATGCGACACAAATCAAATATCGTATATCAAGTATCGACGTACATTTTGTGCGTGTGTGTGAATTTGCTTCTGCAAAAAGCCTATCCAATGCATTTCATTTGATACATTCTATTCATTCTCTCACTCCACTAATCCCAACATAATACATGAAGTAGGCATCACTTTGGAGCAAGTCTATTTTTGCACTCTCGCAAACAATGCCTCATGTTCATCCAAGCGTGAACACATACAACACAAAAATTATACCAACTGATTTGGGACAAAACACTCTTTCATAAGATGTATAATACTCTACTGTTCATAGATGATTTTTAAAATAATTAGCAATTTTCTAGGTGTAAACTTTTTTTTGACTCGCACGGTATAATAGAGAGTTTGTCTTATACATGTATTGCCCTTTACCATCTGGTGTTTGATTTGATCTTACATGTACATGTACTACAAAGTTAAAAACAGAAATCAATCTGAGCTTGAATAAAAAAATTTAAAGAAAACTACTGTGTACATATATATAAACCACTGTGTTTACAAGATACAGCATTTAACAGTTTACAGGGAATATAAAAAACAAATGCATAGCAGCTAAAATGGAAATTCAGCAGTTCATCGTTGTCACATAGATTGGTGAATACAATAAGAAACTAGAAATGTGGGATTACTATTCAAATTATACTTTATAGATTTCTATAAAGGCACACAGAAACATTGCCACGATTGAACAAAATAAACTGAAAAATAAGGCATTATTGTGCACCATCTTCTTCCTTTTTGTGATAAAGCATGCTCTATTTTTCAAAACATTACCAAAATAATGACAATTTGAAAACATTCAAAATAGCATATAATAATTATATCATAAATTGTATGTACAGATATTTCATAGTCATATTTATAACCTACATGTACATGTATTTACATTTAACTAATAGTGATATTCAAGACAACACATTTTAGCCAGATACATATACAACTACAGGGTATCTAAAAAAGCAATATGAGAAAGGAAATAAACTAGAACTTCCTAGACTTCATAATTCCTTTAAAAAACGGTATTTCAAGTTCTTTCGGAATTGGTAGATCTACACAGGGCAATTGGCAGTGTATAGTTGTTGATCTTGCAACGAACGGGGGAATTTAGGAAATACCTAAAGTAAACTTCTCATCATCAAGGGAAATAAAGATGTTAATACAAACTTCTCACTACAAAAAGATTTGGTCCTACAAAACTATTTCTGCTGGGAGGCTTGGAGAAGTCAAAAATAAAAAATCAACATTTTTATTCCCATTTACATGTATTAACCTGAGTTTACCGGATCAGGGCCCTGTTTCACAAAACTTGTAAATGCTAAAATTCTATGAAAAATTAGCTCTCAACCAATCAGATGCCACAATTTCAGTAGCTTACAACAGTTATTGTAACTTGTTCTTGATTGAGTCCATGACAATTTCAATTAATTTTTATTAACCATTCCAGTAAACTGAAACATATTTCTGTTAGTAATCCCTTGAGTTGTGCATAGTCAGTGCATTCCACCTGCCAAGGACCCTGCATATGGTTGCCTATTTTAATCAATATAAAGGGAACATTGTTTTACCATAGGATGAAGTGATTTCATACAATAACAAGTATTTATCCAATACATTGTGTTCTTTCGTTGCAAGGAAAATCATGCCATGAAAGTAGGACAAGATCATGTCCACATTTTACGGGTAGACGCATTTTAGAACGAGACATATTCTACTCTGAGCAGGCCGTATAATATATTTCTTATTTACATTATATATTCTTTATAATACGTATCATAACATAGATGATCTGTATACAAATAAAATTTCAGTAACATAATGATCTTCCCTAATAATGTAAGAAAGTGTGATAATCTTTTGATCATTTTTAATACCAACAAGTGAGAGTAGCATAGTAAAGAATGTGAAAAATCTTAAAGCTATGACTGACCCATGGACATCTATCAACATGAAACATGACTACCAAACCGATGAATCCTACGGCCACTTTTCATCTCTATTTCAAAACTGTGATGAAACTCAACTTATCACAAATTTTCAGTCATAAAAAACCTAGACTTATGGTATGGTAGTCAATCCATTTTTTCTGATTCGATAGAGCTCCTGTTCATCATAATTCATCTTTAATATATTCAAAGAAAAATATAATCATGACAGGCTTACTGTTAAAAAAGCTTGGATTGTATGAAGCTCCTATCACAGGTTACACAAACAAAATCAAGTCTGCTCACAACCGATGTAAAATGAAAGAGCCTAAATATTAATCTACATTTTACACTAGAGATTCACAGGTACAAGTATGTCAAGAAAGTAATTCTTTTGATTTTACACTCGTTGTATTTGTTCACAGAATATTGATTAGACGATAGCAACCAGCTTCTTGTATTATTTAAAGTACTTAACTATGAAATTTAGAATACCGGTATACTATAGGTCCTCTCTCTCTCTCTCTCTAATATCAGGACTGTATCGCATGAAGTACTGCACAAAAACCTATAAAAAGCCACAAACATAAATTCTGTTTGTTTTATGAACTCTACAAAAAGCTGGGACATTGAGCTTTCACATTCAAATTCATACGCATTGTTAGATCTGGCCAAAGTTGGACAAAATTAACATGTACTACATTAACATGGAAATTACATTTATCAATTTATCACCAATCCAGTACCGGTTATGTCTTTCAGTCGTGTAACATTGGTATCTTATATATAAATATCTACTGAGTTGTTTAATGTAACAATGTTTAAAGGAAACCAAAACCTTCATACTAAGTTACTTTTATTGTAAAGTTTAAGATATTTGATATAACAGTGACAATTTGAACAAAAACGGGCAAGGAATAAGGAAGTAAGAGCTTTTTGAAATGACTAGTCACTAGAGGGCGGTATTCAATTTGATGACATCATCTGTGAACAACTCTCTATGCCTTTTGTACATCAAATTTCATGTTTTTCTTTCTTTCTTGTGATTGAGATAATGTACTCCCCCGAAAGCAAGATATAGAATGCAAAATGATATTCTACTTCACATGTTATGAAGTCGGATCAAGAACACAAATAAATACGAAGAAAACAAAAAAATTGTGAAATTTGATGTACAAAAGGCATGGAGAGTTGTTCACAGATGATGTCATCAAATTGAATACCGCCCTCTAGTGACTAGTCATTTCAAAAAGCTCTTAATTCCTTATTCCTTGCCCGATTTTGTTCAAATTTTCACTGATTTTATTCAAATCTTTTAAAATTTACAATAAAAGTAACTTAGTATGAAGGTTTTGGTTTCCTTTAACCTAAATATTTATTTTCTTCACTCTTTGTTTACACTGATAATTGGCAGTTTTTACTGAGTGCCAAGAATCAACAAGTGTCAAAGAGTCCTGAACAAAATGAAAACCTTGATCCTACTATCTTTGACGAATATCGAGAAAAACATATCGACAGTATAGATATCAAAATAATATTCCATGTCAATATTTACCTTCCCACTAGGCACAAGCCTTCATGACAAAAACAAGAACAGAATGGTTTCCAATCACTTATCTAAACTGCATCATAATAGAACAGCTCTTTGCAATATCCCATATCAGTGTTTTGTAAAGGGTTCACCATTCAGAAACATGGATATCGGGATATGATGCAAGACAGGAATGGAATGGTGTCCAATCACTTCTCAAACAACCATCATCATATTTGCAGCTCTGCAGTATCCGCTATCTGTGTACAACAAAGGTTCACCATTCAATGAACTGTGTCCAATAATTCTCCTGACGTAGGTCTCTGTTTCTGAAAATGACACGGGGTGAACATGGTCTACAAAATGAAGAATGTCTCTCTGCTCCCTCTTAATGCTCTGCAATAATCTATAGAGTTTATATTTACAGTTGATGTTTTTGCAGGGATGAGTGGCACAAACGTTCCTGTACTTGGGGACGACGGCCATTGGTCTTCTTAAGGGCTTGGGAGCTCTTGGCGATCCTTGGCTTCATTCAGAAGTTTGTAAGCCTGTTGATCAAAAATCAAATTCAGTCAAAAAATAAACGTTCAATACTGTATTCCGAATAAGTTCTACGATACATCCAAAAGGTTTTTTACCTGTGATATAATTCAATGGCTATGGTTCAGACACCTTTTTCAGATTATACTGGCAGAAAGAAGTTAAAAAAAAGAAAATGAATCCTCACAGAATCAAACGAAACTTACACTGAATGTTCAAGATTAAAAATAAATGTCATTTGCCAAACAATTTTGGTAGAAAATGTATACTGGCTGAGTAACAAGGACAGAAAGATAAGGAAATCAAGGTAAATAGGCCCGACACCATTTGTGTAGTCCCATAAACATCTTTCTGTGTACAGTTCTTGTTACTTTACCAAGACTGGGCCAAATTTATAATGATTTTGATGACTCCATAACCTAGCAGTACATAACGATACTTATATGCTAGATGATCATCCTTTTTTTCTGATCGATTCCACGTTTCTTTCACAATGCAGTCCCATGACCAGAACTGGTCTATACCTTTAACTGCTAGTACACGTCTGAGAAAGGTGTCACAAACATAGACATCAAAACTCTTGCACGTACATGTAAATTCCTTTCGGATGTGTCATAGAACTTATCCCTAGTAATTTAAACCATCCCATGAGTTTGTTCAATACAAATTTTGAATCAAAGGTTGAAGATACAAATGCAATTAGTACTAGAACTGACTGCAGAGCGATTGTCGCCGGAGCATTTATCATAAAACTGCAAGTACCGTATTTATTTATTTATTTCTGATATTTAGACGATACGATATTATCACCAATAATGGTGGTCTTCCATGAGGCCCTGTTACACATAATAAGGAACAATAGTTAAAAAATAAATAAATAATAATAATAATAATAATAATAACAAAATCATGAACATAAACTCTTAACAGCAACAAAGACAAAGAATACGTAAGAACACATGTATAAACATAAACAAAGTATTTACCTTCTGTAAGGCAACAATCCAAGCGATGGACTGTTTCCTGGATGAATCGTCTGGGACTGTCATTGTAACCTCTCTCATCTCATCAATGTACTTGTAGAGAATGGTCACAGCTTTAGGGATGACATGACCTGCAAAAAAGATTAAATTCTTCTGGATTATGACTAATATACAGGGAGAAAATGTTTAAAAAATCATGCTAAATCGGTTTTTATTTAATATTTTAAAAAAAGTAAAGTTGCTTGGGCAAGTGAAATGCAAGAAAAGATACAAACAGTACTGGTAAAAACATGCACCAGGGACTCCCAAGTCCCTGCATGCACTGACAACACCAACACAATTCACACTAGGGAAATAAAATAACATGAAAACTGGAAGTAACATTTATAACACTATTTTGTTGTTAATGTAATAAATGAACATAAAACATACAGAAACATCAAATCAAAATGAGGGCTCTGAAATCCTACAGTAGACCATTCAACCATTCTTGTTTCTTTACAAATTTAATTTTAAGTAGATACATGTATTTGGCATGGCAAGAAAAGATGGATTCCTAAATATCAAATGAATAAAATACAATTCCTCTTTTCTATAATTTTTTTTTTTTTTAAAGAGGATTGTCTTTTTTCTACATTTTTAAAAAGACTAAATAATCGAAAAATCAACATACATGTTAGAAGCATTTGATTTTACTAAGGGTGACAATGTATGTGAGATAAAATGCAAAGGCAAGGCATATAAACAAGCAAGGGGGTGGCATGACAGATCACAATGCAGCAAACACCGAGGTTATGAACATATGATGCACCCTTATCAACTCATCTCCTCCACTCACCACATGTCCAGTGAAGTCATTCACAATGAGTGCAGAGGAAAATAATGTGAAAGCATTAGTTGTGTGAAACTGTGCTAACAGTACATTTGTGTAAATACATCTACTTTTATATATTTAAATTAAATTGAATTGTATTCACATATGCAATTAAAAAGAGATCTAGACCCCCAAATTAGACAAAACTTTGCAACGAATCTGCCCCTGTAAACAGCTTCCACATATTCAATATGGGTTCTAATCCAGGTGGATGACTGAAGCCTGCGTTGTGAGTTAAATTTGTCCCTCCCCCGTTTCATAGATGCAGGCTATGTAACGGTGGAAAACACTCCATCCCTCGGAAACGACATTAAATGGAGGCCCCGTGTAGGTTAAGAACCCACTGCTCTCTCTTAAAAAAAAAAAAAAAAATATATATATATATATATATATATATACCGGTATATATCATATGACAATATCTTGTTTTATAACACTGTACTGCCTATTTAGATAGAGGGCGACAGACAAGTGAATAAAGATAGACACTTCACGTCAGATATCTTTGTGCACAGTGATTTATTTCAGTCTTTAATTAGTGACAAACACAACATTTCAGTCTACTTTTGTGAGCTTCATGAACTGCTTTAGTAGAAGCTTGAATTAGACTTTATCAGTTGCGGTGCTGTTTTAAATAAACATGTATAAAGGCTCATTCAGATATGACGGGCGCGGTCAGGCTGGTGATGTGAGGTTTATTGCGTGTAAAATGAATGGTAACTGTGCACAACAAGTGTCCTGCGTGTATGGTATTCACTGAGTTCTGATACTTATGAACTATACTTATACAGAAAAATATGAAACATGTTACACTTTACGTCATCATTTAAAATCCACAGCAGTTTTGCCCTGTCATATTGGAAAGAGGCTTAACTCTTACCATTGACGTTTGCTTCAGAGGTCATCATCTGTAGGTTCTGGATACTGAGTAGTGCTACAGGATCATGAACCCACATGGTTGTTTTGGTGTTGTCTTTATCAGGCTTCTCATCGTTGAACAAGATATTCCTAGAAAACGGGAATAAAATCATGAGAATGACTTTGCTATGTGGCACATGGCAGTATTAATATCCTATTCATGATTCATTTCTGGGAGTTAAATTTGTTACATTTATTAGTTTTGCAGTCTTATCAACTCCTTTGATTAGGCAACAAGATATTGTCGCTACATAATTCCCAGATTGGAGTGGATTGGATAGTATCCTACATAATATCACTATTACCATTAGTATTATTACTACCGGTAGTTAAATTCAGGGATTTTTGTACACACTTTACTAGCCATTATAACCCTATTATAAGCCCCTCTTAAGTGTTGGAAACCCCCAAAACGCCAAAAGTTTGACGGCAAAATTTCACTTTAATTGTATCATAATGTGAAAGAGGATGTCATTTGAGAGCTCCCAACACTTTAGAGGGGGCTTTAAAATAAACATTGTAAGCTACTTTTAAAGCAAAGTATATTTTGGCACACAAAATTAATGCTCTTACTCACTTGAGCAAGCAAAGCAATCTTCTGTAATTCTTATCTATTCTAGAGGTATATAACTTGGGGAAATCAAGGTCAAATGGTTGCCTAGTGGAGACAAGCATTAAATTTTTACTTTGAATCCCTATGCTGTACCTGTGGTTTGATGTCAGCTTGCAGTAACTGTTGGTTTGTCCCTCTTCTAGGGTCTCAACTGAGAAATTACAGCCTGAAATACAAAGATAATACACATACATACAAGTAGAGTCAGAAATCACATAAAAATGTATCACATATTCATGCAATGCATGAAGTTCAATCTTACAAATCCTTTCCATACAATTTTTTTATTCTAATAAATGAAATAAAAGAAAACTCACACCAATGGTGGGAATACTCTATACAGACATCGGGTTTGATGAGGTCAGGTTTAATGAGGTCAGCTTACACTATGTTTAGTGTCAACTTGCATCATGTGCATTGTTCAAAGGTACAAAACGATCAAATCAGTGTTCCCTCATGGTAAAGCCTATCTAGATGTTTTTTTATTAAGACAATGTTCACTTATTAATTGACCTTGATTGCTTTTCAAGTTTTCAATCTGAACATGCTGTAACATGATCTATTTCACTACACAATGTTTCGAAATGTAAGGTCAAGTCTTTTCAAAGTAAACTGTGGTTTTCATATACATAAAGCTATACAATATATTTGAATAGTCTGAATGGGAACAAGGAAATAACTTTCAACTTACCATTCATAAGTGCTTTTAAGTGCTTGTTGAAGAACTCGTTTTCTTTCTTTGTGAAGGTTGCACACTCCTCGCATAGTCTGACAGGATCTACAAAGTTCATTCGAGGGAGAAGAACTTTGGTCGAGCAGCACGGCCCACAGAAACATTTACCGCATCGTCGACAGTGATGCTGTGGAAGATGGAGATAACAAGTAAAAAGGACATCATTTTTTTGTCTTCAAAATGATCATGTACAATATTTGTAAATACTTATAAGGAAGTGATGAAGGAAGTGATGACTATTTGTATTCAAATAAGAAGCTTTCCTCTTCTTTTCTCTGCACTTGTATATCTTTACCCTAACACATCCTCTCTCTGTACAAAAGCCTAGAAACAACATAATGAGTGAATTTCAAATTACAGCGATAGCTGTTACAAATTTAAAATCATAAATTTAAATCAGAGATTAAGATATATGATATGATACATGTCAAAATTTCAATTTGAATTCAAAAGAATCATCAATAATATGTTATGTTGAAATTTTGCTATCTAAAATAAAGGTAGAAGTATTTCTGGAAATGAGATGGACATTAAGTAATGCCAATACAATCTTTTTTCAAAACAGACCTATGATAATAATATTAAAAATATTTGTTCTTTAGTCCAAAAAAAAAAGCCAAAATGTCAACTGTCAACTGAACTTGAAACAGTTAAGCCTGTTAATAAATCACCTGATATCATTGTGCAAATAATATATAACGCCTTGACCTGCTGGTAAATCAAGTTCATGAGTGGCCTTTGTTTATTTCTTCATATATGTACTTGTATGTAAGTACACTTATCAAATCAAAATTGAGAAGCCTGTAGATTCAGGTCCAAAGTCCAAAATTGGGAAGTATGCAGCAAATCATGCCATATCAAGTTGCTTTAGTGATATGAAAGTATTATGCTTTAGTGATATGAAAGTATGACATGTTTTCCTTCCCTTTTGTGAAGACACAACATGAGCTCTGGGTAAAAAAAATATATAGGAAATGAGACCTAATTCCACATCCACATGGTAGAAAAATATGATTTAAATTGTGAACACACGATGTACATTTACTTACAGCTCTTTGCATCAAAACAAAATCACTGATATAAACAGTACAAGAAATAAAAGCTGTATTTAAATATTTTTCACTTTTAATGCTAATGTGTATACTATATATGTTTTAATGCAAGTCATACACATCATGTCCCACCCCCCCCCCCCCTCACAAAAAAAAATGTATTACCCAAAAGCATGTCTACATGTTAACATTTTTTGTTAATGCATTGTTCCTACTATGTATTATATCTCAATGTAACCCACTGTATTTTATTATCTGTAAACAGTTATTTTACATGGTGAATAAATAAAACAAAACAAAACAAACAAACAAACATGTACATGTGCAGTATAATACAGATTCAAATTCAAACTTTAATTCACTAAAAACTGGACATTCCCTTTTATTCTGTGGAGATGCAACATTTATGCAAGGATTACACAGATATTCTGTTATTTGTACATTCTCTTAAGTAAACTCACACATGAATCCTACAATAAATAAACTCCCCCAACTTAGCAGACAATTTAACATGCACTATCCAATCATACTATCAATAAATGCAATAACATTATTAGAAACAACACTGATTAAAATCATCGGTCACTATCCCTGCAATATTTATTGTTCATACAAAATTGTAAGAAATGATTTGTTAGCATATAGATAATCATACAATCTATGTTAAATTTCTTCTAAGTAAACATTTTCTTGTTTTACTTACCCTTCTCTTCACCAGGTCGTATTTGGCTTGGCATTTCATGCAATAATGACACTGTAAATGTAAATTTAAAGAATAACAAATATGGTTATCAAATTTTTTTTAAATTTGAGCGATCAGTTACTCAAAAGGTTCTAGAATAAATGATTTATTAACTTCAAATAAAATATACAAAATAGCAAAATATCATAGATCTATAATAATAATAATAGTGATTTACAAGCACTATAAAAAAAAAATATACAGCGCTAGACAGAAAAGTCTGTCTGCTGGAAGGAGTTTTTAAACTTTATGGGGGGGGGGAGGATCTTTTGACGCTCTCCTCCAAAATTTGGTGCAACCAGATGAAGTACCGTAAATCTCTGCAGAACAAAGACATAAAAGACTTGACCCTACTGTAGATCCATCCCCACACAAAATCTTTTTGGTCTATCAAAACTCTGGCATGTCTGATAACTCTGATAAGTAGAAAAATTCAAAGGGCACGTCTGACCCATTTACAAATTGAATTGTACAATTAGAGAAAGATTCAACAAATCAGTAAAAGTTTCATTAAAAAACAGAAAGTTATAGAAATTTAAAGATTCACACAATATCATGACACAGTGATAATATCACTTAGCATAAAAATGTTGTTACTATGGAGTACGTAGGACATTGCAATAAGTTACAGTAATATGGTGATTTTACACGTACATTTCAAAACTACAGAGCAGAAAGGCCCCCCAAAAAACATTTAGTGCTCACTACCCCCCCCCCCCCCTCCCCTCACTGAGCGAATTATTGGCCGGCTGCTACGCCGCTAAATATTTTCTCACGAATTGGGCCCCCTCCCCTGGCGCCGGCTGGATCCGCCCGTTGTCACTTGCCCTTTAAATTTAATCAATATAAGGTTACGAATGATTGTCATTGAATTAAAGTTAATGACTCGACATTGACTTATACTGGCCTGATTAGCTTGGCTTAGAAAAATTAACAATGTTTTTTTTTTTTGGGGGGGGGGGGGGTGGGGTGGGCCTTTCCAAGGCTTTGGCTTTGCTAAATGTCTTATTGACATTATGCATTGATTACACACACAAGTACAAGATACTGATCTTGCACTGCCACTGTGCCAGGCACTGGCCACTGCACTTACCTGTTCGTCTGGAATCCAAGGAGGCTCTTGTAACTGGAAAGGACTCGTATCTTTCTCCTCCACACTGACCATGCGAAGCCCACTTTTACTCCTCATTAACTGTTTGCCTGACGTAGCCATCATTTTAGAGGCATTTCAACTTTCAAGATAGATTTATAAATAATCACAACCTTGGATTATGATCGCACTGCACTCGATGTATTTTTCTGCACCTCCTACTTTTCTATTTGTCGCCCTCTCTCGCCGCGTCGCGTCCCGAGATTTTCACCCAGAAAAGAACAGTGCAATCATAGGTCCACGGTACAACCACTCATGATAAGACATCTAATGATCTTTCAGTCTTTAGTTTTTGTAATGTGAACAAGGAAAAAAAAAGATTGGATATATCATTTGCTTCAGTCGGCTAACCCCAACAATAAAAAAATTGAAGAAGGCCCCCTATACCAAAAAAAAAATTGTCTTATCTTGTAGCCAATTTTTTTTCTTCTGAAGAGGCTTTCCATTTCTAGTAAAAAATCTTAGTAATTTTTATTTCATACCACCCCCTCTTTTTCATTCTCTCCCAAACCCCACCCTCTATCTCTCCCTCTCTCTCTCTCTCTCTCTCTCTCTCTTTTCTCTTACTCATCACTCACTCAATGGATCCTATGACCTGTCACTATTTCTCCCTGCTTTATATCCATGTTTCATCAAATCACTTAATTCTTACATATATCAAACCATTCCAGAGATACTGATAGCCACTGATAAAGAGGGGGGAGAGCAAGAGAGAAACATACACTAAATCAAAATGTTTTCTGATTAAAATGAAAAAGATTTTAATCAAAATATACTTTGCAAAAGTCATATCACAAACGAGAAAGAGAGATCAAATGACATATTACAAAAATAATTCAACACAAATTAATGTTTTTTTCTTTAGCCTTAATTTTAGTCCATACACTTTCTTCCCAGTGCAAATTTTTGATAACTGTACATTTAGTTGTGCAATGAAAACTCTCATCCCATTAGTACATCATTTATATAACAATTTACTTGTATTATAGATATGAATCCCATGCCATTTTCTTCTGAAATATACATCACACAAAATTTCATTTCTCACTTTTATTTTATACACCATCTTGTATCCCCAATGCTAATTGATATGATGTATAATCCCTATCAAATGGCAAACAGATTCCTTAACTTAACATTATGCACATTTTATCATGCACAACCCCCTGATATAGCATTTGATGTCTATAAATCAAATTTGCATTTATACAAATATGTCTCCTATTATTCATTCTTTCAAATAGTAATACAAGTGTATTAGAAATAACAATATATCCCAGTGTTAAATATATATACAATCTCATTTCACAGATGCACCAAGTGCGCTATTCAGTGGTACATTCACAATTAATCATACAATTCCATCATAATTCAGAATATTTAAATTTTAGACAATCTTTAATTTGCTTCAGCATACCATAATTCTGATGACAAAGACAAGACATTACTATGTAATGAGGCAGATAATGGTATCAACTAACTATAACTGTCTTACAAATGTTCAATTACATTGAATTTTCTAATCAGTTTTTTTTTTAATGCACATTTGAATCATATTGCAAAGGAAGAAAAGTATATAGTTGAACAAAATATTGTTTTAACAATAATGACAGTCACGATGATGAAACCATTACAAAAAGAAATGCATCAAACAAAAATGGGTATCTTTGATCCCGAACAGCAAGGCACTAATGTGCACAATATTACAATGATAACAATAATTCCATTTTGGAATGTTTATATATGTACTCTTTTTCATGTCTCAAAAATTATATTCAAACAACAAATTATCCTAAACTTTAAGTATGCTACTACTTAACTATAATTTTTTTTTTTCACCACAAAAAAAAAAAATTATATTTATAAACATTATTCTAAAATCTACATTGTCCTTTTTAAGGGCATTTACAACTAAATCATACATGCACATATATAATTCATTAATTAACAGAAATTAATATGTTTAAAACTATGGACAAATAGTCTTTTTTTTTTCATTGTTCAAAGTAAATAAAACACATTCAAAAATGTACTGCAAAATTACACACACAGATAGTTTACATTACACAAAATGCAACATACATTAAAACATGGTTGATAGGAACAACTGGAAGAAAATACAAAGTCAAAAACATTTCAAATTATTGTTGTTCCAATCAATCCTCTTTAACATTAGCTTTTCTCAGGTCTACAGGTATTTAATGATGTTTTTCTATAATATTCTGTGATATTTACTTAATCATATATTGAGCTGTCATTGTTCTGGTGAGGTTAATTTTTCAAAATAAAATGATTTTACAAAAATTGTGCACCAGTATCTTTTTTGGATCTAAATTATCAAACGAAAATGATTATTTTAATGCCCTGGAAGGAAAGCTGTTTCAGAGACGAAGGTAGAGTTCTAGCCAGGTAGTCAAATTCCTAACTTCATCATAGGACCCAACACCACAATTAACACCAAATGTCATACAAAGCTATTAAACCCTAAATCACAATCACAATTTTTCAAATAATGACAAAATAAGTCCTGGAGCAAATGCCACCCCCACCGGGGCATCATCTCCTGTCTAACAGCTACCCAACCTATAGTGATTAAAAAAGAGCTAGGGCTGGGCCCGTGGTATGAGGAATATTCTTTTAGTGCAAATATGCATGAATAATTTAATACCAACTGAAGTGCATAAGATGCCCATGATAAAGAACCATTGTGAGTGAAAGAAGAGAGATAGAGAGAAAACAACAGAGTGATTGCACTTGCACTTATTTTCAGTGTACAATCACTGTGTCTTCTAAATGGAGAATACATAATGCATCTGAAAGTGAAATAAATCAAGACAAAATCCCGAAAAAAATTATCCTTGACTGGTAAAATCAATATACCGGTACTTATTAGCTAGCTGGAGTAGCATCTCACAGAGCATTACGGGAACGGTGGGGCAGGCGTGGTCATATTGCTGCACCATGCGTCGGGTTTACAGAACGGATCCAAGCAGAAGCCAGGGAAGGAACAGCAGGTACAGATGGCATCATGGACGAGACACACTTCCGTTGCTAGGAAACAGCATCCCCTGTAGTCCCCACAGCATCCCCAGTCAGCCCCATCGATGAACCAGCCATCAGTGTACTGCATGAGGTATTGATAATAGGAATTTGAAAAAAGATAAGTATTTTTTATCATTAGGCTTAAAAAAAAAAAGAGATTTTGTATTGCCCTTTGTGACTGAACCTAAAATCCTGAAATCTACGGTCAGCTTTATTTTTTCTTTTCTTTTTTTTTTTTTACTGTTTCTTTTTGAATTTTTTTTTTAAAGCATTCAAAACTGAGAAATATCAGCCCAAAGAGGGAGAAAAAAGAAGAAAAAATTATTTAAAAAAAAGATTTCCGACCAACCGACCCATGTTATGTCACCTAAAGAGCAATACAACATCTTTTTTTTAGGCCTTAATTATAAATGATTTGGTATCATCTGTGGCTGGAAGAAGAAAAGCAAATCGAATCACTATAAACCCTCAAGTTTCTCCGGTAGAATAGAATGCAGAGGTGCTAGCATCATATTAGCTCATCGTCTAGGTTACTGGTTCTAAACTAAGGAGCTTGCGCACAATGTTCACTGGGAAATCATTCAAGCAACAAGCAGGGCAAATTCAGTGTTTGGGGCTCGCGAGATCACCATTGTTTGGAACCAGCAACCATGACAACTTGGCCAGTATGACGTCACACATTTTTTTAAAATTCTTTAATTTATTTTTTACCAGTGTTCTTTTGATATCTTAATAATGTAAATGAATCAAATAATTATTTTTAAAAAAAAGGAATTTCCTTACGTCACAATACAAAGAAAAAGACTTTCAGTTTCATTTTAAACTTCACTTTATACTTCAAACAACATTGAAAATGAATTCTTTACAAATAGAATTTCACTCACAATCCATGAGTTGCATCCTGGTTGAAAACAGCTGATGTTGCCACATGCGATCAGTCTTGCTATTTCCTCAGCTAACTTGGAGTTGTTTCCAGCCCCTAGACCTAGGACATCTTCCACAAGCTCTGTTGTTTCCTCCAGATCAAGACCACTGGTATCCTTGTCCAGCAAATGGACTGAGACCATGCAACGATACAAGACAGAAAGCTATTAATGAGAATGTAAAGTACTATTTTGACATAATTTCTCATATATTTAAATAACAAAAATATATTACACTGTACATACTCAAACTGTAAACATACAACTGCAAACTGTAATGGGAAGGTCAGTGAAAGAATCAAGGAAGACATAATCCTCAAGCTTGCTACCATTAACATACCAAGATTCATAGAGTAATTATGTAATACATTCATAGAGTAATTACATAATACATTCATAGCTATGATAATCATTTCTCTCATCCAATTCTTATCTTACATTACATGTATGTTCACCTAACCCAAGATTTTTGCTGATCAATGCTACTTTTACATAAATTTCTCATATATTTGAATAAAACTGCAAACTGTAATGGGGGAAGTCATTTAAAGCCTCTTGTTATGACATACCTAGATACCACTTTATCTTCTTTATACATTCCACATCCTTGCAATCGAAGAGTTGTGATGAAAGGACCTTCTTTGCATGGTGGCTGTATTCCTGCTGACACGCAAACAACCCCTGGAAGTCATAAGCTTGGTGAGCCGGACACGCGCCCTCTGGTGAGACTCCCTTCGAGAGACGGAGGGCCGTCCTGGCGATGGAGTCGTGGTAGATGAACCCTGCCCTCCCCTGGTTGAATTTGTGTTGCACATCAGCGATTGGAACCAGAGAGCTGATCATGACATCATAAAGGTGGACTAGGTCAGAGAGGTCAAGTACTGTAAATGTTGACACCTTCTGAGAGGCCTTTAACATGTCCTTTGCTGCAGAGGTTATCCTCCCTTCCATATCTTGAACAAACAAAATAAAAACAAACTTGCTGTTATGTAAATGTACCTTGTCAGTTATCACTAGGGCAAAGTCCTAGATAATTTTCTTGATTTCGTAACTACAGTATCTTAGAGGTAAAAAACAAAACAGATACAAACAAAAATATAACAAATATAAAATAACTTTTTGTTCATAATAGCTCTTTTGGGACTTATCATAAAAAACATCAGATTTCCACCCTGCAATTAATGTGTTTCTTCAAATTTTCCTGACTTCTTTTTAATGTTTCAAAGTTCTTTTGGTACTGTTTAAGAGCTACATTACTTTCTGCTCCAATGAACTTCTTCTTTTTTTTTTTACTGGTCAAAAAGTAACCAATGCAGATTTTTCAAACATTAAATGGGGGGAAAAAGTCCTTTGTAAAATACTTCAGAAGTTGTATTTAAAAAAAGGAATATGTTTAAAGGAATTTGGGTACTGAACTTACACATTCAGGGAGGTAAACAAACTTTTATTCACCTCCCAATATTTCACAGGAATATCTTTACAAGACTATTTCCCAATAATATTACAGAGAATACTTTTTAACGTCTATTTCTCAAAGTCCCCTTAATATCACATGTCTAAGTTTAAATGTTATCTGAAAAAAAGCATGGCCTCTCCTTGAATGATGATAGTTAAAAAAAATAATCACCTGGAATTTTTCGCCCATACAAGTACTTCTTTGGAATCACAAGCTTAGAAAGAACTAAGGGCAGCTCATTCTTTACAATTCTATCTTCTAAATCAATCAAAGAGATCAGTGAAACAACGTTCCCTGCTTCCTCATCTCCCGCTTTCCACAATGTCGATAGTGCTTCATCCTGGACATAGGAACTGATGTTGAAGAGTAAGCCTCCAGACTTGAAGATTGCACTGATGCTTTCCGGAGAGTTGGTGGTGAACGACTGAAGTTCAACATTCTGTCCCTTCTCCTCGGAGGTGAACTCTTTTGCCGTCGTCACTGCCAGGAGCAACAGGGCAATTTGAAGAGGATTGATGTATTGAAGCATGTCTAGAGGAAGGGTTGAGAAGAGAAGTAGGTAGTCAGATGAGACACGTACTGAAGAAGAAGAAGGAGACATGTGATGTGTTTGGATTAATTTATAAATCATGAAAACATTTTTAAAATTCTTGAATCTAAGTTCTTGCCAAAAGTAAAGGTTATAGTCTAAAAGTCTAAAACTTAAGGGTACAACTCTAAAAAGGAAAATGAGGCTAATTGCTTGATTAAATTAAAGACGAGGTCATTTGAAGTGTATAAAATATAAATCTTACTCCTTTTCAACAAAATAAGTGAACTCATTTTAGACCCCTACATCTTGTTTTATACAAAAAAAATCAATATGGAAATCATAATAATTAAACTAAGTTACAGTCTGAATGCACAATTTCACATTTTTTTGGGCTTTGAATTTTTATTCTTGACTTAGTTTAAGTAATATAATGAAATAATGAATAAAATTTCTGTTGACTAGTGAGTGATAGAAATTAGACACATTTAAGAGTAACTTACCTTCTGCCTTTCAAAGACTCAATTAGCAATTACAGCAACAACAACAACAAAAGGTCAGAAAACTTTCTTGCCAATCTCCAGCGCAGTGAACGTACTTGCTAGCTGTACAGCGACTCAACTAGCCGGTCAACCAGTGCAGTGCATCCAGTAGCACACCCACCACACGCCCGTCACGAATCACGGTATAGATCTACGCGGTAACCGCTCGCTGAGGAATAATCAACGAAGTCACCAAAACTAATTTAGACCTAGTCGATTGACTTCATTCAGGTCTCCCAAATTTGTTGAGAAGATTAATACCTGAACTATTACATTACCACCGGCTTGTGATGAAACCTTTTAATTTGCTTTGATAAACTAAATGGAAAGAAACCAATGTTTACGTCTACAGAGTAGAGACGAAATCTGCCTGTGATGAGTCATGTGATCATTGCATACTCATAGTAACTAATATCACGTGATCACAGAACATGTGTTCCTGCATTTTCATTCATTCGTACACGACTCGTGTGTGCGGCATGAATATATATCAACAATGCATGTCAACGACAATTAGACAATCGTGGACTGCCTGACTGACGAATTCGAAGTTGAAAGTGAACAGTTTAAAGTTCATTATCGCGGTGAGTGATTTTCATTCTAACAATCTAGCTAGTTCAGGCCAGGCACCTGATTTAAATAAAGTCTGAAAAATCAATGACAATAATACATTAGATCTAATCATTATCAAAATGATCGACTGGCAGCTAGAGCTCAGCCTCGCGCTTTCGCTAGTTTTCGCTCAATTTCTTTTTTCTGACCTTTGTTTATGAAATTATGATTGAAAAGATACAATATTGACAGTCCTCCCCTCCCCCCACCTCCCCTCCCCCCACCTCCCCTCCCCCTCCCCCCACCTCCCCTCCCCCTCCCCCCACCTCCCCTCCCCCTCCCCCCACCTCCCCTCCCCCCCCCCCCCCCCCCCCCCCACCCTTAATAGTAAGCAAATAACTACTGTTGGTGAAGGTGATGGGACAAACTATCACTTCCGAGGCGATCTAGATGTAGCTATCTTCAGGCGCGTAGCCAGAGTTTGATGTTTGGGGGGGCACATACATGTAATCGATCGAGGTCAAAAAAAGGGGTCTACAAAATTTCAACCGATCCTGGAAATTTTAGGGGGGGCACGTGCCCCCCCGTGCCCCCCCGTGGCTACGCGCCTGGCTATCTTTCCGAAGCGAAGCTGAGGAAAGATAGCGACATAGCGTATACATTCAGATCGCTGAGGAAGTGATAGTTTGCCATCGCCTGAAACCAAAAGGTGATTATTTGCTTTATATTCCACATCTAAAACAATTTAACTACACAAATAAAAAGGACGTGTATGCATCTAGATCTACATTAAAAAAAGTTTAAGTTTAATCCAACCCCTTGAGGGTACGGTGCGCGCATGTGTTTTCTTTAATTGCGCTCATTGGTAATGCGCGCTTAATTACGCCTGTTTTAGTGCGCTTTTGGATAATCTTCAGTGAAAGTGCGTTGCCCTTTGTAGATAGTACCTCTTTCTTCAGTGAAAGTGCGTTGCACTGTGTAGATAGTAGTACTATCTACACAGTGTAACAAACTTTTTGCTTCCCCCATCAATAATGGGCGAATTATCTTTCATCACATGATTTACGTTTGACCAATCGTAGAGCATGATTCTTAGTATGTGGAATATAATTGTCCATATCTTTTTGACAGTTGAATACGCATTTATTTAGATTGAAAGCTTCAGTCTATATAATGACTTATGTTATGATATGACTACGTCTGGCTCCACTGAGCCGACTCTGTATGGGGGGGGGGGGGGTGGGGGTGATCTGCTCGCTATTCACAAGGACTGCTATTTATAAAAGGCTGCTATTCATTTAGTGGTCCTTATGACTAGGGAGGTAAATTGTCTATGGTGGTTTAATTACTGGTTATTTAAATTATAAGGGCTGCTACCATATTCATAAAGGATCGCTATTCATAATTGTGTCGCGCATTATGGATAGCGGTCATTATGAATAATGGTTCTTTTGAATAGCGGTCCTTATCATTGATAGCAAGCTTGACCTGTATGTTTATTTCTGTCCATTAGACTATTACAGTTTACACAGGCCTGTGTATTAACACTGATTGTGAATTGATGGGCCAATTCCTAAAAAATACCCCGTATGCCGCAATCATATATGTAATCATAATGGTAGCTACAATGTAGATGAAGTGATAAACTGGTAAGTGAGCATGAGCAGAGAAATTGCTGGAATATTAAATATTTATAAAGACAAAATATATTTGTTGAAATATCAGTTGTTCATAACATTTAACATTAATAACATCTTTGTCTTTCTCACACCACAGACCAACAACATCTGCAAAGATGCAGTCCAAAAATCTTTTGATGCGTCTCCTGAATCTGTCCCTCCATCATGGAAGACTTCAGAAGATGTGCTGTGGAGAACAAATTCCAAGACTCTCCAAAACCAATCAAAGATTACCAGATTTGAGCAAGAGAACAAGACAGTTCCATTTTACTGCTCGTGGACAAAGTACTACAGATGATTCTGCAGGTGAGGAAGATGCAGCTAGAAGCGATGCATCTGCAAAAAGAGAGAGTTATCTGGAAGCAAGGAGAAAGGGTGTCCTGATGGGTCGACGAAGACTCTCCCCGATGGAAAGAGTAGGTGGTATGCTAGAAACCAAGACAGATTTTGGAGTCCAAGATCTTACTAGGGATCTCAGAACTTCTGGCAACAGAGATGCTAAAGTTGTAGAAAAAGTTGATGATGATGAAACAGATTCATCTCGGATAAGTGACCACAACCATGAGGAAAGCTTTGAAACCTCAGTATATGGTGATAGTGTCACAGGAGGGAACCACTTTGATAAAACCCAGCATCGGGGACCACCACTTGTGGATGGGGAATACATCATCATCACTAGAGAGAACTTGAAGAGGCAGGAGAAACTGGTTCGCCTTATCAAGCTTGATGCCAGGCTGGAATTCAAGTGCAAGTTTGGTAACCTTCTGCATGCTGACATCATAGGGCACCAGGGGGGCAGTGTCTTTGCCACTGATATGGACATTGAGCTGTTGATCAGGAGACCAAGTCTGGATGAGTTTGTGCTCTACATGAAGAGGAATCCAGTCATTGCATATCCAAAGGTAATTGCATGCATAAGGATTATTTATGTTGATGAATAATAAACTGAGTATACCTATGTACATCAAATTGCTTTGAACAGACCAACAATATTATGCCATTTCTAATTTTCTATCTTTTTTTTTCATTGCATAACATTGTTTACTTTGTCCTAGAATTTTCATTTTAACCAGTTTATGGTACGTTCTACTCTAAATGACTAAATCTATCTTGTTCTTGTACGTATAGGATTGCTGTACGATGCTTATGATGATAGATGCTTGTCCTGGTGATGTGGTCCTAGAAGCAGGTTCAGGGTCCGGATCTATGACATTGTTTTTGTCTCGAGCAGGTAGGTTTACTTCAGTTAATGCTGGCTGATATCAAGAAAATGCAGGATTACCGTACATTTAGCTGATTTAAAAATATTAGAAATCTTAATATAAATGTGTCCTAAGAATATATAGATATATTTTGTATGTATTCTGTAGAGCCGAAAAATACTAATCAGGTAATTCAGAATGATGGCTTTTTAGCTCTTTATTGTACAAAGCTTTTTTTTCTTCATACTGAAGCTTATCTTATGAAGGATGTAAACAACCACCTCATTTGCATTAAAAGTTTATTGGTGCATTGTTTTAGGTTGTAAATACCAGTCATAAATATTAACCTTAACACTAGATGTTCCAATTTTTATTTCTTCATTGAAAGATTATTGGTACATTGTTAGTTTATAATTACCAGTCGTAAATATTAAACTGAGCACTAGATGTTCCAATTCTTATTTCTTCATTGAAAATTTATTGGTGCATTGTTAGTTTATAATTACCAGTCATAAATATTAAACTGAGCACTAGATGTTATAATTCTTATTTCTCTATTAGGATTTATCTGACATAATTCATTATCTTTAATGTGTTCGTACAATGTTAGTACCTCATATCAGTCCAGGGGGTGTTCCACTAAAATACTTGAATTTTAGCTTTTGAATATAATTTATTTTAAGGCTACAAATGGCTCTCCATAATGTTTAAGACCAACTTAGAGTTAAGTTGGACTTGAGATCTTTGTGAAACACCCCCAGGGTATGTTCATACTCACCCCTCTTGAGGAAGGGATACACATGTGACATGTCAATAATCAACATTTTATTGCTATTTCTTTTGTTTTTTTAAGTTGGACACCATGGCAAGGTTCTCTCCTTTGATAAATTACCGACTCATCAGGTGAGAGCAGAGAAGAACTTAAAACTCTGGCAGACATCATATGACATCAGTAATCAAGTCAAGTGGCCTCAAAATGTATCATTTTACCCATGCAGATTACAGGACTGTGGAGAGTACATCAAAGATGCTCAAGTGGATGGGGTAAGAGGGAAAATGGTTATTTACTAATTCGCAGGCTCAAACAGAAATAAATACTTTCCTATTTAACCTGCCGTGTGTTTAGAACTATGTTAGTAAACATATAATCTTTATTAACTTTTGGAGAGCACCGAACTTCAGCGACGAGCACTATACGCTCTTGCCTCCCCACGTCGGTAAGAGGGAAAACAGAAGTTTCTTGCTTATTACTTATGCCTATGTTCATATCAAATCATGCCAAAAGTTTGGAAAACATTGTGTTTTGGTTGAATTCAATTGATTATAAAAGGTCTCTTTCAAAGGCACACTGTCCTACTTGTAGCTACTTGCTCCCTCTATATAGAAAACTTCCCCAATCGGTGCCTGTTGGTCCCCCATGATCCTCTTTTCTTATGTTAAATGAGAGCTGAGTTAATGAGATAATGAGATAGCCACCTGTTGCAGTGACCTCGCTGGCTCGCTGGGCGGTGTAATCCCTTCTGGTTGAAGTAGTAAAGCCTGCCTTTAAAGTGAATGAGGCTGTAAAGAAAAGGTTTCCTAACCAGTGAATGTACACTGTATTCGTAGTGAAATTACAGGGAAAATTTGAATGGATATTTGAGCCTATTTTATAATCAAATGTTAACATATATCAAAATAAGATGTGGTTTGCCAATTAAAAAAACATGATTTTTAAAGTAATATTTTTTTTTCATCATGCCAATTACAAACTAAGGAAAGTCGATAGATACTCTCTACTATTATTTTGCGGTTGAGCCATAACAAATTCTGTGTATACATGTCGCCAAATAAACACTCTTTTTGCTGTTTATCCATTTTCAAACCAGGCAATCATTGACATGGAGTCGCCTTCTACAGTGATGACCACTATGTCTCAGAGACTCAAGTCAGGCAAGGCAATGGCTGTATATGTTGCAAAGTAAGTTCTGCTAGTTGGTATGCCTTAAAAGTTCAAACCCTTCAAAATGTCCCTTTAACCCAATTCTAAATTGGCTTGTTGGAGCCGTTCATGTTTTAAATGTAAATTTGTTATAACACGAAAATAGCTTTAATAAAAAAGGAGGAGGGGTCTTTTCGCTGTAACCCGTTCCCCCTACTGGCGGCAACACACCTTCTTACATAATGTACAGTGTATACTAGAATGAGTCTAGTCACAAGTTTTTCATTGGATGATCTGCACTTAAAGATTCATCTTTGGGCTATTAATGATTATCTTGTTTAACTTCAATGCAATATTATGAGACATTAATTATGTCATTAACTGAAGACTTGTACTGAAGGGTACATATATCCATGAATATTTCCAATAAATGTAGCATTTAGATGACAGTGTGTGCTCTGCAGTTTATTCATCAAGTTATATGAAGTAAATGTTGGTTATTTTTCATCAGCTTACATATTTTACCAGTCTAGTCAGAAGTTTTTCATTTGATAATCTGCACTCAAAGAATTATCTTTAGGCTATAAAGTATTAATGATGATTAACTTGTTTAACTTCAAGGCAATATGTCTAGTCACAAGTTTTTCATTTGATAATCTGCACTTAAAGATTTATCTTTGGGCTATTAATGATGATTATCTTGTTTAACTTCAATGCAACATCATGAGACATTATTTAAATATGTCATTAACCAAAGACTTGTACTGAAGGGTACATATATCCATGAATACTTCAATAAAAGTAGCATTTAGATGACAATGTGTGCTCTGCAGTTTATTCATCAAGTTATATGAAGTAAATGCTGGTCATTTCTCATCTACATTCAGTCTAACTCTGGTGATTGACCTAGCCGAGGTCATTCGCAAAGAGAGACTTCCGCTCGTCACGGAGACCATCCTGGAAGTCACTCACAAGGAATGGGTCGTCAACCCAGCCAGGAGGCATGCTGGGATTGTTCTTCAAGAGTCCAAGACAGCAGACGGAGAGGAGTTCGGCGATGACGGGGTGGTAGGAAAGGGCAAAGGTACATGGCATGCATAAATCTTGATGTACATGTAAAATAGCTAGTGTTGCTTTGTTGTGTATTAGCTGATGACTTACTATAAAGTAAAGTACAGGTATTGCCACTATATAATTTTGAGTGCAATCAAGGGTTACCGGTATATTAATAAAATTGGGTATATTTAGTGCACTGATCCATGAAATGCCAATTGTTGACCTGTTGATCACATCAGTATCAATTTAAAACTAAATGAATGTATTTGATTTCTTGACTCGATTCATTTGCATTATTAGTCGAGTGACAGTATTATAGCCACTTATATGGAGTAAAGAGCTCAACACTCTTGTTGCTCCATTAATCAGTGGACTATGTTCAACTTGAATAAGCTTTTGTGTATTCCAGCCGAATATTTATATATATATTTTTAGTTTAGCTGATTACACTTTTAGGTATTTCTCTAAAAACTTGACATTGGGGACTAATTTTATACTTTGCATTCCTCCCCTTTAACTCTTCCAGGTGTGCAGTACATAGCAGATGAAATACCCAAATACCTTGCCAGGCCTCACCACATTCAGTCATCTCACACTGGTAAGAAAATACAATGAAGCATGACCCTAAAGACTGCATTTCTTGTCTCCCTTAGACAGTTTTGATATTTATGATTTGTTAGCTTTCTTCGCCTCTCTGCTAGGTTGCTCCGAGGTCAACTATTTAAAACACAAAGAATGTAAGAGTGGCTAAATTTTGTTCTGGGAGTTTTTAAGTTGACAATTCATGTGCAAACAGTTTGAACTCTAATGATTAAAATTGAATATCTTACTCCCTTGCAGTTTCTCCCCATTTCTGAGTGTACAACATTTTTTTCAATCAAATTATGTGTATTGTACTTTATTTCTTGAATCACTTGATGGTCGTATGCCCACAATTATACAATTTTCACACAACTACGCCAGGAGTATCAATTTTGACAGACATGGCCCATTATAAATGTTCACTATTATTATTAATCCTACTGGTAAACACTTTGTTTTCTTGTTTTACAACTTATTCCCCATTACAGCATTCTTGGTGAAAATAAGGAAAATCAGGAAATCTTCATCAACGTTCAAGGTTTGATGTTTACGATGAAGAATAATTAACATCAGGCAGCTTATGATGGATTTTGTAATATCAGATATAAATCTATTTTAATCTTTGATATAAATAAACATAGAAATATTAAAAACTTTCATAAATTTGATAAATTATTGTAGCACACAATGTACATCATTCTGAATGGTATATACAGAAACAGTCTATGTATTACTATGAGCATGAACTAAAATTGTTACCAGGAGGAATAATTTACGGTAAGTTAGTAATGAAGTTTAAAATCCTTTAAAAAAGGGAGAAAAACTTGTAGTTACAATAATATTCACTTTGGCATAACATTTTATCTGCTTTATTTATCATCTTTACAAATATCTCTAAGCTCCTTTTTTGTAATTAATAGTTTAATTCTCTATACGATTTGGATTCAAAGATAATTGTGAAGTTGTAAGTAAATAAACTTGACTAACATACTCATTCATTGTTCACTCTGGTTTCTTACAAGTCTCAGCTCAATGTACGCATGGAAAATACATCTTGAAGGAAAGAGTTTGTAATATTTGGAAAGCTTCAAACTTTTTTTTCTAAAGAACAAAGGTCAGCCATTATATGTACAATACATGTACATTATCAAAATCTTTTTAAAATAAATTTATTTATGTACCAATTTTTTCTGATTGTTCTTTTACCCGAGTCTTGGCAAAATCACTTTAGTATTTGTTTTAGCAAAACTATTTTTTAACAACAGACTAGTCACATACATGTAGATGCACTGTAAAGCAATAACCAATCATGTTTACTTCATTCAATATATATATATATATGAATAATAAATACAACAATATAAATATTTCAATATTCAGTAAAACAATATTTAAATAGTTCCATGAAATAAGATTTCATAAATATATTACTCCACAAGTCATAAATACTTAGTAAATATAATTTAAATTGTTTTGTACATGTATAATATATTTAAAAGTTCTTTTCCTTACTACAGAATAAATAACAATGTGTGGAAACGGAATATCTCATTCCCACTCTACTACAAAACATAACTCCAGTTGCAAGTATTTTTAAATGTCACCATTCAGAATGTAATTTTTCATAATTCCTTCTAAGGATATATCATGCTTTTGTACAGTCAATGTCAATGCTAGAATTTTATTTACAAACTGATACTCCAAAAACAATAAATAAAAGCATCTCTGTCCACATCTTGGAATGTACCTATCAGTAACCTACCTTAGGTCGTCTATGAATAAATAGAAAGTACAAAGTTACTTGGGTATAATATACATGCTATAAAGGCGATACCATATACATATATGTATATTGTACAAAGACCAATGTGGTGGAACAGAGAACTGCTAGCCACAAAGTGACCTCACTTAGGATTCTTATGTAGCTCCATGGGACTTTGGCTACAAATTACCTTGCAGCTCAACAAAAGTAGCTCCATATAAACAAGACTTTTGTTTCATTTAGTAAAAATACTCCTCATTCAAAACATAAAATAGGCACATATGCAAGTCTTTTTGCTATCAACCAGTCACCAAGCTGGCATCGCCTGGCAACTATCACATCTTATACCATTTCATTATTAAGTACTTAGTTTGTACATGGAGCAAGATGAACAGCTTTCAGAATACCGCCCTTGGTCAAAAATTTACTATTAATCAAACAAACTGTATTAAGTAGTCAAAACTTAGACTACTTTCTTTGTGGTCTAAAACGAGTATGGTATTGAATCTACATGTACTCCATCAAATTTAGCCATACACCGACTGATGACTGATTTGGTGTAATCCATGTCATTCATCTCTGGCAGCCCAGATGGAAGCTTCCTCAAAGTTGAAGCCCCCAAGACCTGAAAGAAACAAGTACAAGTACATGTAATGAAAAGCTTATAATTCTTGAGTTAGAGACAATAGAACAAATTCTTATTGATGTAGTTGACATTTTGAAAGGTTTTAGCAAATTGGGGAAGGCATGTGCTGTCCCCGATCCCCCACATGCACACTCAGGAAAAGATTGAAGACGGAAAGACAAAGTATAAGGAAGGAAGGAAGCATGATAAAGAAGATGATATGACCCCCTTTCATATAATTCCCTTACTTAACCCCCATTTTGTGCATTTTATCCACCTATTTAGTCAAGAGACAACCCTATCCCCTTATAATACCAGTACCCCTCCTTGGTAGGACCCACACTTTATCACTGACTGAGGGTAATCTGTTAGAAATGTGTGACTCCGCAAGGATGAAATGGAATTTAAAATGTACCTTTAGTGGGTAGCACTTCCAATTTAGAATATGATGAGCTGTCCATTTCTTCAACGCTTTCTGTGGAGCTATCTGTGCACGACGACAGGTAAAGGAAGCCACTATCTGGACTCTGCTGGATGTCAACGTCAAAGGAAAAGCTCCCTGCCTTCTCACACGCTCTGCAATGGACGGGTGTTGCATCGGGACCCATGGGTATGGCCTCGTTGTCATCATCGTAGTCGGGGTACTTCCTGACGGCTCCGGCATGGTGTGGCATACGGTCACGCTTCCAGATGATGTGGTCTGGAACCAAGCTCATGACCTTCATTGAAAATACATAAACAAGATGATGAGTACCTACAGCTTTTAGAAATTAATCCCCAAGCTCTAATATGTCAACTGTATTACATCATAATTCCATATTGTATGGCTTAATTGGTTTGTATGAAAATTATAGTTAATGTCATTCTGTTTTCAAAATAACAAAAAAGTTATGTAGGGTTATGGATCATGTTGGGAAAAAAAAAGCTTTAAAAAAAAAAGAGGGAATGGCTGCTGTAAGACTTTTAAGATAATTTATTCATATACCTCTTCACAGCACTTCCTACTGACTGCAGCTCTGTATTGGATAGTCCTTAGCAGCCTGTCCCGCTTGCGAAGAAGGCCAGGATAAGTATTTCTCCAGTTTCTCCCCAGTGCCCACGGGAAAATGTTGTACTTGTCATCCTCTTCATCTTCTTCCATGTCGCTTGCCAAATACCTAAAGGATAGTTTTATATGAACAGAGCAGTACATTGTAAATAGTGAACTACTTATATGTATGTAATGAAGAAATCAAATATTAGCAGTGTCATGTGTGCCACTCAAGTCACCCCCTGGAAAACCTAGGGTGAGTTACTGTCTACCCATGCTGCCAAGATGCTAAATGAAAAATCTCACTGTAATTCTTGTCTCACATGAATTGTGCGCTGTTCAACATACAGTAAATAACCATAGTAAGCTGAGGTTAGCAAGTTAAGCAATTGCCCAGCTGGCCACCCAATTATCAAAACTTAAGTGAGACTTGTTTTTTAATACAGGATTGGAAAAATGTCTTTATGTTTGAAAATTACCTATTATTTTTTTAATAAATTATATCATGTAAATTTCAAAAAAAATAATGTAAATTTCACATTGAGATTCACATTCCTTTTACTTTCAGGATATTATTGATTAATGTCATGGTATCGCTCTTAAAATGACATACTTACAGTGCTACAAAGAAGTTCATTCTTGTATATTGCTTGATAGTGTACTGTGCTCTCTTGAAGTAAGCAAAGACCATGGCCAAGAGATACTGTAATGAAAACAAAATGAAACTAAGTTGATTTAGGCGGGGCAATGCTCTTCATTGTGAGGAAAAACACTTCTTGTTAAAGTTCTACTTGATTCAAAATATTTCTTGAAGGATTCTTTTTCAATAGATATTGACAAGTATTTTCAACATTTCTAAAGTCAAAATTAATGCTGCAACTGTTTGATCAGACAACAGATAAAGGTGTGCATTCACTTATTTTGTTAGGATGGTTCAGCAGAACATTCCCTCAATGCTGCAGGAGGCCCAACAAAAATAATCCAGTCCAAGCTTATTCTTCTAATCAGTTCAATGTCCATCTTAGAATTGAATCCCAATCATGAAGAGGTGTGCAGAGAAAGCTCTAAATCTTCATTGTGCTTTGTGAATTTAGAATATGTCAAGATCTACTGTAGATTTCCATAGCAATTAGCATTAGAATGAAGGGGGAGGGCAAGAAATACATAAGTCATCAATAACGGAAATCAATGACTGATGTATTTCTTGCCCTCCCCCCTTCATTCTAATGCTAATTGCTATGGAAATCTACAGTAGATCTTGACATATTGAGGTTCACAAAGCATGCAAAGAGTACCGCGTCTCAATTTGTATTAATATGTTAGGGATTCCCAGAGACTTGGCTCTAGAATCTAGAGTCTACTCTAGACCCTAGATCTCCTTTGAAAATAATTAGCTTTATATTTCATGTAATGTAGATCTATGATTATGTTACATAGACCTATGTAAAACAAGAATAAATTGTACAATGGTCAAGTAAATAAAAATGTGTCCCACCTTGTCTGCTGTTTTGGCACAGCAGTCCATCCAGAGAAAATCTTGAATAACATCATCATCTGCAATTGTAAACACGCTGATTAATTAGCATGGATCATTTACATTTCTTCAAATTTACTGTTGGACCTCTGAAATTAACTGACTGGATTATAACCAACATGTCCGGACAAAATACTCCTCTAACTAGAGACAAGTAAACATTAGCCTAGACTAGAATCTAGACTATTATTTACAGACTTTGAATTTTTAATATTAATAATCTAAGTTTGTTCCCCACTCCTGTAAATACCCCTGAAATTGCCTTTTCGAAGACGAGTAGCTCACCAAAAAGCCGGAAAAACGCAGTTATTTCTTCCGATGTGACGATCATCTTTTGTGGCTGTTTCCTTCTGAAGCAGGAATTAAAACGCACAGGTGCAGATATTTCATCATTCTCAGCTCCGGTTAATTTATCGGGGAAGACCGTTTCTCTGGATGTGCCTGACCTTCCACCAGCTCCGCGAACTGACAACATTTTGGCAGTTTTCTGCAGAATTCCTGGTACTTTAATTGGCTGTTGAATGCCTTTCATGCTTCTTTACGAGACACTGTTCACGACAATATGCCTCGGTACCTCATACAACTTCTAGCTTGATCCGGATGTCACTATATTGTATAATATTCCTCCTTCTTTGTTACTTGGCTTGTCAGTTTTCAAGGCAGGTACTAGCTGGATCCTGTCGCTTCTCAACGTCAACAACCACACGGACGGGTGATTAGATGCGGGCGCGGCCGGGCTAGCTAGCTAGGGCCACAGGACAGTCAAACCAGGTACCCTGGCTCACGATTACTCGTATGCGTTGCATGCATAATCGCAGCAGCTGATCAGTGACGTCGAAGCTAATTGTGCGTAGAATTTTAAATGCGCGTATACTACGCGCTAGTACGTGCAGTATATAATGTACGTAACAGCGCGCGCGTATCATCAATCGAAGACACTCCCTTTATTACGTCATAAGTTTGTATTGTTCGCTCAAAATTTTATTTCATTCGAGTTTTCGCGCCTTTTGCAGTACTACATCATCGAATTTTGAAGATGTGTAACTTTTCTCTGTCTTGCATGGAATTTTTAATGCGTTTTCCTCTTTCTTTGTATTTTCTGTTGTTAATGTCGTTAATATTATGTACCAGCTTAGCTTAGGCCACAACACACAAGACCAGACTTCAAGGAGTAGGCTAATTTGTTGACTATATTCATTCCGAAAATCTGTGAAAAACTAAACAGGAGGGTCGGTCAGTTCGTCAGAGTTTTAGATGATTTTTTTTTTTTTTTTGGAGGGGGGGGGGGGGGGTGGGGGTTTTGAGGCCTTAGATAAAGAAAGAGAAAGGTTGTGTCTATTTCTTTTGTTAACATATTGATAGTAGATTTCAGCAAGTACAATCAAAACACAGATGGTCGTCTGCACACAATATGTGAAGGTTATTGTTTTACTTGTGTCTTTAACATGTTTAGGTTTCTACAATATATAGTTTCTGTTCAAATAACTCATGAACGAAATGGTAATTTGACACAAAGTTTCACCGTCAAGAAAATTGCAATACATGAGACAAATACACTTTCTGCACAATCAGAGCACCAAGTTTGTGGGCAAAGTTTGTTCAGAGGACACTTCATTTTTGTTGGGGGCCTGATATACCTCTTGCCTCTTTTTTTAAATATTTTTTTAGGGGGGCGTCTGGGGGTTCAACTCGATAGCAGCTATATCATGCGGACACCTGCTAGCCAATGTCTTAAAGGGAAAGTCCACCCCCAAAATAAGTTTGTTTCGATAGAGGCAGAATAATAAGAAAATCAGGTGAGTGAAAGTTTGAGCAAATTCTGAATGAAAATAAGAAAGTTATGAATTATTGAAGTTGTGATCAATCCGAAATACAAATTGGCAACTCTGTGACTTATTATACGAGCTCTCCTTCATTTGCCACGGTGCATAATATTCCATAAAATCATGTTTTCTTCGTTATTGATGACGGAATATATATTTGTTCCTTGCAGGGGGAGTGTAGAAACATATTTGCAATTATTATATTTAGGGTGCATGTATGGTTGAAATTTTTTTGAGGGAAAATGAAATATTTAGATTTTTTTAGTACTGAGCAAATGGAAGTTGAGCTCGCATGATACGTCATAGAGTTGCCAATTTGTGTTTGATTGATCACAACTTCAAAAATCCTAACTTCCTTATTTTTAATCGGAATTTGCTCAAACTTTCACTGACTTGTTTCTCTCATTTTTCTACTACTATTAAAACTAACTTAATTTCAGGGTGGACTTCCCCTTTAAAATTGCGGGTCTATAGGGAATTGTACATATCCTAAACAATATAAATGTGTCTCCAAAAATATCTGTGCCCCTGCAGAAATATTATAGAGCCTATATACAGACCCCCCCCCCCCCTCCTTTCTATTTTACTTGCATGGTGCACCTCCACCCGAGAAAAGGGTCAAACTTATGTTTGATTAGAAGAAAATGTAATATGACAAGCTCCGGTGGGGAATGCATGTTGAAAAGCTATTTTGTTATCTGTGGCTGTCACTGCTTTTTAATGATCCCTCAAAGTTTAAATCCATCCCAATTTTTTGTATAACTATGGTTTCAGTGAATTTTTTTTTCTGGGCATCTCGAACAGTCAGATGAGTCCATGAATAATGTTGTGTAGGGAACTTATTTTGGTTCGTTGTTGGTCAGACAACATGTGATGCGACATTGTCTTTATGGTTGTTATTATACTGCATGCATGATTAGGACTCCTAACTACACAGGTTTTCCCGTTGAACTGGAAGTTTTTAATGTCTTCATTTTTCATCGAATTCATAAATGGTTTCCATATGCTTCTCTTCGGCTTCCAAGTGATCACCTTGGGATAATCTTTGCTCCAAAGCGTGTTCACCTTTCTGAAGATGGCAGCATGACCCTTGCGCCAGTCACGATCGAGGTTCTCTCTTCACCATGAGATGGAGGACACAAAGCTGTCCTGCTGAGTGCTAACTTTGTCCATCTGCTCAAGAACGGTGTACCAGGTCAGGAAGTTGCTGTTCATGTCTCTGAGGAAATATTCTGTTTATTCACAAGCCTCTCACACTTGACATTGATGACCTCCGTCTTTGTCAGACAAGAACCTGGAAGTCGAGGAAAAGGACCACAAGAGTTACGTGCTGCTCGTCGGAGTGCCCTCTCTAGTTGGCTGCTCATGTTCTTTGAAAGCTGAACCATGTCTCTCAGATTCTGAAGGACCTCCGTTGGTGGACACTTTCGCAAGATGGTGTCCATGTCGAGATGGTCATCGCCTTCTTTGTCATTATTCTCATAAAGGTCAAGCTCTTCTGCGAGTTCAGGATCGTTCTTCACTGTTGTTTCTTCATTTTTGACCCAGGGAATGTCTTCTTCATAATTACTATCAAGCTTGCTAATAAGGTCCTTTGTTTCTAATTCGGGGAAATTCTCTTCACCTGTTCTTGGATCTGCTCTTCCCCACTTGCCCATCCCATCCTCGAGAATGGCCTTGGTCGTGATTATGTACTCATCTGCTTTGAACTCCACAGCGCGCGCGTATCATCAATCGAAGACACTCCCTTTATTACGTCATAAGTTTGTATTGTTCGCTCAAAATTTTATTTCATTCGAGTTTTCGCGCCTTTTGCAGTACTACATCATCGAATTTTGAAGATGTGTAACTTTTCTCTGTCTTGCATGGAATTTTTAATGCGTTTTCCTCTTTCTTTGTATTTTCTGTTGTTAATGTCGTTAATATTATGTACCAGCTTAGCTTAGGCCACAACACACAAGACCAGACTTCAAGGAGTAGGCTAATTTGTTGACTATATTCATTCCGAAAATCTGTGAAAAACTAAACAGGAGGGTCGGTCAGTTCGTCAGAGTTTTAGATGATTTTTTTTTTTTTTTTTTGGAGGGGGGGGGGGGTGGGGGGTTTTGAGGCCTTAGATAAAGAAAGAGAAAGGTTGTGTCTATTTCTTTTGTTAACATATTGATAGTAGATTTCAGCAAGTACAATCAAAACACAGATGGTCGTCTGCACACAATAATTCGTCCTTGTTTTCACGAAGTGACGGTAGTGAGGAAAATCGTAACGCAAAGTGAATGCAATTTTTTTTCACTACCGTCACTTCGTAAAAACAGCGACGAATATGTGAAGGTTATTGTTTTACTAGTGTCTTTAACATGTTTAGGTTTCTACAATATATAGTTTCTGTTCAAATAACTCATGAACGAAATGGTAATTTGACACAAAGTTTCACCGTCAAGAAAATTGCAATACATGAGACAAATACACTTTCTGCACAATCAGAGCACCAAGTTTGTGGGCAAAGTTTGTTCAGAGGACACTTCATTTTTGTTGGGGGCCTGATATACCTCTTGCCTCTTTTTTTAAATATTTTTTTAGGGGGGCGTCTGGGGGTTCAACTCGATAGCAGCTATATCATGCGGACACCTGCTAGCCAATGTCTTAAAGGGAAAGTCCACCCCCAAAATAAGTTTGTTTCGATAGAGGCAGAATAATAAGAAAATCAGGTGAGTGAAAGTTTGAGCAAATTCTGAATGAAAATAAGAAAGTTATGAATTATTGAAGTTGTGATCAATCCGAAATACAAATTGGCAACTCTGTGACTTATTATACGAGCTCTCCTTCATTTGCCACGGTGCATAATATTCCATAAAATCATGTTTTCTTCGTTATTGATGACGGAATATATATTTGTTCCTTGCAGGGGGAGTGTAGAAACATATTTGCAATTATTATATTTAGGGTGCATGTATGGTTGAAATTTTTTTGAGGGAAAATGAAATATTTAGATTTTTTTAGTACTGAGCAAATGGAAGTTGAGCTCGCATGATACGTCATAGAGTTGCCAATTTGTGTTTGATTGATCACAACTTCAAAAATCCTAACTTCCTTATTTTTAATCGGAATTTGCTCAAACTTTCACTGACTTGTTTCTCTCATTTTTCTACTACTATTAAAACTAACTTAATTTCAGGGTGGACTTCCCCTTTAAAATTGCGGGTCTATAGGGAATTGTACATATCCTAAACAATATAAATGTGTCTCCAAAAATATCTGTGCCCCTGCAGAAATATTATAGAGCCTATATACAGACCCCCCCCCCCCCCTCCTTTCTATTTTACTTGCATGGTGCACCTCCACCCGAGAAAAGGGTCAAACTTATGTTTGATTAGAAGAAAATGTAATATGACAAGCTCCGGTGGGGAATGCATGTTGAAAAGCTATTTTGTTATCTGTGGCTGTCACTGCTTTTTTAATGATCCCTCAAAGTTTAAATCCATCCCAATTTTTTGTATAACTATGGTTTCAGTGAATTTTTTTTTCTGGGCATCTCGAACAGTCAGATGAGTCCATGAATAATGTTGTGTAGGGAACTTATTTTGGTTCGTTGTTGGTCAGACAACATGTGATGCGACATTGTCTTTATGGTTGTTATTATACTGCATGCATGATTAGGACTCCTAACTACACAGGTTTTCCCGTTGAACTGGAAGTTTTTAATGTCTTCATTTTTCATCGAATTCATAAATGGTTTCCATATGCTTCTCTTCGGCTTCCAAGTGATCACCTTGGGATAATCTTTGCTCCAAAGCGTGTTCACCTTTCTGAAGATGGCAGCATGACCCTTGCGCCAGTCACGATCGAGGTTCTCTCTTCACCATGAGATGGAGGACACAAAGCTGTCCTGCTGAGTGCTAACTTTGTCCATCTGCTCAAGAACGGTGTACCAGGTCAGGAAGTTGCTGTTCATGTCTCTGAGGAAATATTCTGTTTATTCACAAGCCTCTCACACTTGACATTGATGACCTCCG